TGGTGAGTAGCGGAGAACCTCTGCGACACGGGTGGCAAGTTGGCACTTTCTTCAAAATGTCTTAAAAATATTTCAACAATAGGCTTTTTCAATAATTCTTGAGAAGTTCTAAAGTTCCCGGTCTTGTTCTAAGAGTTGCTTTGGGAACCAGTGGTGAGTAGCGGAGAACCTCTGCCCGCCAAGCTACGCATTCGTGTTTAAGTTTAGCTCGACTATGACGGGATTTGCATTGTCGACGGAGGCGTTGATCACAGAATCCTACTTCCAGACTTGCCGTTACGATTTAGCGGCATGATTTTGGTATCGCCTAAAACCGGAGCGTTGTGCATCTCTCTACTCATCTCTGTGGAAACTCACGCCACTGTCAAACCTACTCGTCTTTGGTAGTCTGTGGTAGTCTATTCAGAAATCGATAGCGCAGTGCCATCTAGAGTAAAAGTCATTGTCGCGCAAACGTCAAAATCGAATAAATAGTCGTCTGTAGCAGCGGTCGAGCAGACGTCACGATACTTATGACGGGGTGAGAATGGGGCGCGAGGAAGTGTCAATTTGATTATCGTTGGTCATCGACTTTCGGTGTGCGGGAATTGTGATTTAGCAACAAACCACCGATGGTTGTCAAATTACTGCCGGTGATATTCGTGGGTGCCTCAGGGCGGCGAGATAGGCCGCCTTTTTAATTTCAAGGGAGGAATGACGCTGGAGGATCCCTTCTTTGTCGTCAAGGAGTAAGTTTACAAAATGGGGCTTGAATTATCTTTACGTATTCAACGACATATCACCTTTGCCCTAGCCTTTCAGAGTATCAGATAATATAATTGACAAATTATATATTATCCAATTGTTACGGTCAAAGGATATTAAGGTCTTACCCTTATAGGTCAAGGAATTTTCTTGTATATACATATATATGTATACATCTATACGTCGCTAGTATAAGATTATAGCAATTCTTGCCGCGTGAAAACAATTTTACTTTATTGTTTTTATTTATTCTTTTTTATTTTAAATACGCAATTTCTTTATTACCTATTATAATTCTAACGTAGATATTTAATGTTATTCGTTTCTTTGCATGGGAATATCAAAACGCGATAACCCACAAATCTTCGTATTGTCTTCTATAAGTTGCATCATATAAACTTGTATATGGCGCATCTTCCAACGAATGGAGGCTTTTCAATTACATATATATAAGGAGGATCATTTTACTTTAGCGAGGTGTGCAAAGCTTTGAACAAGACTCGAGGATTGTATGGTCGTTGGACTGAGCTACAAGATGTTACGGTCGTTACTCCTACAATAGCTGGTCTTCCTGTTTCCCGCGAAGAGTTAGAATGGACAACCACTGAATTAAGAAACGCTCTTCGTTCGATCGAGTGGGATCTCGAGGATTTGGAAGATACGATCTATATCCTTTCCATATTTACTTTTGAAGAATTACGTTATACTTAGTCCTCGTTTTGTAGAAGAAAATAAGTATAAAATTGTATATTTTCTATTAACGCCTTGACCTCTTTGCACGTATCGTAGAGAAAAATCCCACGAAATTTAAAATTGACAACAAGGAGTTAACTATCCGGCGGAATTTTATCGAACAAACACGTGACGAAGTCAAGGTAAATGGGTTTACAAAAAGATATAGTGATAATAGATGAATTGTAAATTATAACGTGGTCGTGAATAAAATAAGAATTTCATTTGCCGTCGTTTTGCAGATTATGAAAGACAAGATGAACTTAAGCAGAGGACGAGACCGCGATCGTACCGCAAGACAGGTTTGTTTCATTTGAAGATCTTGTTATAGTAACTTTCCCTTGGGACAACATGTTATCGGTTGGTGAATAAATATTCGTTTATATGATAAGATAGAGGGTAAGAAGTCCAGGATAATGGTATTTACTACAATAACTTCAGCTAGTTGTATGATTTGTCAATCATTCAATTCATACGATCCGGTATTTTATGTTGCTAAAGAAGAGAGAGAGCCATCTGTGTCACAGATTATTATACTACATACTTCGTACTTACATCTTTCAAGTTAAAAACTTAAACTTCATAACCTAATATGGAACTGTCAAATATCCTAATAATTTTGAAGAACTATGACATGGATTATTTCAAATAGAAATTTTTATTTTATTTCGAAATCATTTCAGAAATCGTTGAAAGGATTATCATAATGGTGTACATGGTAATTTAAGTGGTTATAGAAATTATCTTTTCCAATGTTAAGAATGACAAGAGTTTTTGAGATGACTGTGAATCTGATTTTTGGTCTTATTTTAAAATGTATTATTAAATATGGAAAAATAGATTGTTTAAAGTTGTGGGTTTTATTGTGCAGCCACTTTTGGATAACAGCCCTGCCAGGGTTCCTGTCTCTCATGGCACAACAAAATATAGCAAGTTGGAAAATGAGATTGACAGTCCAAATCGACAATTTTTGGATGACACCTTGCTGCAGCAGAATAGCATGATGCATCAGCAAGATGAACAGTTGGATATGATTGGAGAGAGTATTGGAACTCTCAAAACAGTATCCCGCCAAATAAATTCTGAATTGGATGAACAGGCTGTGTATGTTTAATATAATTTTTTAGCAAAATTTCTTAGCATTCATTTAAATATAACTACTATACTCTAACTTTCAGTATGCTGGATGACTTTGGGAATGAGCTGGAAGTTACCGACTCAAAATTGGATGCAACTATGAAGAAAATGGCTAAGGTTCTCCACATGAGCAATGGTAATTATGATAACTACATTCCCGCTCCTACTACTTCTTCCTCTACTGTTGAGGAACTTGTTTCTAAACCATCTTCTCTTTCTTCTTTATCCACTACTTTGACTAATTGCTTTTTATGTTCTGGCGAATAATGTTTATAAGAATTATACAACATGATTCTTTGGAATATTATACATAGAGAATACTTATTTTAGACACGTTATGGTAAAAAGATTTTGAGATACACTGGCAATGCAGATACTACTTTCGTTTTAAGTTCTGTTTAACTATTCTTTAAAGAGAATCACATAGTACTCTGTTATTCAATTTACCGATACATGTTTTTGTTAAATTCTCTACGAATGCATTAACGTTATTAATTTAATTCAAGTGAGCTAATCGTATCTAGGAAGACAGATGAATTATGAAAATATTAAGAAAAAATTACACTATTAATATCCCAAAGCTAATATCTCCTCGTACTTCACTGTCGATACTCTAATGTCACAAAAACTGTTTCGCGCCTACTACTATTAATTTTTCAAAAAGGTGCAATCTCAGAGGAATATATATTGTTAAATAAATCTTATTCAAAGCTAAAATGATTCAAGAATATATTGAATTCATACAAATGTATGTAATTTAGTAAATGCTATATGAAACCTATGCCAAATTATTTATCAAACAGGGATAGGTATTTATGTCCAACAAACAGAAGTATCATGGACCAGTAATAAATGACGCTAGTTATTCTGTCAGTGATTATTAAATGCCAAATAGTTATTGAGTAATACATAACTTTTCAAAAGTCAATGACTCTCACAGAAGAAAACTTATTATGACTGTAAATAGACATACCTATGAACTATACCTCTTCAATCTGTAAAGCAGGCCTTGAAAAGTTCACCGGTTGACATTGTCTATAAGATGCGACTGCTACTCGAAGCAGACATTTATTGTTGAGGGAATTTGTGACGATATATTAACTTAGAAACTGTTGTAGCTGAGATGTGGAAACATTGTTTATATAACCATTAAGTAAACATTAATGTTACTTCTGTACGTCGATAAGAGAAATTTAACAATTAACAACAGTAGTGTGTAACTAACAAGAGAAACTAGTTCTCGTAATCGACCAGTTGTGATGATAGATTTGACCAATAAAATCTGAGATCTAGTTTACTCGTCAAAGTATCTGTGGTAATACCTTCGTTATTTCACAGGTAATTTAACGTAACACCCTTTAATTATTACAACATGATAATTCCACAAAAGGCTAAGTTTACAAATGTTCATTAAGTTTTCTCATAATTTAATGTTATACATTAGAACTCTTATTGAGAGACCAAATAACATCAATTTATCAAAAAGTTGTGCTTTCCTCCTTATCATCATACTGCAGCCATTAATAGAATATCAAAATAAAATGTTGAAATAGTTTTACAAGTGGCGCATGTGATGTTACTTTCCGTTTGTTTTAGATCGGAGACAATGGGTAGCCATAGGAGTGTTGACTGCTATATTGGTATTTCTAATTATTTTGTTTATAATTAAGTGAATCATTTAATTTCGCAAAATCGACGTAAGCGATTGATTCTCTTTTTTCTAGCATTTAATATAATCTAGTAAGTCAAATTTCATTATACCAGCATATTTATTTATTACGGTACTACTATTTTAACACCAATGAAAATAAACACTTATAGTTACTATATAAATGATCGTATCTTCTGTAATGGTCCCTTGCGCTAACTCAAAAGCCATTAAAGAATTTGCCAATGTAATATTTTTGCTTGGGTTAACATCTTCAACATAATGCATTGCTAGCACGGTATCAATTATACAATGCTTTCAGAATTAAAGAGATGCCTAGGTACTCACATTCTTTAAATAATTTCTTCAACTAGCACAATTACCTCTGTAACATTCTTCTTCGTTTTGCTTAGTAAATCTTCACCACTTCATCCTAAATCCCTTGTACAAATTTAACTATTTGATTAAGATCAAATAACGTCACGTGAGAAGAGATTATCATCTAATTGTACTATACCTGCTGATTGTATATTTAATGTTTTTGTTGAACCTTCAATTACGAAATGAATGTATCTTCAAGGAACTTGTGAAGTGCCAATATTTATATAGACGAATTCATACGATTCTGCAATACGTTAAAATTCTTTTATTCTAGTAATGTTCTCCGCTACACTTTGTACTACGCTAAACTATAAAAGTGTTCTATTATATTATTTTATATAAGTAAAAAAAAGCTTCGAAAAAATCGTTACGTTTCGTAACCTTGATACGACAAAATGATTAAATGACTCTACTGTAAAGCACTTTTTCTTCTGAGGTACGCACAGTCTCATGATTTGCCTCCTGAATATTTAGTAACATTTTTTATTAGCGTGCTTGCGAACTATCTGTTTTACGAAAAACTCTTAATCTTTGTAATCGGAATATAGAATCGCCGTTACTTTATCTGCACACGGTTATAAAAACGAATATATGATAGATAGCTGTTACACTGTTTCCTTATTACGACTTACGTAAACCGTTCATTTCAAAGTATGGCTAGCGATCAAACTGTTTCTATGATCAAAATCTTTGGTATAACGTTCATTGTATTGCAATCGTTTTGCACCATATTAATGTAGCTGAACCCCAAAGAACATGAAAACACTTTCTGTTTAACTGACACGTTAAATAAAATAATCTAGTTGTAAATGTACAAATAAAACAGTGTTATTAAAAGAATATTATTGGTACAAATTTGATGGTGCCGCGTTTATGTACGTAATAGATACATACATCTAGGGCTCTAAACGAACACGCTTATAGCAATCCGTTGGCAACGCTTTTTTAATATCTTCTATATTTTCAACTTCGATTCGAAGTCTGTTGACTTCATCTTCATAATTCTTGACCCATTGGGTCTGCAGATTTTTTGCATCCGTCAGCGCTCGAATTCTCTGATCCAAATTGGCAGCTTCTATTTCCTTTTCAGCAGCTTCCAATCGCTGCTCCAACGAATCCAACTGTTTTCCGTCTAATTAAAATTTCAATGTATTTTTAATTTTAATACTCTTTATATGAGGACGTTTTTTTTTATTGACAAACCACTTACCAATCTCTGGAAGTGCTTCGAGTTCTTTCATAATTTCTGCCACTTCAGCTAATGCTTTATCGACTTGTTGAGTTGCGAGCGTAACGTTTGTTTTTGTTTGTCCAATTTTATGATTTGCCTAAACAATTAAGGTTTCACGAATAAAATATTTTTTAACTTTATTCTGTATTATGGTATAATACAATTTTATGCACTTACATCACTTGTGGCGTTACCCTCTTGTGCTACTTGGTTTTCATATCGCTTCACTGCGGCTTCCGTTTCTGCTACTCTGACATGTAACTTCTCTGCTTCATTGCCTAAACTTAATGCTTCTAACTTTGTTCTATTAGCTTCTACTCTGATAGCATTTGCATTGGCACTTGCTATGTCGGCATTTATCTAGGAGCATGTCAAACAAAACGTTAAATACGATTTAAGACAGTCTATAGAAATACTCACTGATGCTTACCTGTGCATTTTTTGCAATATCTCGTGCATTGATAGCCTTGTCTTGGGCGCCATTTAGAATCTTTTGTGTTTCGACACTCTTCATACGCGATTCATCCACCAATTCCTTAATTTCATTGATACCTAGAAGTGCCTCTTGAGCCTTGATTTTTTCTCGTTGTACTTCAGCATCAAATTCTAAATCGAAATTGATTATACTTTAGCAAACATTCTAACAGGATTACATTGACGGTAGTAATTGATATTTATAAAAAAATTAAACATACCGCTTAACTTTTCCAAAGTTTCCTGAGCTTCTTTCAAAGTCTGATCTCCACGTTTTACAGCATCATTTGCTTTCTCATTAGCCTTGTCAACCTCAGCCAGCAATTCGGCAGTTGCTGCTTGCTGATCTTGAGCTCGGATTAATAGATCGTCGGTTTTCCTAACTTTCTCAGTCATTTCATAAATCAGACCGTCATTTTCCTGAAGTAGCAGTTGAGCCTCCTCCTTTATTCTTAAGCCCTATGATTTTAAACACATCATAGGAATACCTTTGGAATATATCTAATAAACAGTGACAATAAGACTAATAATAAAATTAATAATATTTACCTCAATACTAACTGCTTCTACTTTCTTTTGCAAATCCTCGATATCTATTGACGGGACAGCTACATTGAGTAATAATATATTTAAAGATTCTTGCAAAACAGCTGCGGACTTTTCTGCTGCTATGTTACTAAGATCTTTAACTTCAGTTAGACGTTCAGACAAAAGTATCAGCTCATTTTCCAAAGACTTAATTTCGTCGCTGAAAAAATTGAATAAATAGTAATATTCTACATTATATTAAATAACTTTTACTTATACATTAAAGTATAAAGTGATACCTGATGTTCGAATATTTTGAAATTGTCATCTTTGCCAAATCATAAGCCTCTATCGTGGTATTGCGAACTCCTTCCGCCAGAACCTGAATCTTTTTCGCCTCATTGGTATTTCTAAAGAAAAAAGATAACATTAAGATGAAAAAAAAATAAGATTGCGAGAAAGATATATTATCAAATTTACGTACACGTCTGCAAGTATTCGAGCTTCCTGAGCAATTTCAGTCATTTGCTGATTCTGTTGGCCAACTTGTTCAGCATGTTTTCTAGCATCTGCCAGTGCAGTAGCGCCATCAATTGCCAAATAACTCTCAGCTTCCTAATTCGCATTCATAATATTAATATAAAAAAATTTACAAATCAACTTTTTTTTTAACGATTCTAAACTCACAGCCAATTGTTCGTGTATTTTATCCAATACTTTTTCTGCCTCGTCAATACTCAATAACCCTTCCTGAGTGGTAGCCCCTGCATCTTCAGCAGTCGATACAACATTTTCTAATGTCTCTTCTATTTCATTAAGCTGTTCATTTAGCTCGCCCAGTTGTTCGACCAGAGTTTTGTTCTCATCTATTAACATAAACCCATGAATATTATTCAAGTCAAAAATGTATAAATAATTCATCAAAACTTACTTCCAGATCCTTGTTTAGCTATCTGCAACAACGTGTTCACTCTATTCTGAACGTTTTTCAGTTCTTTCTCAAAATCAGTATCCTTTATCACTGTGGGACTACTGTTAATTTTCCTCAAAGTTTCTTCCAATTCAGCTAAACGTCTTCTATGTGCATTTGTAGCATCTTGCACAAGATTGTAACACGGTGGACAATCTACACAACCATCTTGCCTGTTATGCTTATTTTCTTTGCACCTATCGCACTTTCTTCCTTCTACGTTGGTCAGACACTAAAATATTTTTTAATTGTAAATAATGTCAAGTGCATTAATCCAAATTTCAAATAGATTTATACTCACAGGACACTGTCCATAGGCATCGCACTGTAAGTCTTGTGATCCAATTTCGTCACACTCACAAGATTTACAACCTTCGCGACTAAATCCATATTGAAGTGGACGACAAACGTCACATCTCTGTCCAGTTACTCCTGGTCTACATTGACATTGTCCAGTAATGACATCACAGGTACGATTGTACGATCCTTCAGGATCACAGTTACACGCGGTACATCCCTTGAAAGAGTTTATAAGGTTACTGATACTTTTTCTATAACAGTTGTAGACAAATTTAGTATTGTTAAACAAAAAGATAAGATAAATACCTCCCCACTGTTTATTTGGTAATACCCATCTTCGCACTTGTCACAATTTCTACCAATTACATGTGGCTTGCATGAACAGTGTCCACTAATTTGTTGACACGGTGCAACACTTCCATCTTCTAACTCAAGAGTGCCTGCTGCATAACATTGACACAACTTGCATCCATCTTCCTTGCGCTCAGATAAAGCGTCTCCGTAATATCCTATGAAGTAGATACACGTGACAATTTTGTTTTATCCACCAAACAGTCAGTATACAGTGAACAAGATATATCACGTACCTGACAAGCATTCCTCGCAATGAAATCCAGCAGTATTATTCACGCACTTCAAACATTCTCCAGTTTCGTGATTACAATTTCGAATAGCATTCAAATCGATGTTATTATTGCACTCACAAGGTCGACATGCAATGCCTAATTCAGGATTTCCAAAGAAACCATCCGAGCACATTTCACACCTGGCACCTATTAAATACATAATATTTTTTTATAGTATACAAATGACAAGTGGGTTGATTATTTCTTGTTTTTGGTACATACCTGTCCGACCCACAGGACATGCTAGACAAATTGGATCAGGACTGTTACCCAATAGAGTACATGGTCCATTGTCTGGACATGGACACGGTTTACAATCGTTAGGTGTTCCCTTCAACGGATAACCATAGTATCCGCGACTACAGTATTCACAGTTATCACCAGCGGTGTTATGTTGGCAAATACATTGACCTACAGCCGATATTCAGTATTAAGATTATAGAGAGATTGTAAGGAACATTTTATAAATGTAATAGTTATTAAGTACCAGTTTCAGCCTCGCAAATGTCAGCGTGACCGTTGCAGTTGCATGGTACGCAAAGTGCGAATGGTCCTCCGCCGTTTGAATGATCATGATGAAAACCAGGTGCGCAAGATTCGCAAAACTGTCCTACATAACCATGTGGACATTGGCAGTGTTCCACCCAGTCTGCAGGTTCTCCTGCGGCACCTCGACGCGCTGTTTCCAAGTGAACGTCGTCCAGGAATCCTCTACCTGTAAAACCAGATAAAAATATAATCATTGAAAATCACAAAGGTATCTGTTTCTAAGATGTAAGACATTAAACTTTTTTTACCTTGGTGAGTGTACGTTCCACGGATTTTGATAGCAGTCAAATTTGACAGAATTGATATAAATTCTCTTGCTGATAATCTTGGCTCCCATTCGTAATCTACATGTTCGTGTAATCTGAACTTATACTCTTGAGCCTGTAAAGTAACAATGTACGTTATATTAGACATCAAATCCACGATTACAATAATTTAACGAAATATAAAATAAACACACGTACAGTTATTGTCGGCATTCTGTTTCCTTGGCCGAAAATTGGCTGTGTTATTTGCTTTCCATTTGACCCTATAAGAATGATGTCGCGAGCTGTAGGAACCGGTCCGGTTTCTCCGATTCTCAAAGTAAAGGATAAATCTTGATTATAAGATGCTCGTTGATCGCCCAGGAATCTGTCTATAAAATATAAAAATGACAATTAGAAATTCTACGAAATTCAAAAAGATAATTGAACTAGTTGTATATTATAGTAAGGATACAATAATTACATACCTGGTGCTACGAAATAGACATTGTCACGATCAGGTGCTGTTACCGATATAGTTTGAGTAACAGGATCGTAATGCGGTTGGAAAGAATTTCCAGCAACATCTGCAGACCACTTTTCAGTTCCTCTTACAAACAAACTCTCAATCGCAACTTTAGCGTAGCCTGATGCTGGGGTGCACACGGACGAATGTCCATAGCAGAAGCAAGGTGTACAACCAAATTCATTTTCAGAGGCAAGATTAAAGTATCCTGGTCGACATCTGTACACAAAAAATATAACTAAATATTTGTTTTCTTTCCTAATTCTACATTCGCCATCTATACGTACTCTCTGCAACGTTTTCCCTCCACATTTTCCTTACAGGCACAAACTCCTGTCTCTGAGTCACAACTCGGCGTGTTATCGTATGATCCTGGAACACTGCACTCGCAAGACGTGCATCCCAATGATCCAAAATTGTAATGGTTTTGTGCACAACGATCACACTTGTCCCCAGTAACGCCTGGTTTGCATTGGCACTTTCCTTCGCTGTTGCACTGAAGACTTCTTGATCCTATGGACACAGATTTGACATCAATTACAGAATACAATTTATTTATCCATCAAAGTTAACATACCCGTTTCAACGCAATTACAGGGCACACAATAATCGTCTTCGCGTCGCTGATAGAAATTCTCGCGACAGTATTCACAATTAACTCCGTCACGATTGTCATTGCAATCGAGACAGTGTCCACCGTGACCCGTTGCCTTGTAGAGTTCCTTATCGAAATAACATCTGTCCGAATATCCATTGCAGTTACAGGCTAAAACACAGAACAATAATGAAGGATAAGTTTTCAACATAAATTATGATACACATAATTATTCTCTCATTTCCAATAAATAATTCCAATTGCACTATAGTGGATCACTCACTAGATTCTGAGTACCAAGAAAATCTACGATCCCAACGATGCGACGTGCTAACGTAATTTATTAACGTGAGTAAACTCACTAATTTAATCGTTAATGGCATTACGTTAATTAATTAAATTACTCCAGATAAATTCATCAAAAACGTTATCCGAGTCTCGAAGAGAGGATGAATCTACATAATTAAAATTTTTCAAAACCTATAGACAATTTTGCAGGATATTTAAAATTTAAACGGTGATTTAAAAATATCTCCAGACTATCTCGTCTAATGGTATTTCGAGTACTGAGCTCAGGATACAGAAAGGAGCATCATACTCGTACGCGAACAATCCCCACTTGAAAGCAAACAAGCAGCGAACGTAGAAGGTAAAGCTGGTTAGGTAATGCCGACGTGAACACCGTGCACGTCTTTACAGGGCGATCAAAAAGACAACGTCCAAGTTCCAGATACGCGAGAGAGATGATCCTTAAAATGAAAGAGGCTCTAGGAGTGGCAGCGTGCGTAAGCCCAGTATCCAAGACATAAGTTTCGTTTTGCGTTCCGGCGTAAGAGCCAATAAAATTAAAAGTAAGAAACTAAGTAGTCTCGAAGAAAAAAAAATTCTTCGACCCATTAAGACTGGCTAATTCTCTTTTATATAAATTCCTCTTCGTTCCATTACTTGGAAATGGGTCTTCGCTCCATATTCAGTAAGGAATCCTTGTGCCACGAGGATGTATTAAGGAGTGGCAGAAAAATCGTACTTCACAGAGAAATCAGTATTCACTTTTTGATCAAATAAATAAACATCCTTAGCCTCAGAGTGGTACTGATTTACCGGGCTGTGCTTTGATCTCGTATTAACGAAGGTCGAGCGCTTGTTTCGTGGCACCGTGTATAGAAACGTGAGAAGTGAGTCTTTGAAAAGCAGGTTTCTCGAGTCCCACCTACTCATTGCCCAGGGCACTGGCCCTTAAACATATCCTTCCGCCTTTTATGTAACCTAGTAACACAAGAAGTTCATGCAGATCTTGCACAAAGATCCACGAGAACTGTACCACTTGTACCATTTTGCAAATTGTTATCATTTGTATTTAAATCCTTGGCGATAACGACAAATGTGAAAAAGCAAGTATTTTAAGCTCTGAATACAATGTCCAGAAATGCTGAAGAAATTTATCAAGGCATTACGGCGAATAGGATATAACCCATAAATCACTCTTTGGTAATAAGACGTGACTGCATTCCGCAGTTTCTCCGTACACTCTTCTTCCAGTACCGTATCGAAAGGTCAATGAGTAAGCGGCCCTTTAAAATAATCACCGGTAACCATATCGAATCTCACGGACACCCCATAGAATCAGGTTCGCTATATGCCAGAAAGAAAGAACACGTATGCAAGATGCGTAGCGGCGGCGTCCACAAAGAAATTGGCTTGCCGCAAATGGAAGGGAATCCTTTTATTTTATTAGTCACCATAACCATGGGGTTCCCTTTGTCAATATCTTCAAGGTATTCTCTACCAAGACCATTGCACTTGTAAATACGTAAGCTTGATCCTCCATGATACGTAAGAATACTCCAAGGACACAGTTGGGGGCGAGCATAATTCAAGAAGCGATCAATTCCTGCGAACTGGTTGGTCCATATGTGTACTGGAAATAAACTCCACGTATGCTTATGGGAAAATACGTATCAGCTGAGGGCAGACTCAAGGAATATAACGCATGAGCAAATGTTTTGCGAGCGTCGCGACCTGCATGTTTATACAGAGACCCCACCTACCAAAGTGTACAGTATACGTAGCTATTCCAGCCTCTTGGTCAACGCCATATTAGGCAGTGTCTCACAATGGGGTTCTAAGCCAGCGAAGCGTGACTGCCGTCCAGGTAAAATAATAGACAGATAAAAGCAAACGTCTCGCCTCGGTAAGGAGATCAAAAGTAGTAAGGCCGTTTCTGTGTGACTCCTAAACCTGGTCAGTGCTGTTAATATTTTCAAAATCATTCTTTGTATATGATCCTTGTTATGGCTATTAAACTAAAGTACTTCCATGGTTGTTAATATTGATAAGAGCTATTTATGAATAAAGATACTCACGCTGACATTCGTGTGCATCCTTGGTTGTAGCTCGTCCCCAGGGTGCGTCGTTATAAAATGGCAAACATTCATTGCAGTCAGGACCAGCTGTATTGTGCTCGCAGCTATGAAAGATCAACGAAGTTAGTCATTGCTGATTTATAAAAACTTGAAGTCTGTGAATCTTATACTATATCTTTGTCCTCTTAGAATCTTTACTATCACTCAGCTGATTGCTTGAGGATACATCTGATTGATTAATGAGAAAGCTAACCGGCATACAAGTCGAGTCCTTCCATCAACACTGGTACTGTTCACGCATTCTCCAGCATGGCCATTGCAGGCACAACGTGCACCAACAGCCACATCAGCTATGGCGTAATAATAGGTTTTCAATACTTGGTCATCGCCAAAGACTTCATCACCGAAAGTGTTGAGTCTGTCTAGGGTGATCCTCAGGTCAGTAGCCTGTACCCATTCCTGAAGGAATAATAAAAATCCATGAATATTACAGACCGTTCGAAAAATCTAAATAATACTTTTTTATTTTTCAGTATTAGGCCATACCTGTAGCTCTGGATTGGACTCAAAGTTGTATGCAGAAGGTCGACCCTCCAGAGTGGAGAATGCAACGGCTCCCTTCGACAAAGGTGATATATCCGAATACTCAGACGTGCACAATACACGAGTATCATCTCCACGAGTAGTTTCCTTAAAATCAGGCAATCCATAAGTATCTCTGCACGTGGCAGAATAAAACTGATAAGGCTGCCAAGGTGACTTTTCATTCTTCCTCTTGTAGATGCCCCAGCTCTCAGGACGTGGAGATTCAAACAGCACTCGAACATAGGTAATATCGAAGGTCTTTCCTGCGGTATAAATAATACAATTAATCAATACAGTACATAGAATACAGTACATACAATTAATCAATACAGTACAATATAGATCATATAATTAACGTGATATAAAAATCCTTGCAGAGTCTCGTAATCGCGTTACGCCACTGCAATACCGTGAAGCCGCAGGGTTGCAGCAGCCGTATCCCTTATGAATGGACATGTGGCTCGCAGCCGTTGAGGTTAACTACTATGCATATACAAGAGTGCTTTCATCGTTGAGATAATCATCTTAAAAAGACTTAAAAATCTATCTCTGAACGTTGGAAAGATTATCCATCTCTCTATTGAATTAATCTAGGGATTTTCTTTTAGGCTGCAGATATACTGCATTCTTGCACCTTCTGCCACAAAGTCAACACAGAACCTGTGCATTCGAGCGCATAACGATCCACGTCGAGATAATCATCTCCAAAAATTCAACCGATCAGCCTATGGAGGCTGGAAGATTTATTCCTGTCTTGAATTCGATTTGCCTTTTGTGCTTTATCAGTTTCCCCATGACAATTTCGCTTCTTGTGACTGGTCGGATCTTGACTGGTTAAATGATTTTACGAGATAGAAGAGCAATAGAACTGCTAATTGCATATAACTAGACTTTAATAATAGATTCGATAGTCTAATGCTCCATGCTGAACCATCTAACAGATGCTGTTAAGACTATTAAGCGTTGCTTCACGACGCGTAACGGAATCGCTAATTAACAAATCGTACAAGCTACCTGGCCTGAGTTTATGTATTCAAACCAGTTCCCAGTACGTTTATGAGCATCGGTATGTCTGGGGATCTTTATTCTTCTCAATTTTCTTACCAGCCACTATTCCGTGGGCGTTTTATACTCAGAATTTAATTCTTCGACTTGGTAGAAGTCTACACGTTACGCTCGCTTCGAGCACTGATTTCTGATCAAGATAAATTTTATTATTTCTTAATAAAATTAATTAGCGCTTAACATATAATTATGGTGAATACTCAAATAATTTTTTTGATCGTGATAAATATATTATTTTGAAAAATAAATTACGCGTCGCTTCTCTTGAATTTATATGTGATAATAAAATGCCAATATAGTCTAATCAAATTATCACAGCTATTATTCGCGTATCAAGAGATAATATTTGTTGTTATATAATCTGCAGAGACTCCATAGACAACTTATATTTGCCATAAACGTACGGGTAATCGTTATAATAAAAATTATCAACTCGCTCGGAAGTCCCGATAGTCAGTACAGTTCAAAAGTTCATCGTGGGCACCCTTTCTCGAGGCTCTTAATGAATGGGGCACTCTTCTTCAGCGTATTCACGAACACGCGAGTGTTTATTATCTATTTCGAATAATCTGACCTAATGAGGAATCAGGCTGAGACATTCCCATTTCGCTGGATTCGATAGAGATTCCTCCTGATATTACAGAGCTATATTATATCAAGTACTTAAACTTATGATTTTAAATCTTATTATGAATGAAAATGAATATTAAATTCTAATACGATGAAAACGTACCAAGATGAAGTGTCAGGTTGACCTGGTTTGGATATTCGATTCCTTCGTACATAGTTTCAGACTGCCACCATGTTGCATTGTCATTGTTATCCCGGTCGGTTAAAAAGGATGCTGGATGATCTCCAAATCGACAATAAGTACAGGACTTTTTTTGTACTCTCGTCTGCTTACAATATTCTATTGGCACGTTATCTTGTCCACACGTGTTTGTCGCTTCCATGAGGACATAGTATGCTGCATTTATAAACGGTGGTATACACCTCTGAAACACATTGAAATCTACTACTCACTACTCGCTTTTCTAGTTGAGCATTACCTTTGCTTGTTTACGAGCGGCTCTCTGTTATTTCAAAATACTTATTCATACATCCGTTTTGTGCTGTATCTAATCTAAAATGCATGCAGCTACTTCAATAGCAGTACAAAGTCAATAAAGAAATTAAGTGCAGTGTTGCAATTCATATGAAAAAAGTCCTAATGTATCGGGGTCGTATTATTTTATTCTTCATTTCCGTTAAAAACATCCACGGGGATTCCCCGATTTGAATAAGGCGCCTTGCGAAACGCACGTTCCGCGAGAAAATTATGTCTTACGTCAGACGGGGAATCACAGTATCGATGTATCTCGATACCACGTAATCGCTGATCGAACGAGTAGCATTCGATTGCGCGGGAAAATTTACAGCGAATATATACACAACTAGAATACATGCAACATAATTTAAATTTTACTTAAGACAGATAAATAAAAAATGCCGAGAATTAATGAAGTCAACCGAGAGTTTAGAATTATGAAATTTTTGGAGGCTGATATTATTCGATAATTCTATGATCCAGATTTACTTTGAGAAATTTTTGTCCAATAGTCAAATAAGATATGAATAGAAAAAACCGGTACTTTTTTTGAAATTCCAGAGTGCCGTGTCTAATCTTGGTTTGCAGGAATAATGATAATGGCCTACCCATAGTCACATAAGCAGCCTTAAAACTCTGCCACTAAGGATTTAGAGCTTAGATGAGTTCCAAATGTTCTAGTAGACCTTAGGTTGGTATTACTGTGAAGTACAAGCAGGTAGCAATGCTGAATTGTACCCATTGAAAAACAAACGGCTGTCCCTAAAGCTTTTCAGGAAGCATTGAATATTCCCTGGAAATTCATGCAGATGTTCGGCGCTCGTCTGGCAAGCAGGAATACGTGAACCAAGTTGAGACGTTAAAGTTGAAATAAAATACAGACTGGTAAAAATATTTATCGTACACAGTCTGTCCCAAATATGAAAATTTTCAATGGATTTCTACAAACATATCTCTAGCCTACTTTATCATTCCCACACTATCATCGAAAGTTCAAGTAACTTCAAATCTCATGATAACCCTCAACCCTACGTCCCTACCAAAACCAAAAGTAAGTCGTCTAAAAATAATCTCACTCCTTTCCATGTGTCTATGCGAGCGACGTGAGTTTAGGCCGGCATAAACGCGCTGCATCTAAAAACATCTTAAATAAATAATTGACATTATTGTATGAAATTATCACGAGTGTATTTCTTTTTTTTTTCTATTCGTTTTCCTCTAGTTTTCAGTCGTGACGTTATCATCGATAACGATATCGTCCCCTACGAAATGTTCTCTCGCATTATTCAATTTCTTCAGCTACCATACAAGATTAATCTACAGCTTCTACATTACTGGAACCTGTATCTCAACATTTGCTTGGTATCGGCCAGTTCTTCGTATCAGAAGAATTTACATGGTTTAGTATTACCCGCTGAACGCAAGACTCGACATGCACGATATAGAGTAAAAAAAATCAAGCCGTTTGTGAGCTGCAGAAATATACAATACGAAACTAGTATAAGTATTACATTAAAAACCATTATATGTACATGCCTTGTCAAATTATAAAACTAACCTGTGCTCGTCCACGTTCGTCATAGCATCTGTCGTCGCCTCTATTCTGCGGTATCCTGTTGAATTGTTCATCGGGCGTTGGATCGGGCTCAGCAAAAATGCTGGCGAAACACACAAAAGCTACTAGCAAGACTCTCAGCATGATTCCGCAGTACATTTTTGTAGTGTTCAAACAAAAAACGAAGAATGCCTGATGAACTAAGTCAGACTTAATTCACTTTTTCTATTGTGTCAATGATCACCGTACACGCACTCGCGAATAACACTGAAGACGACACTTTCCCGATTTATTTTCTCGGGTCTCCCAGCACTATTTCCAATCCATCCGTCCTGAAGCTGCTGTGCGAAGTAATTTCGAGTTTACTGTCGGGGCCACATTCCGCAGGGCAACCACGAGCCTCCTCTTATCTGGCAGAGTTCATTAATCTTTGATTAAATTGGCTATTTAGGTGAGTTGTAACAATCGGATACATTGACAGATCTTTGCATCTTTTTGTCACACACACATATAACATAGGTTAAACGTATAACTGTTTTGAAAACGCGAAAAGAATCGTTATGCTTTCACAGCGTTATGCCCAATACACAAAGAAAAAGTTACTAAAGAATGATTCAGATCCGTTAAGAAAAGATAAGAGAAGTTTTTTGTAGTAAAAATAATACATCCATAGCTGTTAACTGATAAAATAAATATATATTGACTTTCCAATATTTAATACTATCTCAAAACTGTAGAAATTCACATCCTCCCTTCGTGCTGATACAAATTTAAAACATTCCAAAGTACATTTCCGTTCCGCAGAGACAACGAATGATCTACGATCAGTAATACCAACATAACCGTCTATAGATCGAGCATAAGCATAAGTTGGTAAGAATAAAGGGTCTATTCCCGATATACTTTTAAGCACCCCAGAACGTCAAGTCTACGATATATATTTCTCAAGTGAAATTTTTCGAACTCGTCTAAAAGAAAATAGCACCCAAATAACGCTCACTTCTTGTTCCTTATACCTTCACGCAATAGCCAAGCTCTACCAAATCCAATATACACGGACAGACTGTACTTCTCACGTTGAAATAAGAAACAAGAAAAGCGCTTGACTCTGGTGCAGCTATTTCGAAGTTCCAAGTCTCGGAGCGTCCCTGCACTCGGGACAGGGCGCCGAGAAACTAAGGACAACGCGAGTCACGAAAGAGCTTGCTCACGAGAGTAAAATATATATATACATGCATACAGATGTAAGAGGATCTATATATATATATACATACAAATACACATATATTTCCAAGATAGATCCTCGAGATCGTTTCTTCAACGTGTTACGCGCCGGCTGGAAAAGAAAGACCGGGTGCGCCCGTGTACCTAGTAAACAGTGTAAATGCACCACCAAGCAAAATATTTAAGACTATAGAGTCGTCGTCACGAAGCACTCACACACTTCCTCCGCCTAGCAGGCTACAACTGGGGCCCAGCCTCGAGACTGGAGAGCCCGGCTCTGCCTCTCTCACCCACTTGAGTCTCGGCTCCACTCTTGCCTCTCGACTCTTCCGATTGAAAAACCTTAACTCCCGGCTGGTGCTACTCACAGACGCACCAACCCTCGCTCGCAGCTAACGCCTCTCGCTTTACTCTCTCTCTTTCTCTCTCCCTCCTGCTCTTTATCTACTGTCTCTTTTTTCTCTCTTACTTCCCTCGTGGAAAATCTTCAACGCTGATTAACAACTCTTCACGGCCCAATTCTTTCTTCTCATTATTTTGACATAGGGAAGAATTTCTTGGTCGATAGAGGAAAATTCATTTTTTGAAATATATTTCACTGTTTGGTAAATTAATTACGGTGGTAGCATTTCTGGGGATTTTTTTTGAGTCCTAGGATGATTGGTGGGATGTAGGTTTTATTTAGGAATGTGTTAAGGAGAAACTGCTATGGATGGTATTATACGCATGGTTGTTTGGGGTGTATGATTTTTAGAATTTTCTTTTAAAAACTGAGGCACTAGCTTCGGCAGAAATGTTACAGAGATAGGATGGGGAGGTAGAGGTCGGATGTGCCTCGCGACATGTGATACAGATATCTCTTTACCCGGAAACGCCGTGTGATACCATGAAACCACCCACGTGCCTAAGAATCGTCCTATCTTCCAAAGTTCAGTAGCATCGTCTCAATTCACATCGTTATGAAAGAGTCACTCATTCAGTAATGCTCTAAATGAATTATGCTTTTGGAGAAGCGGTATTTCAAAAATTGAAATAACGGAATAAAATATCTGTATTGCGGTGCTCGTTTACATATAATAATTTACGAATGAACATAGCGCGCTTGCGCGTGACACATCATGAGTATATCATACACAGATCTTATGATACCTAAAATTATTATTATTATTAAAGATAGTTCAACTAAATTCGTCTATGGTACACTTTACATTGTATTGCCTGATACGTCACTAAATTTAGTATCAAAATAACTTTTCAATTCCTCCAAACCTCTATATACATCTTTTCCAGAGACTTTAGTCTCATCAACAGCTCTGCCATCGCGCTTTATTAAAATGGCATTCCAACCAGCCTTCTTCGCGCCCAGATAATCATTTGTCAGTGTGTCTCCTATATGAACAGCCTCCTCCGGAAGTACAGTCGTCCCATATAGCTCTTTCGTGTATTTGAGCGCCTCTTCAAAAATGGATGGATGTGGTTTCTCGATGCCAAGATTATACGAAGTCAGAACAAAGGAAAAGTACGGTCTGAGTTTGGTACTGGCCAGTACAGACTCTAATCTCTCGTCAAAGTTTGATATTACTCCCATGATGATACCACGTCCCTTCAGGTAGTCAAGTAGCTCAATAACTCCAGGATATTTGTGCCAGCACCTACTCGTACCATAGCATTTTATCAAGCTGCTCGCAACCTAGGACCGTGCGATAGCTAAGGTCATCGATAAAGAAGTTTCCGAGTCCACCGATACCGGATAATCACCAGTAATCGGAAGTACGAACAAACAGAATAGCTACTACCGTGAAATTTAATAGTCTACCAAGAAAAAATCAAAGAAAAAAATGCAGAAAACAGATAAGTAATCTAAACCAAAATACCAGTACCAATAACGTGTTCATTGATAGACGTCAAGAGACAATCTCAAATATACACAGTTAAAAGACCGTTACCTTTTCAAGCTTCACGTTGCAGACCTGCTGGTCCTGCTCCTTGAAGATGTTATAAACAATCGTTCGCCACCAATTTTCCCATCCAAGACCAGTATGTTTTCCATATATTGGATGCTCCAAACTAAGTTTTTTAAAGTTACTTTTGAAGCTGCCCGCCAGTAGATTTGGATCAAGTAACAAGCCATGCTGCAAGCCAGCTTCCGTGTAATGCTCCTCCAACTTTGTCATCAGCAATGTCCCTGTCACGTCAAACGTTACTAATTTTGGTCGCACTAACTTCAGGATCATTCTCGTCTAATTATTCAAAAACACTTCAAAGATTTATACTGTTATTACGCAAAAAAAACTCGGGAAAGTACAAGCAAAAGATAAACGAAGCACTGACAGCAGCGATGCTGCCACCAAGCGGTAAAATCTCGAACTACCTACGCGTCAGACACTCTCATACGTAATTTTCAAACAATATAACACGTAATCGTGTGTGCTGATGCCACAAATAAATCATGTCTCAAAATAACATTAACGAACTCTATTATTTTTTTATACAATACTTTAATCAATGCTTAACAAATGGAATAATACATAATACTTCGCCTACAGTATATACATTTACTGCGAACGAATGGTAGAAATATTCAATGTAGCAATATACAGAAGCATTATCAATAAGATGGTAATATGTATATATATATATGTGTGTGTGTGTATTTGAAATGTAGATATCAGATCGTTAAAACATCATATTATCTAGGTATTCAGACGTACCCAAGGGAGTAGAAAATAAAGATCTATTCTGATACAGATACAAGTCCTAAATTAATGATACTATGCACCGTACAAACATCATGGAATAATTATCACGTAATCTAGGCGTTTCAATATACATTAAGAGAAATGCATATTCTGCTCTGTGTCATACACCGCAGGATTCAGGATGAAAGGATTTTTTTTCTAATGACCACAAAGGAGCACAAAGTCAACGAGACTAGGATGCGCGGACGTGAACTGTCTGTAATTTTAACGCGACTCCTATAGATATATCAAACTAAATTACAAACTTCAATATTTTATGCGAACGAAGGGAGAATTCAAATATTATCGTACAAAATCGCATTGAACTCTTCGAGTTCAATAATTGGATATAGAAATTTACATATTTCTCTCGATCACTCTGTTGCCATCTAATCATCACAGCGAATCAATAAAATTGTACGCATTTGAATTTCATACATTTTTCAGAGAACAAATAGACGATGAACGTAAGTAGAGGTAAAAAATTACAAATATATCGTAAATATATATATATATATATATATATGTATATGCTTTTGTATATATATATTTCTTTATCAAATTTGGTATTACCACAAATTCCTTTCAGATACCAAACGTTACTTCGTATCCACGGTCAAAGGTCAATTCTCTAGATTTTCTCATAAGATCCTTGCAATCTTTATATTATGCATAACGCATATCACAATTCTTGTGACAATAAGGATTAATCGAACTATCAAAGGCGAGTTAAATTTGGAATAAGTAACGTAGTGATTTTTAGGGTACGATATGTGAATCGCAACGATTTCGATTTGTTAATTACATAATATAACGGTATCAAAGATATTACACTAGTTTGTGGCGTGTGACTGATGGATATCTTAGCAATAAACGTGTTTATTACAATTGCAATTGTACATTGATTTTAGGTGAAGAATTAAAGAAAGAGCAACAAAGAAGGAGAAATATGAGTTATAACGTATGATCACGCCTCTCACGTTTATCAACGATCGAACGGCCATTATTAATGTATAGTTTGATTAGAAGAAATGAAATCTCATTTAGTGGCTCTGCCTTACAGCGCCAGTTGAGCTGTTGGAGAATTAATCTCGTTATAACTCTCTTATAAAATATGTACAATTATTATACGATATACGATAATCGGCGAGATAACGAGATTACAATTATGGCAGTCGTTCGTTTGTTATTTGTTAGAATATTATTCATTTCTCTCTCTCTCTCTCTCTCTCTCTCTCTCTCTCTCTCTCTCAGTGTCCTCATACATTGTAAGACTTTTTAAGATTCACTCACCTATATATATATAAGTTTTATTGTAAATAAAAAATAATCTGTTCAATACACATCGATCAGTCTCACAATCGTGTCGAAATGGTTATATGCAGAAACGTTCTACGACTTGAACGTAATTACTTTTCTTTTTTTTTCTTTTTTCCATTCTGTGATAACGAATACGTTCATCCTTTACAGAGTGCGATCGGAGAGTACGATATAATAAAACTTTGTTTTCAATTATTCCTTTTTCTGTTTCATTCCTTCTTTCGCTGAGCTTAAATACATATTTACATGGTTGGTCAATATATACCTTGCCCGAGAGCGACAAACAAAGTCATTGGAAGATGGACGAATTTCTTGGTATTTTTTCTTTCGGTTAATTAACATACAAAAATGCACTTCCACGTTTCATTACTATGATCAAACACCGATATGAAAATCGTTGAAAATTCATTGCATAGGAAATTTCATGGAGCAGCAACTGTACCGTGTACCCAAATTAATGTTACAGTTCATAAGAAAATGTAAGTGTGATATTTAATGATTTTTTCTCTTCTTTAGTCATCCCAAGTTAACGGAAGCTGTCAGGTATTGTCGGATTGAGTAATGAGCAATTCGTATCCCAGGCAAGAGCGTCAATATCAGAACGAGATGAATAATTAAATTGATATATTGTGAATAATGCGTTGAAGATTATCGAATTACAATTATCCTGTATTCCTGAGAGTATAATATGCGGATCTTACCGAGGTAACAGATTTCTGAGACTGCACGTGTTCGAGGTGACCGTTATTAACTATAGAAACGCAGGCTGCATATATATATATATATATAATTTTCGAAAAAAAAATTTATAATAAAAAAATTATCTATGCAGCTTGCGTTATCCTTTCTTCTCGTTACAATAAAACTTCTAATCGCACACAACAATGAACTTTTACAACCCTTAATTAAGCTTAGACGAAATTGGGAAAAGATTATTACAGCGTGACGTTCAATATTGATAGATTATCTGGCACACATTAAAAAATATTTTTTCTTATCAGCGACTGGTGTAGCTTGGTAGCAGAACAGAACCAATAGGTTTAAGTTCGCGAGGAATTCCCAATAATTCACAAAGTGTCTCCCCATTATGTCTATTACTTATTTATTCAAACATTATCGCATGTCCGTGGACGCTTGGCGCGTTTAATGTTTAATTAAACGCAATACAATGTTCAGTTCTTGACGGTAGAAAGAACGTAATTAAATGTCTGACGATGCACGATGAATTTTTAGAATTTTAGACGTGGGGCAGCCGCGCGAATACACGCTGCTGCTCAACTAACATAAACTAGCACATGTGATTGGTTTTGGTTTGCTCTTCGTCGTTTTTCATTGAAAATGCACGCCGGTATCGAATCTACCTATATGCTACATAATTATAGTAATTATCAAGATGCTACGCGTACCACAGATTGACCCAGGGCACTTTATCAGATGTGCAATGTGACATGCGTTTTGTCAGTGTCTAGTCAATCTGTGGTTTTTCTTGCACCTGGCCTTAAAAAGTACTTATAGTCGTTTATAATTTAATATAAAATAATTGAAAATAAATAATTTTCAGAATATTGCCAGCAGATTGACCTGGAATCAAACATTGCCCTAACCTGGCAGTGCGTACACCTCTACAATATACGAAATTGAATTATAATCTGTAAATAAAAAAATATATAAATTTATAAAGGAAGGAAAAAAAAAAGAAATATTAAATATTGCAAAATAAACAGGTTTACAAAATAAATTAATTTATCGATTAAATGCGGTCGTTCTTTAGCTTCTCTTCAGAACCGCACCGAATCGTAAGCAGACTGTGACTGTCTCTCTTTTTTTTTTAGTGAAAAATATAGAAAAAAATAAATCAAGAAAAACTGCTACGCGCTATGCGAGGCTTTAAATAAATTCAAAGGGCTTGTAAATACGTCTAAAAATGAAAATATAGATATATAGATACTGTGCACTTTCATTATCCGTCATTGCTGCTTACGATTCAACAGTTAATCGCGATACCTGTTAATTATACTGTGACGATAAGAGAATATAGTTATTATCCGAGCATTCACAGTAAAGAGATCATAGAGTCTCCTAATCGAAGCAAATATACAATTCAAATATGTCGGGAGACAAGGCGCCTGGCATCGTCGTCCGACAGATTATAAATTCGATGTTTGATTCCAAACGAAGGAACTTCACTGTTTCCTTCGCCGCATTGCGATTGTCAATGAGCCTAAGTAATAAGATGGGCAGCAGCCATTTTGTGTAACCAGCTGTCAAAATAAATGCGAGCACCCGGAGACATCTTGTATGAAGTTCATTCAAAAGACAGTGGGAGCGTTGAAACAAAAATTTAGCAAGTCTCTATTCAGGGAGATTTTTGGCAGAAATTAAAAAATCCCACAAGAAAAAAAAAACAAGAAAAAAATCATGACCAAGTAAGTCGAATACATATGGTGACACTTGAAAAACGCTTACACAGATTGGTATAAAATAATTCTGACAAGATGTCTCGAGAGATCTCCAATTAGATAATAATGTTTCGGGGCAAAAGATATGAGAATCAGTTAAGCTTGAGAATCTCTGTGATAAATTCGAATATATCTAGAAGACTCAAGGATCTTGAACTTGAACGAAAAGCATGCGATCACGTGACTGTATGCGCGCGCATTATGCAATTTGAATTGAAATCCAAGGATATCTAACATTGTGGTACAGGTACCTTCGTCTTGTGCTTTTGTTCGTTAATTGTGTGCCCATCTCACGAGAAACTAGGAACTAACATTTCTTAACTATTTATCATTAATTTTTTTATGTCACACATAGAAACAGTACTCTTCGTTAGTCAGCGATAATTCACATTCGTAGCGCACAGCAATTAACGCGAAGTTATCAGTAAGAAAGTCTGTTGGTCCAGTCAGCCAATCTGATTGCCTTATTCTCATTCATTTTCCCTCTCCGGTATAATACTGCCTAAATATATAATTTCGTAACGCGCAGTTACGTTACTTGACAGACTTCATCATTTTACGTTATAATTAAGTTACTCTTATTATTGCTATAATTGGGATCAGAATTACAGTATCTGAACACATTGTTAAGTTTAGTCACCTATAGCTTTAGTGTCATGGAGTTTCGCATGATTCGCACAATTGGCATCGTGAGATGCATCTGTTTCCTTTTTTTTTTTAATGTAGAAATAACGACTCTAAGAGAATTGAGTTTTGCTTCCGTTCATTCTTTTATCCTTTTTTCTTTAAATCTCTTTAACTATCAATGCCATGTCTTTCTCGCTCTATATTGTTTTTTTTTTGTTTTGGACCCAAACGCTAGAAAATTGATTGGCATCTCGGAACACCTATATAATATTCACATATATAATTGCAAAATACAGGATAACCCAGAGAACTGAAAAGCCGTGGATGGGTAGTATTGGTCATTTGCACTGCAACACGAAGTTTTTTCTTTCGTTAAAGATTAAAGCGAAAATAAATACGATCGTCATCCGCGCGAAAACTGCCACAGGCCAAGTTAAAATCTTCTATCTCGTATAACTTTACAATATCATCACAGTGTTTTGATGTATGTCGCTAATTATTAGACTTATAGATTATTTGAAAACTTACCACGCACTAATATTTCTTTAAGGTTCGTGGCAAGTTGACAATCGTGGATTGTGGCAGTTTATAAGCAATAGGTATGCTACAAAGCGGTACGTAGTAGGAATGTAATGCCCTTATTATTTTCCTGTTTACAATTGGATCCAGTAGAGAAGCACGGAGGAGGCTGACTTTGCCTTGTTCCGTAATTCTCTCCATTAGAATGTAAATAGGACAGTAGGATCGAGCTCGCTAAGTAACCATTTAATGAATGAACTTTTCTGAGCGAGCAACGAACCGCAAGTGGCTTTACCTTCGTACCGCAATCTTATAACAGTCATACAAATTATAAGAATTTACTTATCACCATTCGTAACGTTATAAACTCTATAATTCGTCTTTGACCTCATAAAAATTTCAGACACGCCCGTCCATAGCCCTTGCTATCTGGGACAGTGATAGTAATCACGTAATAGGTAAGTCAATGTCATAACGTAGTACACCTAACTAGATGAGGGACAAAAAAAAATAAATTAAAACTCTACGAGAGATCGACATTAATTGGAGACTGATTGCCTGGAAGAGGCGTGCATAGCGAAGTCGACCAGTGGATTTGTTGGAACACTGACAATGGGGTGCGAAGTACTACTGCTCAAGGTAACATTAGCGGACGATACGAGAGATAGCGGCTTGCATATCAGCTGATCAACCTGCTTTATTGGTACCAACTTAATTGGCATTTCGGCTTTTAACCTGACAGCTTCCGATGTCGGGATACTTTTCAACTGAACACTTTTGATGGGTTGAACCTTGACGGCGGGCTTAACGGTGGAGCTTGAGTTTTGAATGATTTTGGCAATTTTACTCTCACCAACTCCTTGGTTGGAAGACTCGTCGTAACCAGAGTCTGACGAAGAGTCGCTGAACGTCTTGCTGGTTGGCTTTGGGACAGTCGGCTCGGCAGTGGATTCTACACTGTGAGCGGGACTAGCGGATGCTGAACTGTGAACGGGACTTGCTGATGCTGAACTGTGCGATGGGCTGCTTCCAAGTGCGCTTGCCTGTTGTTGTCGTTCTCGTCGCCTTTTCAGGCAGCCTATGCAGGGCTTTATCAGAGTGGGGTCTATCACCACTTCGCCATAGTGACCCTTAAATATTATGCCGCAACAAATCGTTTCGCTAAATACACAGAAGAATTAGATTAAAATTCCAAAGCTTATAGAACGATAAAGTTAACAAAAATTAATATAATCAAATTACCGTTTAAAGTAAGATAAGTCAATGAAACTGCTAACTGGGAGCTGATCTTTGATGTCATCTTGTTCCAAAACTAGTCTTTTCTCGCCTGTTGGATGGTCATCACTTTCGGCTGGACTTCCCGCTCTGCTTGATCCTTTGCTTCCGGTACCAGGTAAAAAGTCCTCTGGAAACAATCATTTGTTTACCCATACATCTTTTAAGTTAGGTTACACACTATACGTATTGTTGTATTCCAAAAGAAATACCAACCAGTTAAATCGTCACTCATTGCTGGGCTTTGCTCCCTATCTCGATCAGGCTTCAAGTACACATGTTTCTTCTTCATAATTTTCTCTATCTTTTCTGGTACTTCCTTTTGTTTCTTTTTATTTTTTGACTTGAACTTCGTCAGGGATTTAATTCCTGGTCCTGCGCGAGCATCAACAACCTGTAGCATGGAACGGATTACATTGAATGAGAATATTTTTATTTCCGCATTCCAGTACACGTGTATCGTAGTAAATATTACTCACGTGTCTCCAGTTGCGATTACTCCCAGCAGGCAACTTTTTCCAACGTTTGACAAGCAGTACACATGCATTGCATATTTCTCCAGTACGACGCTCCTCCAGTTGGAAACATTCCATAAAATCCTCTTCATACTTTTTACTGTCCGTAAATCTTGAACTGAAAGCAAAAGCATAACATTCACAATAGCATACGTAAGATATACAGAATTCGTTATCTCATTTTTCTTTGATCAACTCACCTGCTGGATTTTGCTTTACAGATGCAACAACCAGTACTAGACCGGTACACCTTTGGCTTATGAAAACTAAACATTCTGTCCTTTCCTACTGCAATCTCTTGCCTGCAAATAAATTCCAAAAGTTTCTTAGTGATAAGCAAGATAAAAAATGCATCATTATATATGAAATAACAAGGGATAAATTAATATACTCAAACAGTATTAACATGTCACAAACTCAATTTTTTCTATCAACACAGTTAACACGTGACAAAAGATCTCTGACGGATCTGATTTTAAAAAACAAGGTGACAAGTATATTAGAACTATTTTCCATATCTTGTTATTCTATTTGGTCTCAACACAAAATCTATTTCTGTTACAAAGAGTACATTACTAAAAACAATGTTGCTGCCAGAAATACAGTTGCAGTGACACTGATAATCTACCTTTTAGATTTCCATCAGGTCGTTGAACCCTTGTCAAATACCTAGTCGCTGATTACAATAATTCAAATATTATTTACCACGGAGAATATTTTCGTTCATTAAAAAAAAAAAAGAATAATTGAACATCATTACAAAATACTGCTCAATAATATCAACCTGGGACCAGGTGCATTCCCTGGCTACAGTCATTGGTAGATGTAAGTTCGATAAGTCATTTCTCATAAAGCGGGCTACGCGGCTGCATACGCGTAGTGACGCACGCACGCACGCTGTCAGAGGGCGTCCATAACCTCACAAATCTCCCACCACGTTTCTCAAAGCCGGTCGCTGTTGCCACTTTGCAGGCCAGCCTGTTGCCTGACACTTTCGTTTCAAACTTCGAATCAACTACGCAGTCTCATTGGCATCGTCTACAAGACCACATTTCTCAGCACGGACAGAATTCTTCATTCTTACAAAATCATTTAACTTAAGGAACATCAATCGGATGACGTACGACCAGAAAGACAGATACCTACTGATTTTTTTAACAATGCTTGAACGCAATGAGGGATTCAAATTATACCCTTGCATTATCAGATAACTGGAAGCGATATCGAGCGCACGATACAGATAGCTATATTTGTACAGTGGAATATCAAGCTAATCAGTTTGTGAATGCAGTAGAAATTATGGAAATACAAAATGCCTGTATTGCCACTCACAAAGCTTTTTAGTAAAAGTATAAGAACGCTCCCTCGAGCTGAAAAATGTATATGACAGAGATCCTTTCGACGGTACGCCTCTAATAATAGGAAAAGCGAAATCTAGAAACGAGTGCAACGCGCGAATAATATGAAGGTTGAACGTGCGTACTACGCGTTTACATTTAAGTGGTACGCTCGAAATAATCGCAGGTCTCTTTTTACCACTCGTGTATCACGACCTTTGACGATACCCGTATTCCGTTACACCGCCAGGAACTTATTCCCCCAAATAGTCCTGTCATGTAAACAATGATAAGCCTCCGATTTCGTATATCCTTAACAGATTAGATAATAGCAGAGCTCTTATAAAATCGCAAGTGTACTGTTCCCTCCGAGTATCTTCAGATAAAGATAACAATCTTCGTTATCGTCCGTCGCAACAACAAAGACATAAATAACCAATGTATAAACACAAGCGTTGCTCGTCTCTCCGGCTCTTTTTTACTTTCATTATTTTCAGAAATACTTTGCAACCTTTTTGTGGGAGTGGCTACTCTGCCTCGGGTGCACACGAGCGCGCTCTCCTGCACAAAGCAAGAATGTTGCGAAGCAGGCCTCGAAAATGTAAAGTGCACGACGCCGATTGCATTTTGCCGTTGCGGTCTCGAGGATGGCCCGAGAGGGGAGTGTAGCGACGAGGGTAGGGGATGTGCAGTGTGGGGCAGATGCAGCGACGTTGCCACGTGGTTTGTTGATCGGTAGACCTCTTCATTTAATGTGATACAATGACCCTGCGTAGCAGGACTCGTGTCTCATACGTGGACCATGCAAAACGCCTACGGAAAATTGGCAAGATTGATAAGAAACCAAATGAAAGAAAATATTCTATATATGTACTGAGAATCACTGATCTTAGATACCCTGGGCATTAATTGTCAACTTTGTAAGTTTTCATGACGTGGTGTTTACGACCGCTTTTCCACGCTGTGAAAAAAAAAAAAGAAGAATTACAGAAATGGATAAGAACGAAGGTCGTGATCGTACAGGGAGTAAAGAAGGCTGTTCAGACTGTGATTCATGAAGAGGTACGCCATGACACCTGGATGTATGTAATCGGGACAGCCCAACGAAGCGGATTGGTGTTGGCTGTTGAATTTTTGTAAGATTCAAAAGAGCCGTTACCTGGACCAGACCTCTAGGCATAAGTAGCATTTGAACGGGATGCGTACGCAGGGTCTGTGGACGGGCATCCGAGATAGCAGCTACGAGGATGAAGTTGGCGGGAAGCTGAAAGACAATTGGCTTACTAATGTTTCTTTTATTAAACGATTTTACGAAATCGTCTTGTAAATACGTAGATGCCAAATCCGTGGCAATAATGGATTAGACGCGGACAATACTGAATCACGGATTGATTAGCTTATTTCAATGAATGAAAAACTGCTCCAATAATTTTATATATCGGATCGAATGCGTCTCTGGAGATTTTTGAATCGTTTGCCTGACTTTCAAAGATTCGAAACCGGATTGGTATAGAAAGTTGTCATGAAGAATTATAATTGTCCTTCTCTGAAACTCCCAGCTGCTCTCTGATCAGATGAAAATATGTCACCCTTGATTCTCCTGCTTATCCACGCCTCTAGTCAATGAGTTTCTCAAGTCCAAGAAAATTGGACAAAAGTCATTTCTGATTGCCACAGTCATGGTTCTGTAATCCTCGAAAAGAAGATTCTTGCTAAATCGACTTGGATATTTTACACGGTACTTCCACAGAGTAATACAGCTTCTGGATGTTGTAATTAATTTTATGGAACGTCTCACTTTCTACGGTACGCGATTAATGGTTGTAACTGACTTCTTACAGATCGACCATCTCGTTGAGTAAAATGATGAGATTTTTCGTTCTCAACCCCAACAATTTCAAGTTCCAAAATTCCACGTACTGGCAGTTGTAATTTTGCTGCGCTTCAATTTTCTTTCCAACGTAGAAAAGAAAGCTATCTCTCTCTTGCTCATTCGTCTTTAAATCTCTATGTATAATCCGGCATTTTCTCTCTTGTGCAATCCTCGTTATTTCACTGCAATCACAAAGGAAATCTTATACTAGTTTGCTGATAGTCTTATACTTCGTACAATACATTATGCTTGGCACCTTGTCCCTGACATAGTTACCTGGTGATCCCAAACTTTCAATCTCATTTCTACTGTCACTGGTTTCTGCGAAGATTCGTACAGTTAGAACGCCAATCATTAACGGTACGGTATATAGGCAGTAGAGTAGGGGTGACCTAGTTATAGATTATACATTGTAAAATATTTAACGTGCAAGACTCAAATGAATTGTCAGACGACTAAGTAATCAATGGAAAATTCTAATCGGTCAAAATGGTCTGACCTTATGTTGCACAAGTAAAATAAATACTTATTTCCTTAAGATTCACGATGGTCGCGTACAACTTTTAGGTGACGCGAAAAGAAAGTCCATTGCGCAATTATGATCGACGACGTAATTTGAGAAAAGAATTTTCTCATTGGTCTTTTGATAGTGGGGTACATAAACCGTTCGACTTACTCGCCGCCATGCCCCTGACATCATTACCCAGTAATACAGCTTTCGTTTTCACTTTTACTATCACTATTAATTTTTGAAAGTGGACAACTACTTCCTTCCCTATTGAAAAGTGGACCGGAGATAGTTTTAAATGGAGGCGGGCCAACTGAATATTTATGACAATTATAGGTATATGAATTAAAAAAAAAAATGTATATGCTTGAATTTATATGCTTTTTACATCTGAAATAGATAAAATACAAGACTATTGATATTATAAATGGAATTACAGTATCGCGATACCTAGTATCAAAGTATGCTGAAGTATCGCAAGAAAAATATAAGAAAAAAGGAAACAGTAAGGTAGAAACCTTCTCAAAAAATTTTATTCTATAATTTTGTTAACTCTCAGTGATAAATATGGGTCAATAATTATTATGGTTTAATAAAATATCTAGATCCAAATCTAAAATATTGAACTTCACTAATTTCACGGTTATCATGGCGAAGTGACCTAAATATTTGAATTCCATGATGATTCTCCACGTAGTAGAAAAGTAAAAATACCAAAGCGACGCACCAAATAGCATCACTGTCGCCGAGCATATGTCTTACCCAACGTTCACTGGAGTCATATCGTAGAAGAAAATTTGCCAAGTTTAGGCGCCCCCCGGAAGATAAAGCCCTTGTTTATGCAGTTAAGTAGATATTCTAACAGATGACTACTGTCACATTATCGGACGACGGTCAACATAATCGAGCGTCCGAGAATAAATTGTGGACGGACGCGCAACAGGGATGCAAGTGTCCCGTGTGGCGCATCACGCGAATTTGATGGAAAAAAAAGAACGAAAAGAAAAAATGAGGCTACGCAAGAGTTTCTCGGCCGGCGTGGAATTTTTATGTTTATATAGGACAGCCGTGTAAGGGCGACTATGAATCTGGATTGGAGAACAAAAGGATTTTTGGAGGATTGCATGTCAGAATGTGGATAAACTTGGGAAACAACAAGAAAGTGGAGTAGTAGAGCGAGCATGACAGCCGTGCCAGTCGAGGGACAAACAGATGGATAGACGGGAACGACGTGCGCAAAGAGGAGACAGACATGGCGCGTGGCACAACACGCTCGCCGCCATCGGCGCTTCCTTCCCTTCTCACCCCGTTAGGCGCGAGCCGCGAAATATCACGTAGAAATATAGAAAGAAAACGGAAGGTAGCCGCCGATGGTATTAGGAAAGAAATATGTGGAAAGCCTGCGGGCTCTTGATGATAACCGGCCCGCTGCTGTCACTTGTTTTAATCGAGACGGCAGTGGCAAAAAATTGTGGATCGCGAACCCGCCACGGGCACGCCATGACAGATGATACGGCACGCAAACAAACAAGACCACTCGCAAAACAGAATACGACGTACCTTTTCGCGGGAATGGCGTGTATGCACTGTCCGGATTTCAAGGTAAATGCACTGGTTATCGTATTGTCGACGAGAGGATACGAAACGAGCTTGGATATCCTTTCAGAATGACGTCTTGTCGCCTGTCAAGAGTGAACCAGCCGACAGACCGAAAACGCACAAAGCCTAGGCTTGTGCACGGTGAAAGTTTTTGGCTTGCGTTGACATAAACCGTCTCGTACAGGCTGCACTCGCAAACTTTTCTCGATGCTGAATTTCTGACACTGACCCGGCACGTCTGTCGCGCGCGAGGTAACGCTAACTGTGCGCGATGATACAGCAGGCTGGCAAATCTCGCCGAGGCCGGAGACGCTGACATTTATGAACATATTTCTCGTCTGTTCACAGATAACGGTACGTGACAATTGGCCCAATTGCTAATAACGCATTGAACAAGTAGTCTATCATAAACGTGAATGAAATCCGCCGGAATTTTATGATAAAAAGCTAAAATTAGTGACAGGGAATTGCTTACCTTTTCAATACAGGTGACGGCCAGATTTAAGAGTCCTTCTGCGCAGGCCCAGAGCGCAGGCTATGGTTTACGTTATAGTCAAGTGAAGTACTGCAGGTACCACGCTTCTTTCGAAATGCACTTGTATTTTTCAAATAAAAGTTTACATCAATTTTATCTTGTTGCCTAATTTATATTTGTGCCTAATCGTGACAAAAATAATTTCGAAACACGAAACGCATTGACACTTGTCAAAATGTAATATCCGGTTGCATTGATCTGCATCCGGCGAAGTGTTTGATTTTTGTTGCTAGCCGGCAGTTCAGCAAAATTCCACTAGGGCATAAAAGCGGCATAACTTTTTCGAATTCTATCTGTAGACTACGATGTGATTTATAAAAACTATTGTATATGTAATCGACCAATAAATCTAGTAGTCAAAATTTCATTACAGCATGACACTACTTTAATGATATCAAGGCTTTCATGGATACAAATGTTTTGTGGACAGAGAACGTAACGCCATCTTCAAAATATTGATATTAAATTACGTTTATTCAAGTATAATCCGTATTTAATGCGATCAGAAAGGCGCTTGTTAATCTGCCAATGAAACTCAATGTATTAATGATTGATAGTACGCCATTTTCGAATTAATGGTAAACAAAGTATGTCCATGCCATCTTGTGGCGTAGTTGACGAAAATCCATTGTGATTGCGGTTCCTCTTCCTTAAAAAAAAAAAAATCCTAGATATGAACAGGTTAAAACAGCTGATTCTTCACTTTTGACGTTAATCCAAGAGAAACAAAAATATTAGTCCAAACTAATGTCAATACAGAATAACACAAGTATATAATGATAACCACTTATTAGCATCTTGAATGAAAGTCGGCGACCAGATTTTCAACTGTTTATATAATATTACTGTTCAGTTTTATTAGAAAGTCGTAAAAGAATGGCCAATTCAGTTGCTAGTACTAGCAATGGTTATAATTTTAAAGTTGTGTTACTTGGGGAAGGGAAGGTAGGAAAAACTTCTCTTGTTCTAAGATATGTGGAAGATATGTTCAACGATAAACATATTATAACGACACAGGTAGGTTACGTTTTATTTATTTATATTATATATTGAATGTCATTTTTTTCAATTTCTGTACAATATAAAGTAATGTGATGTCCATTACAGGCTTCGTTTCTAAAGAAGAAACTGAATATTAATGGAAAACGAATAAATTTGGATATATGGGACACAGCTGGACAAGAAAAGTTTCATGCTCTAGGACCGATATATTATCGTATGTCCAATGGTGCTATTTTGGTGTATGATATAACTGATGAAGAATCATTTAAGAAAGTAAGTATTCCATTGATTTCCCTGAAAAGCAGGTCGAATAAATGTATTATTCTTGCAGGTGAAGGATTGGGTAAAGGAACTAAAGAAAATGTTAGGTAATGACGTCCTCTTGGTTATTGCTGGCAATAAATTGGATCTTGAAAATGATAGGAATGTCACAGTAGAGGAAGCAGAGGCGTAAGTATAATTTTCCATAAATTCATTATCATTAAAGAACCTTTCATTGAAAGTATTACTATGAAGAACTGCTTACATCAGTACGGAATCATAAATTATTGAGGCCAGATACATAGTTCAATTTATGGGACATGCATTGGGTCTAAGTACAGTATCTTAGTGTTCAATTTGTGTCTTTTAAATTATTTTGTACTGTTTTGTTGTACATTAATCAAACAGCAGTATTGATTCCATGTTATCATCAGTGCACAATGTGTCTTGCAAAGTATATACAATTGCACATAGGTTTATTCTCTTTTTATTGTGATAAGATAATTATATATTTTTGTACCCTTCAAAATTTACAATAAGCAAGCTCTGTGCGCAACTGATTAATTCTTGCCAACATATATTGAGAATATAAGAAGCATTTCTTTATCATTTGATTTAACTATCTTTCCAATAAAATTATTTGCTATATTTAGATATGCGAAACAAGTTGGTGCTGTGCACTTTCAAACTTCTGCAAAACTCAATCAGAATATAGAAGAATTGTTTCTGGACCTTACACGTCGTATGATGGCTCATGCCAGTGAAGTAGAACAAAAATCTACGTTGACGCGAACGAATAGCACGCGACGTAACGTGGTGGTCGTGGAAGATGAGTCCGAACAAGATCAACCAGTTAAGAGTTCCTGCTGCGGTGGTAGCTCCTTGCAAAATCCGTAACGGGTGATAAATTGCGAATAAGCATGAATTATATATAAATGTATATATTAGTTATCTTTCCTATATCCCGCAGCGAATCCCAGTTTTTAATTGATACATTTTTTTTACGTAACATGGAAGGAGAAATTCATATTCCTGTTTTAATATATACAGAAAATATATATATTAGAATCTAAACTATAAGTACATTTAATAGACATACACACGTTACTGAGTACATAACGAAATTGTGTATAAATTCAAATGCAAATATATATTAGGAATATTTCTCAGACGCTACACCTCAGCTGAGAAATGCAAAGTGTTGTTTTATATTTATACAAAATCATTTACATTGATAATCATTGTTTCTTACACTGTGAGGTATGTGATGATTATAAAATAAGACTTCGTTCTAAGGCTCTAAAAGACTTCGAAGTTTACTGCAGTGATCATTCGTCGCGAAAAGTCTTTAAGTTTCCCTTATCTTTACTACAATTCCAGAAGAGAAAACATTTCTGATAACCAATCATTATACAGTTTCCAAAATGGCATACGGAGATAATTTCTTTCTGCCCCCCAGATGATTTACAGTATGATAGATCTGTTTACAGTTAGTATGCTATATTTTACTAACTACACAGAATAAGAGCCAATTCTATATACCAGATTCTTCAGCCTAAATACACTACCTGAAGTTAGCGCATCTATTCTCATGGTGAAACCATTTTCAGGTATTGCGTTAAGGCTATAGAGCCAGGTATGCCATTTTATACCATAATTCAACAACGGTTCCTACCTGTATCATAATGATTAACCTTATAAACGATTAAAATTACTCCAAAAGGATAATGAACGTTGTCACACAAAATAACACTATGCATTACCCGTCAACAACAATGATTTTAAAAAATATAACATTACAATATAATACAAGTCGGACATATGCGTACATATAGTGTCGTTTTGATAAAAGAACAAAGTAGTATATTCATTTTTACTTAAAGAATTAATCAAACGGAATCGATATATCGATGCCATAATTGTATGTAAATATTTTGTCATTTGGCCTACCGTGAAAATAAATTCATCATAAACTAATATCATCTACTATACTACTATTTTGATATTCCCCAACAGGTGTAATTCGCCTATCCATACAAATTCCATCAATATATGTGGCATGGTTTAGAAATAAAAAATATATATATACTCCTTCATAATATACTCCTTTAATTTCATATACGGTGTTTGTGAAATAAGGGTACAATGTGCTAGTCTATCACAGGTACATACATGGATCGTGCACGTATCCATCTATTCTAGCAACACATTTCTCATTATAGAGCTACCCGTCATTACACGGTATACAATGAGATTTATTTTTTGTTACTGTAGTTATTAATTTATCGTACGCAATAATTGCCCGTGGTTTATACCTCTGAGTTAGTATATAAATATTTAGAATGTTGGAAGGAATAGTTAGTGAGTAAGAGTTACTCTAGTATGATAATGTTAATAATAATCATAAGAATAATAATAACCGCTATAATTCTTGTATAAATGTTGAATGTCTACTGTAATTTTCTTTCCTTTTCGCAAGTCAATGAATACATTGCGAGTAAAACGTTTACCAATGCGCTTATATGTATATTATATTAGTCTTGTGTGTACACTAATTGAAATATACGAAATATGGATTTTATTTGTAAAAATTGGCGAGATCTTTACGGTTTTTGATATACAATAACGATGGTGACGTTATCAATTGAATCTGTATAAGTTTTGGGCGAACTAGGCTGTTGCGGATTAATAAAGTTCCCTATCAGTCGCGTAACGTTACAAAAGACTATATATGATCTCATGAATTAAATTAGACGACTAAGGACCGGTTCCACAAACACGATTTATTGTTTAAATTCGGTTTATCTCCGCTATTAGTCAATTAGAAATTTGTATTTTGAAGATAAAAGAAGTTTAAACGATAAACCTTTTTTGTGAAAACGAGTCTGAAAAGACTAGGCGATTTACTGCGTGGTTCCTTCTTCCGGCAGTTATGGAATTAGAAGATAAAGAAAGAAAAGATGATTTACGACGAGAGGAACAATTATAGTTTCATTTTCAATGATTCTTCGTGATACAAGAGAATATTCTTTTGCTTGAATAAAGATACGTGTTGTGGCTACTCTTTTATAATTATTATTTCTCCATGAGTTAGACCTGTATTGTTATACTGTGCTAGATTTAGTGAAGATGATTGGAACATGCAAGTTCTTGTAGATGAGCAACACAGCGTAAGAGGCCCAGAAGAACATTTTGTTTCTGTACAGTGGTTAACGAAGAAAATAAAACATACTTAAGCTAGATTCGATCATCATTCTTTATGCCAGCATAAGACATCATCGTGTATTCCACAATAGGTCTGTATACATTAATGCACCATCCTATCTCCTTCGCACCTCACTCTCTGATTTCTACTTCCTTTTTATTTAAAAATTAATGCTACGTACTCTAAACTATACTTCTTTTCTTTCTTTTATACACTATTATTAGATAATATTTACACGTTATTTATAATACAGGATATGCTGACAGTCACACATTTCTAGAAATCTGACATATTTCATTTGATCTAAGCACATCCTTCCTATATGTCAATTGGCAGATAGACGTATATGGCTAAGTGAACTTCTCCGCCAATCTTATATAACATGGAATGTAATTTTTGATGATTACATAGAATTGCCTGTAAAACTATATCTCGCCACGCAGACAATATTTTCATCTAGTCTGAATGCAAACCACATCAATAGAAAAACGATACTCATCCTTAATGATAAAATCGTATCCTAGCGCTGTGTGGTCACGGAGGCATTCTGTATGACGTAATTACATTACTAAAATATCGAATTTGAGATTAATCTAACTTGTGGGTAACGCTAACACGTTTTATGTTAACTGAATGACGTTTTCACTTATCTTTGGTATACAATCTTACATATCTTTTTTTACTCTCTTTCGTTTTCGTATAAATATACACTCATTCAAAAAGACTGACTTGTAACGTTAAACCAACTTTCTCGTAGTTGACCCCTAGTGAATGACTTTTGCGACTTCCATCGCGCAGTCGATTCATAAATATTGTGCAATCGCTTCTACTAATTATTTGTGTGAATATTTATATCCGATTTTGCGAGGTTCTTTTTTTTTTTTCTTTGCAAGTCTCGCCGTTGTGCAAAGATATTTTTTAGAGACGGTTTTATCATTAATAAAAATGTTATAAGGCAATTACCGTTCGCCTCGTGTACTCTGTAAACGATATTGCTGTACGTTGCATCGAATCATTGGCTAACAGAAGTTAATCTGGGTCAAAGAACGATATGAAAATCGCACAGCAGGACGTATAACGTATTAAGACTGTTGCGAATATTATATTACTTAGTTTCTCAACTCAGTGATAAATAGTATGAGATTTATGCATCATGAAAAATCGTAATATCATACTTGACGCAAGCATTGGCACAAAATAAAGAATAAATTTAATTACCATTAAAACCCGGGCGAGATTAGTTAATAAATTGTTGCTTGCTAATTTATCTTAAATACATTAATAATCGGATCGGAACAATCCAATAGTGATATATAGTTTTCTTTTTTCTGAAATAAATATAAACTAATAATTTGGTTTGCATTTAGGCCTTTGACTATCGTCCGACAATGCTCTGTACTTAAATGATGAAGATTTTGTCCTGATAAGTAAACAAAAAATCAATAAATTGATTAATGGGACCTATCGCCGATAACGACAAGCCCTGAGACGGTGGAGCTCTCACGAGATTTGGACCAAACACCACAGCTAGATTACTCGAGGTCATCTTATTCAGATCACTCCTGTCCATTACCTATAAAAAGAAACATATGGCTTCCCTTCTGCTCTATTTCTCAATTTTTACTTTTCTTATTTTATGCATAAAAAGGACTTACCCTCGAAAGGAACTGCACGATGTATTTCAAAAGCTGATAGTTGTCTTCGGGTAATTTCTCCAGGACTAAAATCTTCACTCTCCGTGGACGTTCGTCTTTTGACAAGGCTAAATAATTGTAACAAAAATTAATTTTGCGTTACTCGATAGCAGCTATCGTCGAGATGTTCAATTGGAATCCTTACATTGGAACTGTGTGATCTCATCATAGAGTTCATACGTCATAAGCGGCTCTTCTAGCTCGCGCAGGAACGTTTTTAGCAAGACGGCTGCTATGTGAGGGTCGCATTGAAAATCTACAGGCAGTCCTTGATTACAACGACTCTGTAGCTCTTTGACAACAGCGACGTTAGCGGATCTTCTGAATATACCTTCTGTCTCCAACGCTGGAAGAACGAAGCTCACTCAGTATGACTAACATAAGTATGACATTCTCTATCAGTATAAATATATTCTGTCTCACCATCAGGAGTATCAAGAAATTCCACGCATTGTCGTACAATTGGTGGTATTGGATCATTGTTATTGTTTTCTTTAATAAATTGAAGACTTGCTCCGAATTGTGTGGTTCCGATTGGTGTGACCACTGCAGTTGGTGCTGTACTCGTTGGCACACACCTTTTGTTTTTAATCATCAACTGCTCGTCATGTCTAAACATATAGCGTCACGTAGAAGTATCATATCTCCAGGATGTAATAGTAAAGTATACTCACTCTAAGACTTGTAAAGGAATAATCAACTGGTCGAGATTTATGTACTGTGCCAATTCCTCCAAATAATTAACATACATCATCTTCCGACCGAATTTTGCACTAAAATGTTATTTCCTTGTTAATAATGTGATCCTCTAGATAGAGCATGTAGTCATTACCTGATGGCTGGCTTGAAAATTTGCCATACGATCCTGATAAAGTTGGTTGGGTGTACTAGGTATAGGGCTTTCAAATTTTTTTTATACTTCCTATCGAAAGCCTTATATGCTTGCCATAACCAGGACAACGATGGTTTATTTTTTGAAGTGAGACCATAGTGAAAGTATACTAAACTATAGTCTTGCTCTACAAACGTGTCTAACGTGTGTGTTAGATATCTAGAAAAATATAAAATTTCATGTATATGACTTTCAAAGGTTTATCAAGTTGTATAAAGTTATAAACAAACCTGAGGAGCTTAGCGTGATTGAAGACTTCTTTTCCGATTGGAGGTAACTTACAAGCGGACACAACAATAACTTTACGCCCGGCACTGTCATCCCCGACAACTTCGACAATTCCGAGTCTTGCGATATCTAAATAATCCTCCTCATCTGCAAGTTCTCCGTCGAGTGCGGCGAGATCATCTGCTGCTCGATAAAGAGTTGTATTTTAAAATTAAAGCCGTGAATCTTATTACAAAATTTTACGCATTCCTACTAAATATTTTTTAACATAGAATGCATTCCAAATTGCTATCCAGCTCAAATTTTTCTAGCGCATTTAAACTGGATAGTCCTGTATAGCGTGAATATTTCATCTGTTTTGAAGAACCATGCAGTGAAAAGCTATACAGTGGTCTATTGAATTCACCTGCTACACCCTGAATGCCATGACATTTTAGCAGCTATTAACAGAAGATTAAAGATCACACACCGGTTTCGATAACTGGAGCATCTACTAGAGCTTCTTCAAAGTTTTCTTCGATTGTTCCATCACTGACTGGACTTTCCAAATAATCCAATCCTGTGCCTGCACCACTTGCGCTCAACTCCAATTTTTCTTCTAACAATTCCACTGCTGTAAAGTCACGAAATTTTATATTTACATATGTTTAGACATTTTTCTCATAAGGATTATCTAGCAGCTAAGTTATTGTAATTGTAGTTTTTTGCTATTAACTAACATAAATATCACAGCACAGAACATATATTGCAAAAACGTATAAATCCCAACACAATACAAGGTCAGTGCATGTCAATAAAATATTAAATATCATTGTACAATTAATATTTACTTAGCCATGCAATACTAATCTTTGACAAATGATACGTCTTAGTCTAGGGCATGGTTAGGGTGTACCACTCATGCCTTACCATTGTCTGCTGTTGCCTGTAGTTCCGTATCATCAAACTCCAAGTTTGGTTCGTAATCATGATAATCCGAGAGGCTTGGATAAGGATCTTCACCATCATTGTTTACAGCTATTACATACAGACATAGACACATTACTACTAATATAGCATATTAAAGAACTCTTATAATGTTTTGAAATTAATTGCCAAGCTATCCTCATTGTTTGATTCATGAATTATCACAAATCCTGTAATTCAAATCAATGATGATGGGTCCATTAGAAACTATAAAATATATTTGGATAGAAAAGTCTGTACAGAAATAAAAGTTCCCAAGCAGATTACAATATTATATCTCACAGGACAAAAAGCACCCCTCTGCTATACACATATAAACAAACAAATAATATTTGATAAAAAAAGTACGTTTCATGATGTTGCTTTGCATCTTGAATTATCCTTTATGTCACAGAGGAATATTAATTATTTATATCGTTCAAGATTTAGAATCGTATTTATAACTGGGCTCAATATTCCTACTAAACATTGACATCTGCAGTCAAGCAGACTGTATTTTTGCAATATCTATTTTTACATTCGTAGAACATGTCGATACTAAAATACGTTTCGTCCACACAACTCGAAGGATAGGATGTTTTATAATCTTTTTGCCTAGAGACTACAATCAAGAATATATACTCGAGTATTTATCGACTCCTGTCACAGAACGGAGCACAATCTATTCATAAAACAGGATAAATTTTCCAACGAGTGATATAGTCGCAAGGAAATCTGTCAAGCCGAAACGTCAAAAAATCTTAGAAAGATAAGATTAGTTTTTTTTCTCTTATAATCAAATACGATATGACGTTCCTTTTTGACACGCAGAAAGTAGCGTCAACAAGCATCGCCGATGAATTCTCTCACCTGTCAAACCTCGAGCTGGACTTAGCGTCGGTTGATAATCAGCTTCCATTTTTTCTCAGCAAAACTTATGGACAAGCACGTAGCACTAACTGGAAACGAATTCGTTCCTATATTAGAAACGTTAAGACTTTTTCCAGTGTAACGACATTATTTGAGCGTGATACAGGAAAGCAACGCACTCACGTCACGCTTTCATCTGTTGTCGCTAATCGCAATTCGCAACCACTCGTCACTCCCATTCCCACTCAAGATCAGTGACTCACTTCACTCTATTCCGTCATTGGTTGAATTCGTTATTTAACGCGTCGACTCGCCGTTAACTTCTGGCGACGCGGGCAGAAACCGTTACTATAAAAATACGTGTCGATGCAGACGGTTTCGCAAGATTTAACAAAACTTTTGAATATAATGAGCTAGACTCTTATGGAAGCTGGAATTCGCCTTGCGTAAGAAGCTGAATACATTCGAAAATCCTTGAAAAGGGTGTCTTGTCCGGAATAAGGTACCACGCCTATCTTCACTTTGAAGATGCTGTGTAAGGAATCCATGGAATCGAATGATGAAGTTTCAGTGAGTTTATTTTCAGAATTTTATCTCAAGTATCGTTTCAATTTTCATAATTACTCTGAGTGATTGAAGGAGCATGCTATTTTTAGATCTTTGGACAGATTTTTAATTCTACGTTCAGTTTAAATCTATTCTTGAGCAATTTTTAATAAGAAAGCGTTTATCAACGTTAATATAAGCCACAGGTAATATATATTACTTGGTTGTCATATCAAAGCGATGTGTGTATAGTAAAAGTTAGAGTCGAGGCTACACAAATTGCGTGTGTAGAGTTAGATTATATTTATGTAAGTATGTACATAATAATACAATGCGTTGTCATCGGGATAATACATTTTGGTAGTGTGTACTGTGCAAACCCAAGGAAATTTAATATTAAAAAAAGGTTCGACTTCGTATCCTAAATAATTTTTAGATTGCAGACTGTAGAAAATGAAATATTAATTTAGATACAGGCTCGTCGAAGGAAATTGGCCAAACGTTCTTCAATAATCTTTCCATGGGTTACGCTAAGCACGTTTACGTATAAGGCAGGATACATAAAACATAATCGCATTACCAAGCCACATTATTCATAACTGGAGGACTAGGTTATCGGTAGAATAAAAATCGTTATACAGATCAAAACAAAGAAGAAAGAGAATTAACGAGCAAAAAAAGGGCTCGCCAAGTTTTGTCAACACTCTTATCTAATCTCATTTAAAACTATGGGCAATTCGCAATTCTTGAAATTTTAGGCACGTACGTTTATGAAGCTCACTACAAAAAAAAAACCAGTTTCATCAGGACATGACAATAAATAGAAAGCGTTCTCATACACGTACAATGAAAATCATTATAAATTACTTATATACGATCTTAAATATGAACGGTCATGGTACCACCCACCCTCTTCGAATTATGATGATTTTCATTAATATATCGAATCAATAAAATTCCATTGCGTAATTTAGAGCAAACAAATATTTACTGTACAGCCGTAACGTTAAGTAATGAATCATACGCTTTTCTATAATACACAATTTTATTCTCAAATTCCATCTCGTTATCACTGGACGCCAAATCACGCGCCATTATTCAATTTTTGAAGCTGTCGCACTTCCGTCATTCATTCGCAAACTACACTACAAAATTGCGTGTAGCCATTGTAAATAAAATATTTTCCATTGCTCATGCCGCGTGCACAAATTTCATTATAGAAGCGGCAACGGGTAAGCTTTGGCCGTTTGATCATTGTAAAAATATTTTCATACTAGTGGAATTCATTCTCCCCTCTAGACGCCATACTTGATTACTATCTGACGATTAATTGTCCCGCACTTCTAATGGCAATCATTGGATGGTCTAATAATAATATATATTATATATATTATTGTTTTATGCTAAATCCTCCAATCGTTCGTTCTGAACCAATATTTAACTAACGCTTTTAAGTTTATTCGATCGATCACAACGATTATCGCGAATCGTTAAAAAATATTGGACCAAATACTATGCCGTTTGTCTCAACGTGCGCAAAAAGAATTCATTGATTCGACTAAATGACGAATGACTTTAAAAAGTCAAGGCAAGGAAATAAACGTTCGGTGTAAACGTTACAGCTTTTATGACAAAGTGTCATTGTTGAAAGATTGTACATTTAATTCTCATTTTGTAGAACCAATGAATTTTCTGTGTCCTTGACGCGACTTACTCGTCCCATAGAAAATTGACTGTACATAATGACTTAATTATAGTTCAATACAGTCAAATACCATCTCGCTACATTAAAATAATTATCCCAGTCTCTTTGCGAACATAAAAATATATTCTTACACCTTATTGTTTTTTTAAATAGAATATACATATCACGCTTATTCTTTTTGTTTTATCGCTTGTTAAAATAATTCTTGAAAAATATTGCATTTCTCTTATGTTCACTTTCTCTGTCGATTACGTGATCGTCTGTCGGTACGACAATGATCTATAATTTCCCATACACGATCAAATATATATTGTTTCCCGCTTAAAGAAATCAAAAACGGCTCAGTGTCAGCTACAAAGGACGTTTAAGATAATTCGAGATTGAATTTGTTAGCCTTGGATTATTAAATCACGAATGTTCCTATCGAGAATATAAATACGGATTATTTTTAGAAAAAAAAATTTATCAATTCCCTGATTGAGTAATTTTCTACGTCAATTCGTATAGTCGATACAAACCGTTGAGAGTTCGATTCATTCTCTTAATAAGTGTAAAGAGAGTGTTGACTCAAGCATTGTACATGTCATAAAAGAAGAAGAAGAAAAAGAAAACGAAAATGTCACACTAAACTCGTGAACGTGTGATAAAAACTTAAATGCACAACATTCCCAAGTTGACTGGATTAATTCGAATAGTCATAGACTTTTCGTGTTTTGTCACCCGTATCGCTTTGTATAGCATTGCTCGCAGTCTTATAAATTTCAATTCCCTATGGTATCTCCTGTCCTCGTGAGGGTAACGAGTAAGATGTAAAAAGACAATTAAAAAGAAGAAAATTAGCGCAATGGTGCACTGCACTGAATATCTGTAACCGTCCTTTTTTTACTTGGTGTTAATCTTAGGCCCTTAGGCTTTTAGCCAACCTCTGATTTTAAGATCACGGTCTTCGTCCTGGTACCTGCAATCAAAAATAATATTTAGCGAATTCCCTTTCTGTGTGAAAACAAAAAAGAAAGAATGACGTTCTAAAGCAATCGTTATCTTACAATAATTGTGCATTATCACGCTTATGAGATAGCAAGTCAAAAATGATAAATTCACGCGTCATTTCATTGTCTCGATGACTATAGTAGCACAGGCTTACCAGTTGCATGGCAAATAACACTTCGCAGAGGTGCATAATAAAGCCAAGCTGTGCTGTGTCCCTATTAAACCCTCTGCCCATTGTTTATTTATGTGCGAGGATGTGTTACTAAGAGTTATTCACGTGTCTGTGTATTTATGGTGGACTGATGTGTCAGAGGCAAATTAAACCAAAGAGTAAAAGTGACCCATAAGCTTCCAGAACATAATTGATTAAAAAACAAAACCATATTATGCACTGGTAAACCTCTGACATAAACACAAATGTGCAGTTGATATGAAAAACAATGTTTTTGTGCTTGACATAAATTAAGCTTTATCGATGATGTAACTGTGTAGTAACTATATTCAATCAAGAAATCAATGTATTTATCTTTAATAAAATTACAGTATCGTGTTTTAATACCTGGCATGGCCAACGTTTCTTTACGTTCATGTTTGCTTTTACCTCATATAAATTGTTTAGCCTGCCAAGGCCTGGTTCACGTTAAGATATTGAAAGAGGTGGATTCATTTCCCAGATATTGAATCAAGAGTGCTTAGAAATTGTGAAAGAAAATCCAGAACATGCGATTGGAATTTATTTAGCTACAGCTACTTCAGAGTGCCTATTGTGGAAATAGATATTTACTATGTAATATGTATACAGCAAACACTCTGGGTACACGCAGCACAGAAACATGCAAATCTGCATTGTGTGTACCATATAGTATAGATCAATAATATTTATAAAAATCCGAAAGTAATGACATGGTCTACAGAATAAGTATGCAATGCCTTTTTTTTGAACAATAATAAATTAGTAAGCATAATGTATTAGAAAAGTTCAAGTATTCAAGTATGACTAACATGGAAAGCCAAACAATTATGCTTCATCATCAATTTAGTAGACTATAACGTAGTCCATCGATCATCAACGAAACATTCAGAGTCATTGCAAGTTTATTTTATATCTATACTATGCATGCTATAGTATTAAATTACTGCTACAAGTACGAGCAAAAGTACAGCATAAATGTGGTTTTGCAATAAATGAAACCTATGTAAAATAAGTGTTAAAGGAAAAATATAAACGGCTCGATATGAGATGATACGAAGAATTCTGTAAGATGAAGAGAAATCAAATATGCAGCTAGGATGGCTAAAAGGGTAAGCATATAGGAAGGACTGGGGACTGAAGGACTTGGAAAAATCTCTACGGTTTTGATAGGTCGTGCGATTACGCTTGTGGGTACAGTGAGTGTCGGGCACGAGGGTCTACGCCACCTTTGTCGCTCCTCTTCCAGCAGAGCAATCAGCGAGTCACGCTTTGAAACAATTTCCAACATTTCTGTTAATATTTCTCCCTCCTTTTTCACATCGTCTTTGGTCTTCTTCTTATCTATAATAATACAAAAATCAGATTTAATGTCGTTATATTAAATAGACAGTAATTATGATTTATTATGGATTAAAATAACTTAAGGTATACTGACCATCATCGGCCAATCTTTCTCGCAGTTCCTGTTGCAATCTATCATGACGATCTTCCAACTGAACTTCCTGAGCACGCACCAACAATTCCTTCTCGTATCTACGCAATTCTGTTCGTTCTCTCATTAAGTCAAACCACTCACTCATCAGATCAGCTTCTTCTCGATCACAGGATTCTACACGAAATTCAAAAATATATATTCAATATTATATTAGATAAGTCATTAGATCCCTTATCAGCTAGAAGAACATACCTCCTTCTCCACGTAATGCCTTTTCAACACTGACACCTCTACTTTCTAATTCTCTTTGCTTCACTTCGGTCTCCTCTAATTTTCTTTGTATTTCTTGAGCCATTCGTAACCTTAATTAAAGAACAAAAGAAATTCTTATAGGACTCATTCATATGCTTTGAATGTTTAATCAGATTCTAGTTTAGTACCTTTTGAGCTGTGCTTGTCTTGCTATCCGCTTAGCAGTTTTGGCTTTACGGGATATACTGTTACATGAACCGTCAGCCAGGGTGGTTTTGTGCATTTGTGAAACCGACAAAGCCGTTGCCTTCGAATCGTCTTCCGATATACTGTCATCTGTTTACACATGCATATACCTTACTTATACCACATGCTCCAGGATAGTATAACCAAACTGAATTTAATATATTTAAAAACCAGCACCAAATACTCCCTCAAAGTATCAGTCATTTAATAAGACTTGATTCTATGAGGCAGAAGTTGTCTTCGCCTTTACCTGATATATGAGTTGTTGGCATTGCATAACTCAGTGGTGGTGGAGGTATTGGTGGTGGATTCTCATTAAGGAAACTTGCAACTAACATCCCTTCAGAAACACTCTTAGGCCGTGAATCGTACTTCGGGGAGATATCCTTGTCGAGCTAAAAATGAAAAAATTATTAATACAATATCTGCAGTTGTCATCAGTCAAGGTAACACACACTGGGGTAAACATATTACGAAAATCATTAACATCAATCAAGTGGGATCAGTATTAATTGCTGAAAAAGTAAACCAAGCTCTAAATAAAAAAATGTAAATTGCATACTTCTTGTATGGAGTTTCTAGCACGTTAATGATATGCATAATTATCGTGAGTCATTTGTTTTTTATATATAAAGATGTCATAAGTGAGTATGCACTCCCTATCTTTTATACGTTTTGCATTTTCATTAATTATTCAATGTGAACAACGAGGCACGAAGGAACATGCTAATTATACTAATGGAGACATTGGATAAGCTACAGTTGATTAATTACTGTATCCAGTGGAGTAATATACTTTGTATGTTGGGTATAAATCCCATTGTTAGGTATATATGGCTATCAGAACACGTTAAAGATTAAAAATTACATCAATTTTACGTGCTGGGTTTATACATCAAAGAAAGCACAGTTCAGTACAATGCAAATGAAAGAAAACTATAGTACCTGACGGTTAACAATAGTGCATAGAAGTACTTGGACAAAGAAATATAATATCAGTGACTACTATAAATTGCTTACATCTGACCCATCCGAATATGATTTATATAACTGAAACATGTTAAAGACAAGAAGGTTAGAAATTAACCTTTTTCCATTTTTAAAAGACACTAGGAAATTAATATTTGTTTGCCTCTCTCTCTCTTTCTTTGTCTGATAAGAATAATAATTACCTTTCCCTTTTCCTTGGATTTGCCAGTCAACCGGAATCTTGATAATTTATCTTTCTGATTCGGTGGTGATGGCGAAGAATCTTTCTTCTTGAAGAAATCAGAAACTGCTTGGATGATGCTTTTTCTTCTCTCAGGGTCCTTAGCCTTCTTCTTATCTCTCTTAGGGACCATGGTGCTACTTTCCATCTTTGATCCAGAAGTTTGCAAAAGCTCGTCCATAGATTTTGCATTGGATGGAGGTAAAGTTTCTACGTTAACTTTCTTAGCAAATGCTTTTACGTTGTCTGTACTCTTACTAGTTTGTAATTTGTGACCAGGCTTTGTCGATTCAAAACTGTAGTGTCTTGATCTCATCTCTGACAATTCTTCATCGGTCTTCTTCCTAGTTTCCATGGATAATTGTCTGCGAGCTACTTTCATTCTTAATTCTTTGATCTTATCCTCTGGGCTTAATCCTAGATCTTCGTCACTCTTTAATCTAGCACGTTCACGAGCTTCCTGTTTCGCTTTCTCAGCAGTTCTCTTGGCCTCTTCATACTTCAGTCTAGGTGGTGCTACTGGTGTTTTGAATTCGTCATCTGCTAACTTCTCAGGTATTTTAGAGGTGCTGGCTGATTCTTTAGGAGTTGTGGAATACATTGTTAAATTTTTCTCTTCTTGGGACTGTTGTTTGAATGAAGATAGTGGCATGACGTTTGCCAGAGTATAAGATCTTACGATACCACCTTGACTTAAATTAGTTGTGGGTGTACTCATATCCAGAACGTTTCTGGCTTCGGCAAAGGTAGTATGAACAGGACTGCTTACAGGTGATATTATAGATGTTGGTACAAATTTCATTGGCGTTGGAGATGTTGATCCAGTTTCTGTAAATTTCAGGGGTGAAAGAGTTGATCCTGGACTGAACGAAGAAGCTCTGGCTGCTCTTCGTGCCTTCTTCTCAGCTGACTTTTGTTTGTGAGCTTCTAGTTTATCCATCAAGAGATCCTGTATAAGGCTCTTCTGCTTGGTACGCTCTCTCGTGATTTCCTCAAGCTTACGTGAAGTTGCTGGAGAATTAAAACTATTGTTGGCACCAACTTCCTGATTCTTGATCTCCTCAGCAATCATTTCTGCAGAACGCAATTGCGCAGAGCTCTTTGAATTCTTTCTCTTGGACTTTCTGATGTCAATGGAATCCTTTGCATTGCTGAATTCAGCAATCCTAGACTGCAAACGCTTAACGTATTCTAAGTAGTCCGGGTTGTTCGTGTCAACTGCAGACTTGGACGGTTCCTCGTTATTCGATATCTCAACTTGATTCGATATTACTGGCATTTGTGGATTTATAGGACTGGCAAGAACTGTGATTATTTCACTGGTCGTCGTATCCTCTGCTTGTTCGACTATCAGTAGACTATCCTCGTCCATCGATTGGAAAAGTTCTCTATTTATTGCTTCCACAGGTGGTTGCTCTTCTAGTTCAACAATTGTATCACCTGCACTCGTGTCAAGATTTAAATTTCTTGGTGGTACACTCACTGATTTGTTCATGGCACCATTCAACCTGTCCATAACATCATCCATAGTCACAGGATTTATTTCTATAACATTATCATCCTTATACTGTTCATGCTCTGATCCAGATTCATTTTCCACTTCAGTTTTAGCAATGGGAGCATCAGCTTTTACTTCCATTGGAGTCCGTGTAGGTGTCGAAGCTGTTTTTATATTAACAAATTCCACATATCCTCTATTTTTAATAAGCGCTATATTAGTAGCATCCTGTAGACTGTCATCCAGCAAAGACTCGTTGTCAGTATCCATAAAATCAATATTCTCACCGTTAGCAAGGAGCTTGGAAGTATTATTATTAGGGAAGTCAATAATCTTATCCAATCTATAAGACTCTAATTCAATATCGGTCAGGTCCTCTTCTTTAGCTATTCTCACAGGGACATTAGGCAGTTTCATATGCTGCATCAGTTTATTCCTTCTAGTCGTAATGAATTCCGGATTAATATTGAATTCGACATCTCGCAGATCATCAGATACCAATCCTTCCCCGTCACGAGCCCATTCAGAAAATTCTGTTTCCGTAAGGGCAGCCGTCGTTACATCATTTTCCTCAGAGTCGTCCTGCTTATTGGATATATTCGATACAACAGACGTAGGACTACTGCAATTACTGTAGCTCTTTTTACTATCACCCTGCTCCAAATTATTATTAACTACTTCATCCCCTTCAGAAGGTATCTTCTCGGACACCAAACCATCCATGTATTCCGCACGAGAAATCAAATCATCATCAATACGAATACATTCAATAGAATCCGGCTCAAATGCCGCAGTCTCGTCCACGTCCTTATTTTTATCTTCGACTTCCTCGTCCAGAAGAAGATCTCCATCAGTACTATGAATCTGCAGTCTAGGAGGAGACAGATTAATTGGCACGACTTGTTCATCTGCAGCACCTTCATCAAATTCGACATCGCTAGACGACAAGGAATCACTATCTATTTCCGAGTCCTCGGAACTGTCTCCGTCCTTGGTCTCCTTATTTTTATTCCAATTTACTTGAGGCACGATGATAGAAGTTTCATGTAAAGGCGACCTAGGCCTACAATCTGCACCGTCATCAATATTATCCATAGGTTCAATATTAGTTGTCCTTTCAAGTTCAATAATTTCCTCGTCTTCCTTAACTATTGCTTGAGCATCAATCTGTTTGGGGGCCATGATTTCTCTAATTGGCTTCTTTTCACTGATTTTAGGCGATTCTTTACGTACGATATTAGGATCTGTCTTAGACTTCAGGATGCTGGTCTCTTTTAACAAATCCGGTAACTGCATCTTGGATACATCCGGCATGGCAGTAGTTTTACCAGCAACACTATCCTCGGTCTTTGTTTGTTGATCAAAGCTGAATGGCTTCAGGGGAGATGCTGAGAAGATCGCAGTAGGAGAGATAGGAGAAAGTTGTGTATTGCTGGAACGAAGCTTGCTGGTACCTTGCAAGAAAGCTTGCATAGTAGGACTAGGCTCTGGTGCTGGATTCAGCAATTTCTGATGTTGCGATATGGCGTCTGTCAAGCTTCGCAATTTTGTATCAACGTTTGACGTCGATCCGGACTTCATAACCGATCCACCAAGTGCTGATCCACCCAATAGATATCTCTTCTTCAATTCCAGAGACAGTTTAGATGCAATGCCTTCCGTAGAGTGAGTTCGATTCAATAAATAATCTCCTTTTCGAGGGTTCATCAAAGGACTGGGAGAAATTGTCTTTGCGATAGGTCGACTGAGGTGGAGTTCATTCTGTGGACGCAATGGCTCCTTGCCAGGGTCCAGCTTTGTGAACTTCAACTTGACACCCGTGTCTTTGTTCTGCTTCAAGTTTCCATTGATTGATGGTATCACGTGACTTTTCACTTGGACTTTTTTAGGCTCCACATAATTCCCACGACCCTTACGAACGTACGAATCGTTTATGGCAATTTCCGGTATCTCATGCTGAGTGGGTGTTGTACCGTCGTGCTCGAATTCGGAATCTGTCGAAATTTCCGTTGCTGAATTCTCTGCGCTGTCCTCCGTGGAATCTTCATCCGATGCAACCTGTATGTGATAAAAAAAATATAATTAATATTGTGAAAATCATATTGCGATTGATAGACAAAGTTTAATTTGTTATTAAAATAGGCACTCGTTTCTTATTATATTAGTCTAGTATAGTGGAGCCATGTAAGAGTACATTTAATCAGAGAATCAATTTTATGAATTTGATTAGATGTATCTAATGCCACCGTTATTTTGCTATCCGAATAGCAAAATACGGTTAATGGCGAAATTAAACACGTACTCGAGGAGAACTTCGGTCTGCGCAATATAAAACGTATACATGCTTTTATAGAGAAATATACAGATGACTCGAAACAATAGAGCGAGGAAACGTATAAAATTGCAACTAACAAGTATAATATATGCGTAAAGAAGAACCATAGTTACAAGAACGTCTTGCTTTCCGAAAGTGAACGGTGAGACATTATTAATAAAGTATTGGCTGGTGGCAATCGTAGAATTATTACAGGCCGTTAAATATAAACGTATTGTGTGAGCAGAAGAAGCACTAGGAAAACGCATACAATTAATCGGTTTGAGTCACTGTTAATTTAATATTAGTCCAACAGCACGCCATTCATATAGCAAAATTTGTTACCTTTCTCAATAGCCTTGGGTTGTATTCAAAGAATCTCTCATATCACCATCAGCCATTATTTAGCGACTTATATACTTTATTAAATGTATCTCACACAATATCGCTAAATGGAAAAATTATATAACCGAGAGAGAATATATGTATGCGCAACATCACAGCAATATCAAAGTAATCCTCTTATAATCTTTTTTTTAATCGCAGAGAGAAATTAACTTAGGTCCTACGTGTAACTTATATATACTGAGAGTTCCATTACGATATTGTACATTTATCCTTTTTGGATTTATCTGATTTTGCGGATGATATCGATTTAACGGAACCATGAAGACCAGACTCGTGAGAGAGCAATTTTGTTACGTTATTGTGTTTCTTTGTCTTGGGGGATAATTTCTCGGGAATTTGTTCTTTATTTTGCGTATTACTGTCCAGATTTATGGGAACGTTCTTTGATACCGTGGAGAAGTCTTTTGATTTAGTATTGTCATTGGGTCGATCGGATTTACGTTCGGCTTCACTGACAGCATTTAATTCTTTTTGTTCCGAAAGTGGTATTGGTTTCGGCTGTTTGCTCGTAGATTTTTTAGAATCGGACTTTCTTCTCGCAGGAACTACGGGAAACGGAAGTGACGTTTGAACTGCTTCAGTTGAATCTTTCTTAGACGGTATTAGGGGGGCAGCAGTCAGTTCTTGCGATGAACGTCTACGTTCTGGTCGTTTTGGTACTTCTAGTACTTGTTCTGGTACTGATTTGTTCTCTTGTACCATTTTTGTAACTGGTATCGGACGAATTTCCTTCTCAATTATTTTAACCTTCTCAATGCGTTCGGTTTCCGGTTTTGAGGCGGATTCGTGTTTCTTTGGTGATTGAATATTCTTTATCACAGTAGTTTTATCTGGCATGGGATCAGAATTTAATTTTTGTTTTTCATTTTGAGTTTTTGTAATCTTTGTCTCTTCTGAAATTGATTCACTGGATACGTTATTTGTCACTGGCACAATTGCAGGGTTATCTTTTGTTGTTACTAATTGACTATTTAATGTGGTAGTAGATTTATCTTTGTGTTTTTCTGTTATTGTATTCAGTTCAGGAGGGTCAAGATTCTTTTGATATTTTGATTTTGATGCACTTGCTAATAATTCTGATTCCGATTCACTGTTTAATATTTTCTCAGGATTTGATATGTTCTTGATGTCAGTACTGGTAATTGAAACTTCTGGAAGTGTTTTTTGTTTCACAATTTCATATTCACTTCCTTTACTCACTATAATATCTGTCTTTGATGCTAACACATCATTGATTGCCTCACTCAAAGTTTTACTTTGTACTTCAATCTCATTAAATTGCTTGTCAATAATTTCCATACTGTTGTCATCATTAGATCCTTTAATGTCATCGATGCTAATATCAAAGTCATCAACTTCATTATGTACCACTGATGTTTTACGTTGGTTATTTAAATCTGTTTCAGTGTCACTGCTTTGAGGGAAAGATTTTTTAAAGTATTTCATAATATCTTTGGTTTCGACCTTGTCTGATACTTTAGGATTAATTTTCAAATCGATGATCTTTACCTCAGGCTCTTCTTCCGGTGTGCTTTCTTTAGAAACAGCTTTCTGTAGAGAACTTGACTCTGATTTCTTGGCTGATTCAAAATATTTACTTATCTTTAACTGTGCAGTTTCCTTCGACAAAGGGCGAAGTTCTTCAACTGGCTTTTTATTCTTTGCTTTTCTCTGTTTCAATTGCTCTTTGAGATGTTCGAAGGAACTATAGGTGACAGGTTCTTCTTGTCGCATAGGAACAACTTCCTGCGGAACAGTTAACTTGGATGCTTCGAAGCTTATTGTTTTCTTTGGTTTTTCAGAAGTGGGTGTAGCTGCAGTAACAGTAAGAATAGGCTTAATTCTGGTTTTGTCTAATGATATTTTCAACGGCAAATCTATTTTCTGAGAATCATCACAGTTCTTTATATTATGTGTTTTATCCCCTTGCCGCTGTTGGTCCATTATCAATTTTTTTACAGATGTTTTGCTTGATATATCAGCAGCAACCAGATCAGAACCAACTGTTTCAGAAGACTGATTCTTATCCGACGCAGATACTTGTCTACTCAATTTAGGTGAAGATGTTAATAAATCCGGTAAATTATCACTATTAATTTTAATAACACAATTAGCATCCTCCGAATGTTCAGTGTTATTAGTTTCACTAGATTGAGTGTTGAGAGTAGCATCCGGAAGTGCTCCCGTTACGGATTCAATTTTAACTTCGTCCTCTTTTAATACAACTGAATTATCCTCCTGTTCTGTAATTAGTATTTCATTCAAAGACCCCGATTCATTTTCAATTTCAGATAAAACATTAGTCTGAATTTCCGTAAGTGGCAAATTCACATCCGCAATAACATCATTGATTTTTTCATCATTGATATCGACATTATATGGGACCTCATTACATGAATTAATTTTTATATCAATTTCTGAATTGAGATTCTCTTTATCAACTATACCCTGTCCAACATTGCTAGAAACAATAGAATTCGGACCTGTAATTTCAACACTACCCTGTATCGCACTCTTAATAATGAGACTGTCCGGTTTATTAATGTTATCGGTATTATCAATATTTTCTCTGCTTACATCTAACTCCCGTGATAAACCATTCATATGGTCAATTTTAATTTTTTCCAAATCGAACTCAAGGTCCACGATTTCTTTTTCACTTATATTCGTCGGCTTTGATTCTTGTAGCTCATGATTTTCCACGTGATTCGACTGACTGCCATTATCTTTCTCAATAATCGAATTTTGAGTAGAATTCGCGTCCGAAACCGAATGTAAATTTTCTGAGGGGAGAGTGTCTATAGAAATTGTTTCACCAGAGGCTAGTGATTCCTGCGGTGGATTATCTAAAGCTTGAGATTGTTTCACCTCTGTTTCCGAGCCAGTGTCAGTATCAGAGCTGCGTGGAGGGACCTTCAGCCATACTTCTTGTTTCCTCAATTCCCTGGCGCGAACCTCTTCCTCGTCCTCGGTTGCCGTGCCGCTTTCTTCATCTGGGCACAAAAAGAATTCGACTTTACCGAGAAATTGTCCATTACAATTTATTTTTAATTTTTTCAAAATAATTTTCCTCATTCGATTGAACTGTTATAGTCATGTATACCTTCACTAGTATATTCATCGCTGGAGTCTTCGTATTCGTTGCTTCCGGTATCTGAATGACCTGTAGTGGCATGTGGATGAGAATAACGCAGTGTCCAATTTTTTGCAAGTTCTAAGGTTCCTTCTGTTGTCAATGGCTGATCTATAGCCTCCTCGAAGACCTCGTTGTCATCATCGGAATCGCTGTAACATTAATGCCAGACCTCGTTAAAATGTACGACTATTATGAGGATCTCAAAAAGATATAAAATAACCTCATATCAGATATATCATCACTGGATCCCATTTCGGCTGCTGACGCACCGAAATTACGATCCGTCCATTCATCCTCATCCATCTGACTACGAGGTTCTTCAGCGTCTGAGACACCAGCAAGATTTTCAAATTCTATCCTCTCTGGTGTTTGACCTCGATCAAGTAAATCAAGTCCGGCGACTCCTTCCAATGGTGTTTTAGACTGCGACGGATAAGCGTAGATATAATATATGAAAAGAACAACAAAGACATTTCCAAAATATACCTTTTCTGGAGTTTTCATATTAATGGATGTATTTGGTATATTTTCTTTATTTAGAACAGGAATTTTCTTCTTCTCTACTCTAGCCTTCATGGTTCCCGATAGGCCGAAATGCTGCATACAATAAAATCGTCCGCCATGTTTATCTCTATCAAACGTATGGTTCCCTGCAATGCATGTAACATAGGACAATGAATTATTTTGACTTTTGTTTATCAATAGGAATAATTATTAATCGCTCATTTTAATTCTGCTTACCTATCCTTAGAGAGGTTGAGCAATATTCACAACGGAAGCAACCACGATGGAAGAATTTGCCTTCTGCGCTGAGCCTCTCCATCAGGTAAACCCTCTTGTTACAGAAGTGGCACATTTCTGAGCCTCCTTGTGCTGGTAGCACTAGGGCTGCTTTTGAATTCTATGGAAAATAAAGTTTTGTTCAAAAATTGACTCACCACGGTTATGGATCAAACTCGTGACACGGGACAAAAGTCAGCATGCGACATTCTTTCACATCTTTAGGTTAGATACGGTTTTAAGACGGTACAAGATTTTCTCAAGAAAACATATAAAACATTGTTAGATACGATTTCAAAAAAAAATACAAATACTAGGAAATATTTAGAGACTTGTATAATTTATTAGTCAGGATTCATTGTAAGTCACAATGCATGTCTGACATTGAAGATCTAAAAAAACCGTGACAAATTTGTTCAATAATTATACATTGACAAGATAATTGATCACTGATATATAAATGAAGAAATAAAATGTATTCGCGAATGAAATTTGCATGACCGGATGCTCCTGCTGACTTCTTATCCAAGTACCGAGAGTCATGAACGGGCAGTGTAATAATTACCGATCTCTGCACCTTCGGTTCAGCATCCTGATTCTTATTAGCAAATTGTTCAGCCATTGCTGAGACTTTATTGTGCCCAAGGACATTACCCTCTTTGATCTTCTTGTCAATATTCTTGAGGGTGCTGTCAATATCGGCGTACTTACTGTCCGGCTCGTTCGGGTTGCGCCCTTTCTTCTCCATCTTGGTTTGTCGAGCTAAAAACTGAATAAAGCATATAGAGACCTGACGAGAATTTATATTACCAATAGCATTAGTATCTTTAACAAACCTGCTCTCGACTCCATTTTGGTACACGTTCCACTTTGTCTTGACGTATTCCCCGTCCCATTTTGTTCTCTTCTATTTTCTTTTCGATTTCCTTCACGTTCCAATCCGTTTTCTCGATTTTACCTTCGCAATTAGAAAGTGATAAATTCGAAAATTCATTATTATGCAAATATTTCATACACTGTGTTCGAAAAGAAAGTCTGTGGTACCAACCGATAGCACGTAATAGATCCTTCGGTTTCTTGTCACTGGGAGCAGTGCCTCTTAATTTATCTTCAATATTTTTTATTCTACCAGAGAATCCTTCGTCTACGCTACCCCTGTGCTGTCCGGCATGAAGTTTTGGTTCTCTGTCCTGAAAAATATGAAATCTCAGAACCGCCATATTGATAGTCAATACCAAATTCGTTATGGCACAGTCAGACCTAGAAAAGTGTAACAGTGAAGATCTGTTGCATTTTGCAGAGTTGCACTTTGCGAAGTTGCATTTTGCTGGGTCCGACTATACGCATATTCTTGTATCACCAGAATTCTCCTTCGTGTAAGTAAAAGGTTTATCAATATTGATCCCAAAGTTACAACATTTTTCTGGAGACTGTGATTAATAACATTGACGCATTAGGGAAAGCAGAAATAATATATTGTTGCAGCTTTTAAAACAGCGAAGACACAATCGTTGACTAGCATCCAACAAGCGACGTTAGTATTTCTATAAATGATTTTAAAATTGATCAAGTCAATTTGATATTAATAAATTGGTGCGAACTGCCCAATTGTATAATTGCAAACTGATATTTCATTTTTTTAAGAGCGAAAATTATTTTATAATAACTCAGAAATCCTGCAACACACGGGCGATTAGGTGGTCACACGTTAAACAGTTTGTTATTAGTTCATATCCAATCATGTAATTTCACACGACACCAGCTTACTGGGTAGAGAATTTTCTGCTCGAGATCTTTGACTCTATCCTTGAAATCAGGAGCGGTTTGACGATAAAGAAATATTGAATAATCCTCAAAGGGTTCGTCCTTGTCTCGTTTTGCATTCGCAGCCAGCATCTGCATACTTTTGTAGAATTGCTGTGTCGCCATTTTACGTAGATACTGACGCTTCCTCATGCGTTCGATTCGATTCTTTTCAATGTCCTCGAGTCTCTTCTGTCTTTCCTCCTTCGGATTCACGTACAACAGACATTACTTCGGAAGACTAAATAATAACCAATATTGCGCCGAGCACGCGAGCTTATTGCACTATATAATATATTAGGATAAATGAGAAAAAAAAAAGTAGTTCTACATTATAACTGACTGTTACAAAAACTTTCCAGAGCTATCCCATAGATTTGACATGGTTATCAAAAAGTTATAATTTCTTCCCGAACTGCAGTGACAAACAGTCCAATAAATATGAACAACAAAGATATAAATATTCCCTGGCGCATGATATCCTCGATCTTCTGCCAGCATGACTGAGGAATATGGGTTGGTTAACGAAAATACATATCATTGAGAATTATTAAAGGGACTACCAGGAATACAAATATTTTTCCATCATAAAACTCACCACTGTAGCTCCCATTTTTTCGGTGCTACGTCGCTTTCTGGAACGACGGCTAATCGAATCGCCCTTCTTCTCCAATGGATTCTGTGCGTGTTCGTTGCTATGGCGAGAAGAACGTGAGTGCCTGGCACGAGTATTAGTATTATCCTGTTTGGCAATACGTCCAATCAATTGAGCCTTTTGCTCCGGTGTCAATTGGCTCAATTGTTTCGAATACGTGGGCCTCTCCTCTTTTTCCGGTTCCTAGAAAAAGACAAATCCAAAGATGAACGTCAAACGCGTAAACCCCTGCTCATACGAGAATAAAATTACAGGTATATTCTCTCTGATTGGATCGACTTTCTTATCGCCGAATTGGTCTTCCATCCTGAGCATCCAACTACGTCTGCTCTTAGATTCAAACATTCGCTTCAATGTTGATACTCTATGATTATTTTCAAGCCAGTTCCTTATACTGCTCAATTCCAATACGTTATCCACTATCTTGCTACTGTCGTTCCAAGTCATACGATTGTTGTTGTAATCCAGAAGTTTGCTCAGCCGTTGAAAGGACATTAGATTAGCGAGTTTAGATACGGTGCGTGGGACAGTGGATGGTGGTTCGAAAGTTGATAATTCATGAGAGCAAGTTGAGTATGGGACGTTGATTCTGTGAGGCCAGTGCGTAGGCAATTTAAGGGTGGGCTTATATATCTCGTATAATGAAGGTGCGCGACGTGTCGTTGATAAATCTTTAGCCAGAAGCAGGTTGACATTAGAGATGGAGGACTGTGGAAATTGGAAAATTGGAAATGGGTGTTAGTTTGCGGTAGCTGCCTACTGCGAACAAAACGCAGATCTCATATTCTTTCCCCACAAGTATTCGGCTGGCTGATATAATCCTGTAAAAACTTGGAAATCGTCAGAAAAAATCAAGGATCTTACCAATTTCGGATGTTTAATATGTGGAATCTCGCCCCGGAATGTCTCATATATCTGTGTCAGATAAGAAAACATGGCGAGTTTGTCGGGGACGTCACACTGGGCCATTTCCTCGCCAGTCATTACCTGCGACAAAGTGAACAATTAAAAGATACATTTCAAATCTCAGTATCTCTATATATATTTCTTATGTGATAATACAGTGAAAAATTCTTACAGGAGGTATGCCTAATTCCTTCTCAAGGATGTCGAAGGCGAGCTGATTGTTAATTTCCACATCTTCAGATTTCAAAGACTGAAAATCAATTAGGTCTGGCCTGTATCTGTGAATAATGGCGCAAATAGCGAGACCGTCTTTGAACGAAGAGCCCATGTCGTCGATGCGAACCGTATCGTACAATGCCACCTGTCGCCTTAGCCAATGGAGCAACGTATCGGGATGCACCTGAGAGTCTGTTCCAAGGTCTACGTTAAAGATCGAAATTCCTCTTGTATAAATGTGTAGTATGGCGAAGATAGTAAAAAAGTAGACAGTCAAAGATCACTCGAAAGCTCGCCGATTCGAAACCCTATTATATTCTACTGGCAAGCGAACATGTTATAAGCTCACCCCTACGCCGACGCTTCTTGGGAATATCAACAGCGGGTTGCACAGATGGTTGCTCTATGTTGTCCGGATCATCGGTATCCAGCAAGCCCCGTACTTGAATCGGCGTGACCGAACGTAGGTTCAAATTTGGATACCTTCAACAGGAAGTAACAATGAATCACAAATATTCCTTTGTTCTGCATCATTAAATATTAATTGTACAAGTTCGCTCAATGCTATTGGTTATCCAATAAGATTTTACATGGCTGGTTACCTTGTATGAGGATTCAGTGTGTAGGCGGCGTAATCCCTATTCAAGTTTTCTGGCGTGGTTTGTCCAAGAAGCCTGTAAATGGATTCTCGTTCCGCTAACACTTCCAAGGGTGTCGTAGAAGCACCCCATCCTTTGATAGCCCAGCAGGCATCAAGGGAACTGAGAAAGCCTCTTGCACATCCAGAACCAGTTGGCCAGAATGGCTATAAGAACATAGATGAAGATTGAAAATACCTTAAATATAAATAAGTTCAAAGTTCAAGTGAAATAAGTACCTCCAGTAAACTATCCCCGACCAAGATCATAAGCAATCTGTGACCGTGTCGCTCTAGGACTCGACTAGCATTTTCGGCAGCATACATAGAGGTGAAGTCAAACATGGCTACGTCCGGTTGACCGTAATGATTAACAGCGAATTCCATGTCCATCATTTGATACTCCGTCGAGAATTCAGCAGCTTCTCTAGCATATAACATCAGTGCTTCCCTGTCGACGTTTTCTTTAGCAAGTAACTTGGCCGTGTCCGCATGATCCTTGTACAAGAGAAGCAAACGATCGATAAAGTTACATGGACGTAAAATAGGTAAATGGGATTGTGCTGTTGCTTCCGTTACCTGAAGTATAACACCCTTATCGATAAGACTATGTTTCTTGGCAGTCATGACGAAGTAATGCGTGTCATCTTTGTAATAGACAATATTCTCAAGATCGATACCGGTATCCTGGTACAGTTCCTTAAAGAATTTCTGATTGAAGATAAAGGCAACCCCGCTTATCTCCTCCACCCTGGCCTCTGCTTCTGTTCTCTTATTGATAAAATTAGCAGTTATAGCAATGGCTAGTTTCCCTCGAAATTCCTTTCTTTTGAATCCTTCCAGAGTATTCCTTTTACCATCAGCCCCGATTAGAACATCAAATTCGTACTGGGAGACGGGATGATCTGCTGGTGTGATTTTTGCACGCCATCCAATTTCTGGAATTACAGTAATTCACGATAAATTCCTTTAGAACTCGGTTATCGGTATCAGAAAATTTTTCATTGTTTACGTCTATATGCTTTGCTTATACAATGTCTGTACTCACTGCCTTCCTCTTGATTTTCAGGTGGTGGTACCAGGGACTCGAAGCTGACACCCTCGTGAAATTCTACTCCCAGGATCAAAGCTACTTTTAACAAAATACACTGCAACTGCCGTATACTTATATGATCGATGGCGCCTGCGCAAAATTTTCCAAAGAATTTCTTGGCCCCAAGCGCACGAAGATCTTGAATGACGAAAGGCCACAAGTGAAGCACATTATTCCTGGACATGCGATCCCTCTTCTCGACGACCACGACTTTGGCCCCAAGTAATTGTGCCTCTATAGCCGAGCGTAAGCCGCATGGACCACCTCCGATGATCAAGACCTATTTAAATACAAGTACAACAACACTGTAAAGTTTCTGATATATCTTCAACAAATTTAATTTCTCTTTAATAAATTCCAGATCCTCACCCTCGTGTTCGGGCAGGCTTTGCCACGATTATAACACTTGTGATTGGCCCGCTGATCAAACTTCTTCCAAAGTGCCTGCGCCTTCCACGAGCGTAATTTCGACTTCAGCTTTGGATAAAACTGATTGAAGCTATTAGGCTTGATCTTGAGGAGTTCGCAGAGGTGTCGAAAGTGGCCAAGAATGGACTTGAGAGTGGATGCATTGCAGAACAGATCGAAAACTTCACTAGCCATAGCCACTTCCGGCGAGGCGATCTGTTTCCTGCCCTGTTGATGATCCATTGTCCTGTCCACTCTATTCCTATTCGCGCGATGGTTAAGTATTACCCAAATCCCGTCACTCTGTCATAACCTAAAAGCACCAAAAAAAGAAAAACCAAACGTTACTTATATTTTCACAGGAAGCAAGGAGACACGAATAGCAACCTTTAAATTAAAGTCTAGTATCTATCGTCGTAGATGGAAGAGCAATGGCACATTGGAAATGTCATGAGACGTTTAATGCCTGAAGCATCCCAGGTATCTACTTCCTCGTTACAAGGGGTTCTAAATACGGAACGCATCTCATGCATCTTACAACCAAAAAAGAAGAACGTAGAAGAAGATACGTAGAAGAACTGATGAACAATTTTCAAGAGAGCTTATAGCATGGCCAGCACCCTCTGTTCACTTCAAGAAAGCTTCGTCGCAAGAAACTCTCTGGATTATCTAGTAAAAACTCGGGAACAGTCTTACAGTTCAAGAGTACAGGCTGCAAGGAGAAGCTGTGGACGTAATGCAGAGTAAACAGAGCAATTGACACTATGTGATCATGACAGTGAACGTGGATCGAATCGATAAGCGAATACAAACACCTAGTCAGCGTCCTGATTACTAATAGGAATCTACAATGCGTGCTTCACTTTTAAAAGATCACGAACAATGTGTATGATGGCTTTTAAGGTTGGGCTACTTGTAGAATACACCTTATATTCCGTAGTCGGATCACGCCGATATACATAGCTGTCATATCGCGTGGCAAATGTGTCGATATCTCATGCTCTACGGTTCCTTGAACTTGCGACCTAATAATTTTCTAGAACATTCGCGATAGTGTCATGCCATTCTGGCGTTACTGTCGCGACTGCCAAGGCTGGATCGAATATCATTGGTTGAAATTTTGTTTTTATATATTTCAAATCGACTTTTGTATACGTCGCTGTGGATATGATAACCTTAACACGTTAAGGAGCCTAAGAATAGAGCACGAGTTTATGGAACAGCTGAGAAGGGTTCGTTGCTAGGAAAAAGAAGAGAAAGAAGTAATAAATAATTTGATGTATAATTGTAGATCCGTCTCTGGAGAGACTTGGTTAAGTAATTACAAGCCTGGAGGAACTTCCTGTAGGTGGTAAAGTATCAAAGTGGGTAATCAGTTTAGTGGGTTATCTATTAGAAGTCGTTGGCGCGTTGTGTCATTGGTCACGTACAATTAGAGGCAGAGTAGAATTTTTGGATCGTCGCCATTGTCTGACTTACGATTAGTACTGTTTCCCTCTAGGGCAACCATTCGTGACTATTGTCACACGGTCCATTAGCTACAGACCGGAAAGGAGAGTTTCGGAAATGCTTGGAAAATGATGCTGCCCGCAACGAGAAAAGCCTGACGACTCATTGTGGATAGATTTCCACAAGCAGAAAGCATTTGTAAGAAGCACCCATCATATAGGAGGCCGCAGGAGATGACTGTGACTCTATAAATACAGCGTGAAGTGGGCGAGAAGATGCAATCCGGTAGAACTAGAGCGGGTAGAAACAATTTTACAGAGACGGTAGCCAGAAGAAGAGCGTCCGAGACTGGAAACCGATTTCAAGAAAGAAAAGTTATGCCAGAGTAAAGTAGTCGAGCATCTTTTCTTTTCTACTCCGTCCCGTGTTCGGGCAGCTAGTAAAAGCCAGGAACGCGTTACCATCATGTTCTTTATGGGGGTTTGAATTTAGGTGATGGTAACGGTCCTCGTGCGTATTTGCATATGTGTTCACAAAACTGAGAAATTCGATAAAATTCATATATTCTCTAAAACTGCTGTATAATTTAAAAAAATATTTTAATCTCAATCTTCAATATCGATTCTTTCTTTCTGATAAAAAATAGTAAAAAATCAATGTTGATTATAAAGCTTCCGTCGTATCTCCATACGACTCATCCCAGCTGACAATGATGACCCATTGAACGTTATCAGAAAAGGATTAACGTCAGCCAAGGTCAAGGTAGATATATACCAGTCCTTGAAAATTGACCTTGACCGAACCATCATTGAAATTGGATAATATTACCAGGCACGTCTTCGCCAAGATCGATGAATGAATTTCTCCAAGTGCCACGTGAAGTGACGTTCGACTGTGCTAATTCTCGAAATAAAAAGGACCGACGCAAGCTGCCAAGAAGAAGCTCGGCGAATCGCTCGTGCAAGAAATCCGCCAAGAGAGTTTTTTAAAACCCAACGATCATGCTACGAGTTAATTTATCTCTCCGCATTGCTGACATTCAGCATGGAACTTTCACGGCTCAGTTTCCCGAACAACCAACCCAGACGTTATGTATTTTCGAGCGTCGCGACGCCCTGATATCTTTACCCTCGAACATATAGCACGCGATAGAAGAAACTGCGTGTTCTTTTAACGTTTAGAAATACGCTGTACCGTCAACGTCCATTCGTACAAGAGCGTTGAGTTTCCTGAAGAATTAATTTACTCAATGACGTCATAGCTCGCACCTCGAATTAAGAAAAACGTATAAACACATCAAAGAATAATGACATTGCATATCTTATTCGCAGGATGAAAATGACCTAACGACAGACGTTCCTGTACTACGACGCGCTCGTTTTTTACGGGCCGTCGCGTACGCGTCTCTCGTACAGCTCCATAACCTGTCCAACGTCTGGATCCTGTCTATTGAAAGCAACCACGCTAATTGTCGAGAATTTATGAGGCTGCTCCTAATGAGACAACGCAAGTTATTTACGCCGCCTTTAATAGACGACTGCCTTTGCGGATGTGGATGCGTCTTCGCTCCGGGAGTTCATAGGAATATCGAGCCTAATCCCCGTGTGCTGACTCGAGACGACGGCTGCTGCTGCTACTGCTGCAAACTACGAATAGAAAGGAACGTAGGGACGACAGAAGGAAAAGGAAGAAACTTTCTGATGGAAAGTACATACCAGTGGGATTCTCATTGGCAGCTATGCCTTGCTATCATAAATTGCGATCTGTCGAGATGCGGGTAAAAGTAAAAATCACGACCACGTAGCTCTGGACGCGGAATAAATTTCTCATTCGCCGGAAAAGGACTGTGCGTAGGTACTATAACGGTCGTTGTATACTAAATTATTTTTTTTAATCATAAATATTACTCTTCGGCAAATCCTTATTGGCACTGATTAAACTGGTCCATTTACTATTTTTCAGCCAACCCGCATGGAAATTGGTCCATAGGAAAATTTTTTTTAATCTCTGGAACTGATGCTAGAAAGAGGAACATGGTAAAGTAACAACTGTAATTTAAATTAAGACTGACAACCATCTTACGGTCAGTAAAAAGAATGACTAAGAGAAAACAAGGAATATCTTTATTCATCAGGTACAACTGTGCTCACAGGAGTCGTCTCATGTACAAGTGGTCCTCCTCAGGGTTTTACACGTTCATATCGCATCCGGATAGCCGGCCATGAAAGAGCTCTCCCTTATCAAGATCCGCGAGGTGCCCGTCAAGCAAGTGTAAACATGAGTGCAAGGACTAATTCACACCGGAAGATAAGAGCGGCAGCTGCAGCCTACCGTCAACGAGATAGACAGAGAGAGAGAGAGAGAGATGAGATCCGATAAGAATTTTTATCTAGTGTCTTTCCCAGTCTTGATTATCCGACCACACCTCGACACACGGGCCAGCTCGGATTTCATTGCGGATAAAAGTATCGTTAAACAGTGCCAATACGATCCACACCTGAGCAGTGGATCGGTTCTAATGTTTCAGAGATCCTCGTCATAGTCACTCGAAGGAATCGGACGTGGTAGCAGCTGCGAATCAGGAAGAAGAATAAGGTTAAGGACTCCAGTAATCCAGATCAATACCTAAAATAGTAACGAAGGGTCCAGGAAGAACCTTGCTAGAAGTACAAATTTTTAGAGATAGGTTAAAATACCAAGGATGAGTAATCTTCAAGAGATATATGGGCCAGTCTGTTGATGACGTCAGTCGTTCTAGGACTATAGCTCCTAGGGAGCCTGGGTCGAACGTAAAACGAAGAACGGGTAACGTCGGCGCCGGACGTCGAGACGGTCCTCCTCCTGGAACCCCCTTAACAACGGGAGAGCAACGCACCCTATTTCTATTCACAAGCCCTGCAATCACAGCACAATTTACACTGGAGGCTCCTCCGTACTCAGTTTACCCCTTTTTGCATCAGGATTCGGCAGCCCGTTAATTGGATCACTTTCTCAGGTTATGAAATTTACTTTTTTTTAGAAAGACAATTTTTTTCTAAAAATTACCTCAATACTTTTTTTCTATTCGTTCTAGTACTTTATATGCTGGAGGATGAGCCCTTGGGTGTGATGCTCATGCCGTGACACACGAACTTTCCCTGCAGAGATGAACTTTCTCTATCGTAACGACTCTCGGTCGACTCGGTACCTCCACGCTTAATTACTCCGTTCCCGCTGGCTGTAAGCACTGAATTATCACGCTTCACGATTAACCGAGTGGCTGCTAGAAATTCAAATTCCACGTTCAACGAACCTGCGTAACTTCAAGGTTACAACCTACGGATTGACCTGCGGCCAGGTTGTCTGCTGCGCACTTTCAATGGAGTCAACGAAAAAGTACTGTTAATCCGTGACAAGGACGCTTGCCTTGATTCGATGTCGCTAAAGTATGCAGTATCCTGAGCAATGGAAACGTCCGCAATCTCTTCTTGTAGGAGGACGACTTATCCTACTGCGTGGTACACCGCATTTCCGTTCCCAGAGGCATTTTATTGACTTATGTAAGAAAGATAGTCATCAAAATCTTTCAGTCTTAGCTGCTCTACCTTTATCGCTATTGAAACTGGTAATGATCATTGAAAATATATATGTATATATCCTAGAGTAATTAGATATGCCAAAGGACTTTGTAACATGAAAATGATTAAGGCTACATATCAAGACCGTTGATGCAGATAAAATGGACGTTCACTGTTATAAGTGTCGCTACTGCAAGAACTGACGTGCAGAGACCTCAATACCTAGGAGTAAGCATTCCTTGTGCATTCATCAACACTGCTTGGCAATACCTTGACGTTATTTCTCAAGGATACTGACTTTTTCTCTTTTCAGATATAACAAAATGCCCAGTTCTTTCTCGGCAAGCATTCAAGTCTTTGGGAAAGTTCAAGATTAGTATGGAAGGTGCGACTTATTGCAAGAATAGAAAAAAGGAAATACGTCCTCGGAGTAAATTATAAGGGAGACGTCCACGCGAAGATGACTATCGTCTGACTCACCGTCTAGATAAATATCGATTAGCAACCCCAATCGAGTCAGCTGGTCACGTTCCAATGGGAATAAAAATAAAGAAGCGAATACGTAGTTCGCTTGGTAGTCCTTAAAAAGATACAATCAAGATTTGCATATCGTCCTTTCTATACAGTCAGCCGTTTTGTCCTCTGTGCGTATAAAATTATTTAGATTATAAAAGCGATCGCATCTGGTTCAACGTTCCGTACGAATTTACACTTTTTCCACGTTGCGAATGACTGACGTTCTTCAGCCAAGAAGAATTCACTTCTTTATACACGTCACAGAATACTGGTACCAGCCACTACCCATTGGGTATGATAAAACGTTTTTTCTTTTTCATTCAGGAAAGTTGGAAACTTCCTTGATAAGGTATTCCTACGCTACGCTCACTCAGTCCGGTATCGAAGCTGGCCTGCTGCTGGCTCATGGTACGCCATTTCTCATGACTTGCTCGCAAGTAGGTGGAACGTGAGCCTGTCGTGCAATACTTCAATCATCATGAGTCGCCGTCATCGCAATTATCGCAATCATCGTGCTATGTAGCAGCGCCAACCAGTTTGATGCCGCCATTGTGAAGCACTGTCCGAGCGAGGCATTTTGTGTAACAATATCTACTGCTTTGCTTGGGAATATATTATTGCAAGAGGAAAATAATACTGATACCATGTAAGATGCAAGATAATTCCAAGATAATTAGAAAGCGACGTGAACACCAATTTTTCGTTAAATTATTCTGTTAGCTTGGGAATCAATGGAGTCGTAAATTGTATAGTATCCGTGATACAGAAGTACCGAAAATAAACTAGGCGTGATGGAATTCTTAATGTAAAAAGTACACGCTAGATGTCAGTCAGAACGTTGGAAAAAGCCGAAATATATTATTCTGTGCGAAAAGACTCATAGAGTCTGTATCGTTGGGTTGCTTAAGGGGTTATGTATACGGTCAGCAGGCCCAGAAAAATCGATTTTTCAAGAATTTTTCTTAAGAAGACCTTTTAATGTATTAATGTAAAAATTTGTACACATATTATGGTAACTTTTAACTGTATTTTAACAAATTTTTTATTTGTAAAAATAATTATTTTCAAAGCTGCTATAGGTGATCTCCGGGAGCACCTCTAAAAAAAGGCGTCTTGCGGTGAGAACGATATCTCTGGACTGGATCATTTAAAATGAAAAAACCAAAAATATTTCATTAATATAATGTATTATCTTGTAATTCGTCGAAGGAATAAGCAAAATAATAAATTTGACAAAACGGGGGCTTCTCAAAAAAAAATCGGTTTTTGACAAAAATTTAGGCCTTAAATTGTTTATAAAATGGAAAATATTTATCAGTGAGAAAAAACCTTCGATTAATTACTAAAAAATATACTTAAAAAGCTTGTGTTAAAGTTTCAGACTGATCGGTTCAGCCGTTTTCGAGAAATCTAGCTCATCGACTTTAAAAACACAGGTTTGACAAAAACGCGTTTAAAGTTTCAAAGTACTTTGAAAGTACGTTAAAACGCTTTGCCACGTCATTACAAATGTGCCTGTAACTTCGAGAATATTCGCCGGATTGACAAGAAATTTTTTTGTGTACGTACTTAAATACATGTACATTACGAAAATAAAGTGAAAAAAAAATCGATTTTTTGAAAATTTGAACTGTATATAACCCCTTAAAATAGATGGACCAATCTTAATAATCTCGGCGTGTCCGAAGAAAAGTGGAGTACAGTCAAGTTGCCAATTTAAGAGACTAGAGTGTATCTATAATAAAAATATATTACAGAACGTATTTCTCGAATGGTAACCACACCGAAAATAGCAGGTGCGAATTTACGATAACCACAAAAGTATATTAGCAAAACCTAATAGTTACCTCAATATACATCAAAATACGCCTGCACGATAATCTGTCTAAATCTATAAAATTTTTTCGGTTCTTCCCGACTCTACATTCGACAATCAGCAAAGTGACTGCGCCACGTTGGACGAAAATAGCACCAAACGAGAATCGGTTAGCATAATCCATGGAAAGAACCAGTCCCAAAGAAAATACGACCGTCCAGGAACTTAAGATGCCCACTAAGAACGAACGTGAAAGTTCGAGACCCGAAAAATCTCTAATTTCACAAAACCTAAAAAGGGCTTTGGGTATAGGACCATCTATTCTATTGCCAGGTAGGTAAGTAACACAGTACTTCCAGCGAGCAGCTGTGCATAATTCCGAAGGACTGTTTCTCTCTTTAAAATTCACAGCGAAAGCACAAAGAATTCTACACAGACGTACTTCTTTGTCAGGATGACATTCGTGCGTCCCTCAAGCTGAAACGACGTCAAGCCCACGAGGAGTTAGACCAATCATATCTGAAAAGGAGTTCTCCCTCGCGCTAACTATACTACAAGGCGATGCACAAATGCTACCATAAATACAGGAAGATACTATTTGCTGGCAAAGAGAGTGTGCTTGCTCAAGTTTCTGATTCATCGATCAAAGAAGCTGTTAACGACAAAAATTGGCAACCGTACCAGGTTAAAGAAAGAAAGGATGGAATCTGCCTCTAGAATAATTTCAGGACACTTTCAGTACTACTACCCGGGTACAAAATATTCAAATCCCTATATAAGTCTACTGACGTAGCTATACGCATAGATGTCACTGCACGTACATGGATAAAGCACGTCTGTACGTATAAAGAGTGAAACGGTAAAAGGCACGATGACGTTGGGACGTGAATCATCGATCAAAGAAAACATAACCGGAAGCATATGAGTTAATGAATATTCTACCAATTATGTCTTCCCTACGTTTCAAGAATAATGCACCAGGTGTAACGTGACCTTGAATTTTTCCAGATTCTACAGTAGCAGCCAATTCCATTCGCATGCAGATTACACTGAAGGGTAGTGACTTGAAGGTTATGTGCTTTTAGGCCTGCCTTAAGATTCTGTCAGGAGAGGCCGAAGGCTGTAGGACTGTAATGGCGAGTGCGGGTATTCGCAAAGGAGAATGAAGTCTGCAGAGGGAATGAACGAATAGGAGCGGGGGCTTAATTTCGCCGAGCTCATATAAAGGACAAAGAGTGAACTAGTGTAATGCTGGCTTCACATGTGGGCAACGGTTAGCGGCCCACACACGACCATTTAAGTCTACCTACGACATAGCAAGACGATAAAAATTATTTGTCCGACCACGAGGTTGGGCCGATAATCAATATGGCGGATATGGATTCTGGGTTTGAGAAAAGCCAAAAAAAAGAGTAATAAGAATCTAAGTGATACGGATAACCAAGAACTTAACAAGCATGCGGTCGGATACGTATGAAAAATACATTTAGAGAAAAGCCCAGCAAGGAAATCATGCCGGATCCTAATGCACGTCTACTTTCCAGTGTAAATCGGACGGAAGGTTTATGATTCACGTAAGAAAAGTATGGCGGCGAGGCGTAACGAAAGATACTAGATTTTAATCTTAAAAATAAAAAAAAATAAAATCGTATCCTTCTTAGTAAATGACGAAGCGGTAAACAAGTCATCGGTGTGCGTTATGAATGAAGATCTCTTAAAGCGTTAACTATACAAGCCCAAGAGCGTTCGTATCAAAGATATTTAGATGATCAGGATGAAATTATAAATATAATCAAATCTCTTAAAGAATCTTGTAAACATTGCGAAACGCCGATAAACGAACGTACATGCGTGCCTGAAATAGGTACTGCGCGTGAATTCTTTCACTTTCACGTCCCTTTCGACATTTTCTTTTCATCTCATATTCCCCATTGCCGAATCTACGCGATCGCCATCTTACGCAAGCGTGAAGTTTCGTTTTTCTTTTACCGTTTCTTCTAAATTACGTATACCGGTAGCCTCGTTGCTGGCACACAAAGTGCGAAAGGCAAACATTGTCTCCCTGTAAATGGGTCGTGGTAGTAAGCGTTTCACGGTGGATTCAAGTCAAACAATCTGTTCGGTTTACTATCGTATCGAGTCAATATGAGGATAATGGCTTTTATGCAAGTCAAGTATCAGATAAATAATGAACGACAAACCATTGAGGTATAGAGGAATGAATTATGAATTCCAACTAATATAAAAGTCTCTTTTGTATTATATAATGTAGTTACACGAGCTTGAATTTACATTGAATTATAGGAAAAGGAATACACTGATATTCCATGTATGCTGAAAACTGAATCGCTGTAAAGAAAGTATCGAGGCGTAAGAACGAATGGCTTCTTGGCAGAGACTCCATGTTCTCCATAGAAGGATGGGAAAGGCCTTGCAAGTCTCGAGAAACTTCATCGACTGTGTGTATATATGTATGTGGTCGTGTATATATAAAGTACATATGGTTAAACGTAGAATGAATAGTTTAAGATGAGGAAAGTCGTGACGAATTCTTATGTCTATCTTTTGACTCTGACTCTTTATAAGACTGGAATGAGACTGAATATTCTAGTGTCTAACGATTTTTTTTTAAACAAAAACTAAATGGCCTCGTCGTTTTCTTTCCTGATATAAGTCTAAGGACAAATAATATTTCCTTGATTGAGGTAAACGAGGGTCTCCTAAAAAACTGAGTGTATAAAACTATGTATACATATATACGTAATTAACTACATATTTATATTATATATGTAAAATGCATGTAACCAGCTGACATGAATATCAATAGGAAAATGACTGGTCCCGCGGGTGCTGAGAATGACACAAAGAATAATTGTAATTACTGTAGATTAAAGAAAGAACGGACAAGAGTCGCGAGAACCAAGAGATTAATAGCGTTTAAGTAAATTCTCTTTGTTATAATTTCTCGTGATACGATAACCCTGTTGGTATATACGTTTGACCGGTATTGACAGTGCACTGTCACTTGACAGAAGAGTAATGTCAACGAACTCACTTAGCTCCAAGTACAAACAAATTACTATTACAAATACAAGACCGGATTAACCAAACGAATTTTATGGTTGATTTCAAGCATTTAATTTAGCCGGATAAACACTGTCAATCGTACACCACACATGAGTGAAGGCCAATGATCAGCTGAAAATTGCCGCGAAAACCATGTGTGTCAATAAATAGTATTGAAAGAATGATAATTCCAATTGTCAGATCCCAGCATTCATTCGAATTTTTCATTAGTAATCCCATCAGCTGACACTGACGAAATTAAGGAGCCAGACAATGCTATCAAAGGTGACGTTATCTCGTTATATGTAAATAAATAAACGTCAGAGACATAAAGAAACTCTAATCCAGAATTCAAACCTCTCATTGTACCAGATACAAAGGATTTTAAGGTACCCGGAGCGATACCCCGCCCAGCTGAGAAAGGTGCGTAGACAGTGGCGAGGGCATGCTTTTCTAGATTGTAAATAAACCAAAAGGATTCAGAGTGAAGAGGATGAAAAAGAAGAAAAAATAGTCCTCCATATATGCAGGCAGTGGAATGCAGAGGAGAGACAGCTTCGTGGGGGTTACGTAGGGAACGTGCATGCGTGCTCATACATGCACGGGTTACTGGCTTTGAGTAATAGCAGCAGCAGCAGCAACACTTCCGATTATAAAAGGCGGCTCTCATTTCGTGTTTTTTCACTCACGTTTCAGGTGAGAGACGCGGGAATATCCGGAGTGCGGGAGCCAGGGTCGATCTAGCTTCCTATATACGACACTACGGTTCACTGCGGATCACTATTCACATGATAATTTCAGCGATATCGTACCGTGCGACTCACCACCCATCCACCATTGGCATTTTGTTCGGTTCGACTGAAAGAAAAACTCGATCGAGTGAAGTTGGCCGCTGCGGCCAGCAGCGAGAGCCGAGTGTGGCGTAGGAGGCGGTGCGCCACTTCCATTGCTCCATGATTTCTACTGCGCCACACCCCAGTGCCATCTATGCGGCTGGACACGGAATTACTTTACCTTCGATTCAGCCAGACAGATAAGATACAAAGGAGTAGCTTCTCTTTTACCACTAGAACAACTTTGAAAATGACTGCTTCTGTATCCATTACAATATTGTTATAAGGTATATACATTGTTTGATACTTAATTACAGAACAGCTGTTTATTATTGTTTATCCTTTATTTTTTGTATTACAATACTCGTATGGAATGCGATAAGGTTCTCAGGTTTGCACACACATTTTACAACAATGTTCATATAACAATACTATCTGTTTGAAACAGTAACGTTAGGTGTAATAATCCTCACTATCGTAAACGCTTCGTGCTGTAATATATATACAGCGTTGGTAGTTGCAATCGCGTCGTGAACGTCGAAACGAAAATAATAATTGTATTCGTGTTTAAATGTGAACCGGGAGTCAGTCCTCTGGATTCACCCTCGTCCTAGAAGAGGGAGGCAGAGGTGTGCCCTGCTACAATTTCACACAAATATGACAAAGCAAATACATTACACAATATACGGATATCTTAAGTTAATGGACACTCTGAATTTTAACGCTCGCAAAGTGTCTGTACTCTGTTAGGAAATTCGAACTTGTTTTTTTTTCTTCTTCTAATCATTCCGTTATACGATCTTCTTTATACTATATTATTGTTATACTGTATTTGGGTAATATTTATGCACCATTGTAGCGAACCTGTCAATTGACTGTGTTATCGGTGTATTCTCGTTTCAAGTTTCGCATAATCTTTTTTTATAACTACAGGTGATTACTACGTCCTATTAGTTAACTGTGATGTTTATGACATTGCCGTACGCAATTAATGTATGTCGTACAAAATGAGAGTTGAGCAGGAATGACAGTACAACGAGAAATTGTTTGATCGACACAAGATATGATATTGTGATGGAATGCAGAGTAATTCGTAGCGACGTACGCGGTATTGAATAATTGTAGGATTTCTTTTTTGTTTCTCTTCTCACGATTATTACCAGCTACGTATCTTACATACGAAATTGTATGTACGCACACTACTTTTAACGAATGTTTTATGACTTAAACGGATAAAAAAAATTGTATATTTAACAGGTATAATATTTCTTAATTAATTATGATTATTCTAAACCATACTGGATATAAATAACTTACTATGCTTTTCTGTAATGCATTTATGATACGTCAATTAATAAAACTGTAACTTGGCAAGGTTTAAGAAAACGGTTATAACCTTGCTGGCTCTTGAAAGATTTCTACCAATAAACTTTATAATTACTGAATGATTAATCTGATTTACTCGGCTAGTAACAATTTTTCACAATTTTGAATATTAACGATTTCAAGTTTCTACAGGTAACATTCGGTTTAGATTTATCATGGTCTCGAGAAACTACACGTATCCAACATTAATTAGTTTACAATACACGATACTCGTTTCGTTTATAAATTTAATATAACTTTGGCTGTATAACTTGAACAAATATTTAAACGTTTTACATTACTTTGTTTTAGGAAAGATTTAACAAAACTTGAACAACACACAAAATGATTAACGACTGCTGGAACCGTTGTGATCTCAGTTAATTTCTAATATTTTAAAGTATTCAATAAGCAATCTGACATTGGAAATTTTGTGACCCTCAGTGAATACACAATTTTCAGAAATATCGTCCATTCGACTGCAACAGCAGGAAAAGCAGATTCTGTCGTTGCAGAAAAATGGCGTAAAACGTGCAAGACCTAACCATCACTTTATAGAAGTTTCACAGCAATCATCAATAATCAAGGCAAGTATAGGCGCGCATTTCTGTGCGAGAGTACTTAGCAAAATGTTTCAATACATTAAAAGAAAACAGTAACAAGATGAAAGACACAAAAAAAATACCAACACACAATGGAATGTATAACAAGTGACTATACCAATCACACTAAGGCACGATAAAACGTATTACAAAGTGTTCTAGAATATCCTACTAATAAATGCGTTTTCCTCCAAACGTGTTTTTGTTAAGAATTCAAGAGAAGCAATTAAAACAACACACAAAAAAGAGACACTTCTTTTCTTTGTTAAGAATATGTTAGTTAACTTCTTTTAATAAATACAAGTTAGCATCTCAAGAACGTAAATAATATCAAATCACTTATTTTGTTAATAACACCAATTAAATCAAGTCACAAAATTATTATAAGAAGCACCTGTCAATACACGTTTTCAGCATTAGTCCATCGGTTAGAAATATTTTGTATAATACGTGGGGACAGCACGTTACAGTCAAGTATCAAGAAAATAAAAAAACTAAAAAGAACAACAATGTTACGTGTTCCTCTGTCAACTTTAACGCTATTAAGTATGTCGTGGCTCAAATCCGTTATTTATACTTAAGAAAACAGTCTTGTACTTGGAATAATGAAAAGAATTACAGGGTAATTACAAAATAGATAATATTTTGAGGGTTCGTGCTTCTTTTTTTATCCTCGAAGAAGGATTTTCTGCAAATATGATGTTCCACCCATATTCCATTATTCTTGAATATGTCTGTCGTTAAGTATTTTTTGAAAACGAAATTCAACCATAATCAATTATGGTATATGCATATTGGATAGAATGTACGTGACAAAAAATAAAAAAAATATATTAGTTTTCGTATGAAACTGATAAGAACTATGATAAGATTAATATTTGAAAGAACAATAAACTCAGAATACTGTTTTAAGTACCACTGATGGTGACTATTGCGCCATTTTTGCGTAAATATCTGAATGTAAAATCTATAATTAAGTCATCCTTCAGATATTCGTGGTAAAGAAAATATTTAAAAATACACGAATCCTTTGTACTTCTGATATAACAATAACGGCCATTACCACCGAATTTTTTTGAAAAGATTTTTTAAGACTTAAGATCATTTAACATAATTTGCCTGTATATACCGTACGTACAGTGATTCACATTCCCTTTGGCGAATATTCCCCCAAAAAATACGTTTACTCTTAAAAAAGTAATACTTCAAATTTCAATTCCTGCGTTTAACTCAATTGGAACGGATGATCTGTGCTTTTAATGAGACAGATGATTTTTAACAGCGTAAAATGGACGTGAATTTACAGTTCAAGAACTGTTCCTGCCTAAAGTTCGTTTCTACTATGAAGAGTTATATATATATACCTATAATCTTAAAATTGGCAGTAATTTGGTCTTCTATTGTTTGATAAGCCTGAGAAATAACAAGCGACGTTATTTTATGAAACTTTGAAGTATATTCTGCCAAAACTCAAAAAAAAATATATGCTCATACATAAATCTGAAGCTTAAATTGAAATCGACCTTAAACAAAATAAAATGATGAATTAAATATGCGAGGGTTACGTAGGACGTCTGTACGACGTTTCTTGCAGCAAGAAAAAAGATAACGAGGAACTGTTAGTTTAATGCAATAAACAAAAAAAATAGTGGAATAGTTTTCTACGAGTTGTAGATAAAAAAAATTGTACGACCGCATTAATGTTCTATCCAAACTGATTTGGCATTACTGTTATATCCCATTTACGTATCTCGTACGAGGAATTGACTACGTTGAAATTTGAAAACAGAATACGCAGAGAGCAGATACGTACTTGCCCCTTTAACGGGCATACAAAAGTTTTTCGTATCACAGTTATTTTTGACAAGTGAACGAAACATATTGAAAAAATTCTTTTACAAGCAGCATGTATTGATTGCTCTCTGTTAATTATCTGCTCAAGAAATTCCTGCATCTGTATATTAATAGGAAAGAGATGATCAATAACCTTGGAGTAGAACTATTGTAAACCGTTATGGGCGATTCGCATTGATTGAGAATTCGCCTTTGAGTTTTCAAATCCTATTGCAGCTCGTTTTCTCAGATTATCGTAATCCGTGCGAGTCTACCTGCGAGTCAATGACGATAATGAATTTACATTTTGAGCACTTTAAACCTTATAATCGAGCACTTTGTTTTTCCCATTATATAATAACGTGGATGAGGGGAGTATCAATTAAAGAGTAAACAGGCGTTCTAAACGCAAAGGCCATTTAGGACGACTGATTGGCAGTGGTGGACTTGGCTTTGGATTTACGACCGAGTAGCTTACGAAAGGATGATGTCCATCTGGAGCGAGTGAAGCCGCCTGCTCTGGAGCCATCCAGTTCGCTGCTTGATGATTCGCTGATTTTTCTGCTGCTTCCACCACCCTCGTAAGATCTTGATCTGCGATCTCCAGTCTCGGATGAGAATCTAAAACAGAAGAATTCTCAATAACGTACACAAAAGCAAGGATCAGTAGTCAGAAGACTTACCCGGAGTCTGATGAAAATGCTCTAGCAGTTGGTGGAGCACTAGAGTTGGCTGAGGATAAAGAAACTTCGGCAACCGGAGTGCTGGGAAAGGCCTCGTCCTCGGAGCTGCTGCTAGAATCATCTATGTAGCTGATACCATGTTCCAAGGGTGAACTGGTTCGTAAGGGTGGTAAAGCTGCTGGCGTACTCGGACGCAACCAGGTGCGCAAATCCTGTAAAGGTGCTTGAAGGCACTTGAAGAGCTTCCCACTGAAAAGAGATATTCGACTCCTTAGTCGAATTTTTCCTCGGATGAATATTCTCGTTACCATTATCAAGAGAACTCACTCGTCCCGTATCTCGTCGACTTCCCCAAAGGTGCGCTTGGCGTATAGACATACGGAACAGCGTCGTCTACGTCGGCAGGATGTTGCATGTAGCGTAGCAGCTCTGAGATGACGTGCGGCGTGTCTCAGGGTAGTTGCTTCATGACTAAGGGCCGCCACACCTTCCTCCCGACGACGACGTTCAGCTCCCAGCTCTCCCTGCTCGGCTCTCAATCTCTCCTTCAGTATCTCGTTCTAGCAAAGTGAAAGAAGACAAGCCAGTAATAGCCAGATGAAACGTACCGCCAAGAAACTATCAGTCAGGAACAGGACATTCTTCTAGTTTGCTCTTAAAATAATTAAACTCTAATGATTATCTCGACCAAGTCGGATTCTAATTGCGCGCTCTGGTCCTATTAAACGCTAGATTATCGAGGATAGGAGAAAGTCGTCTAATTATTATAATTAACTGAGCCTACACCAGTCTGGAAGATCGTCCAAGCTCCAGCCTGATTTTCCAGTATCGGTCTCCACCTTCCATTAGAAATTCTACTCTACTAAAACGTTCTGGCAGATCATATGAAAACTCCAATAATTCCCAGAAGCCACCAACGTACAAGAATCATGACAGTAGCCCCACTAAGGAAAAAATAGACGCCTCAGTAAAACTGGTAGAAGTTACAAGATGCTGTAAGGCATGGATCGCTGGATTTCTCTATGGTATATCCTAACCGCAAGTACCCGGAAGTCTTGTCGGTCAGGATGGGAATCCAGGATGTATCGCATATCGCAAATAGAGAAGCCGAGACTAACGTGAAGGTAAAGAAAAGTCTCAAAGACAGCAAAGAGGATATACAGGCAACTTGAAGGGAGGTTCATCGACCCTCCTTACCCAGCATGGTAATTTTAAGCGCACGGTTGTCAAATGACAAGTCGTCAAAGAACATTTTCGATTACCCTGAAGCTCTTCCTTCCAGATAACGGACATGAAAATGACGGCAGGAGTCAGAGGCCCGTTAAAACTAACCTCCCGTTCCAGGGCATCGCGCTCGGCTCGAATCACCGTGGCCTGTCGCACAACGTCCTGCCGTGCTCGTTCAAGCGACCTCCTGGTTATTTCATTCTGCGACGCCTGCAGTTGCAGCTGACGAAGTGCAGCAGCGCGCTCGCATTCGAGACGGTCCCGGGCGGCTATACAGGCATCACGATCAGCACGTACACGCTCTGCCTCGTCTTCTAGACGAAGGCTCCTTTCCAATTGGATGAACAGCTCCTCTTCCTTATCGCGCAGTTCAGCCTCGCATCCTTCCAGCCTCTTCTCCAGGGCCTGCCTAGCTGCTTCTATCTTATTCCTCTCGGCCTGCAAAATACAGAAAAGACCTTAGCATCAGGATCATGAACAGTGACCAAGAATCCAATCCTTGGGCATCGTTCCTCCACCTAATATGATCTTGCTGGGATCGATAGGGTGGACGTACACAGCCGCACCTTGAAACTTAATATAAATTAATGACCGACTTCAGGACGGGATTTACAGGAAGTATGTGGAAGTGGGTGTGCCACCGTGAGTTCATTCAGTTATATCGTGTACTCGTTCACGTCTACCTTACTGCATACGTGGACATAGGAACTTGTTATCTCTCAACCGTTCTAGTCCATCGGTAATGAAACCTGGCAATCTGGCAATCAATGTTTCACCCAAGAGGACCATAACTAACTTCCGTTTGATATCGAGCAAACGGATGGACGGATGAACGAACCAGCCGAGTTTTCAATGGGATTTCTAGATCCTGGATGCCTACCTGAAAGGCTGCCTGACCGAAACGAAGCATGCTAAGTATTACAAGCGCTTGGAGTCAAACAGAGGACGCTCGCGTGTATAATAATTTCGAGAGCTCTTCGCGCACTTATATATATTCTCTGCACGTATTACGTGAATGCCTTTAACCTTTTAACATATGGCCTTGGTCGTCAAACAAACGTTACTTTACATCTAGTTACAAACTTCGCACGTTACACTTGGAGATATACAATAAAATTTTCCTAATATCACAATCCACATAAACATAGCAGCAGAGATTTAACGGATAGACGCGAACGACCTACTTTGACTATACAGATCATTAGGATCATCAATGAATCGGAGCAAGGAAGCTATTACGGCTCTGTCGAAGAACATCAGAAAACAATGGATAGTGTCGAGTCCGTTACTTTAGGTTAGTAAAGTACTACACGCCTTTCGTACAACGCACGCACAATCGTTAACCGAGAGAAGCATAAGTCATGAAAAATAATTCGTGGCATAACCATTACAAAGATTTCGAGAATACAAAGTCATTCGAGTCAATATTATTTTACTTAAATTATCTCTCTGACTTCTATTTGGTTTCTTCCATGAAGAACGACCGTCATTACTCATATGACACTAACTTATTTCTATACCTGGTGCGCATTTCAAAACAGGGTATACCGAACAGTGCCAAACGTGAACGCACGTAACGCTCAGGCAATTACCTAACGCAAGTCTCAGAGAAAATGTTTAGGAGTGAAAGGTCGTCAATCTCGGTCCAGAACAGAATGACTCAGAGACGCTAGTTTCGCTCGAGGCCTGTACAATTATATAACTAAAAATAAATTAACCCAAGAACACCCTGCCGTGTTCCAATAAGCGTCTGATCCATTGCCATGCACGTGGCGTTAAAGGATGACAAATATGACCACAATGCAATTCCAACGACGTTACCAGGTGCCTCGGTAGCTTCGCTCAATGAATTATTTCGTGTCCGATGTCAACGTTCTCGGACATGACACGTAGGCATATAGATATGCGGCACATGAATGTATATCGCAGCGTGGAAAGAAACTTAACGATGTCCAGCCATAGACAAAGTGCCGTAAACATTGGTGGGGTTGTAGAAACAAGTGGCCAGGAATGCCTTGTCAAGAGAGTCATCAAAAGTGACTGGCAGGACGAGTCCATTAAAGAGATTCCACGCGTGGAAAAGAAACTAGGATGAATCCTCGGGGCAGCGACGGTGCGTCGCCGGCAGGAACGAAGAGGGAAGATGAAATAGTTCCAAGGAGAATTCCCAGTAGAAGAGCTCGAAGCAGTCTTCTTGAAGTTCCCACCGAAGTCGAGGATTGAGGTGGAGCAAGAAAGAAAAAAAGAAAAAGAAATTAGAAAGAGCGAATGGCAGTCAAGAAGACAAGGAAATAATAAAGTCCCGTGTTGTTGACCCAGGGTAAACCATCCCAGGCATTTGCGCTCCCGGCACGTTCGGTGCATGTGCTTTTCGCACGGTTCAAGTAAACCGTTCGGTTACCTTTGAAGCAATTGTTGCGTTCCTCTCGCGTTACGCAGCCACGCCATACGACGTATGCGTTATTCACGTGCAGCTACTGTGTATTTATATATGCAGTGCTCCCACAGTCATTTTCCAGTTCTTGCACGTTCCACTATTACCGTTCGCGCTGCAGTCCTCAGAGTGGAGTACGCCACCCACGCAAAATCATTAGCTTTGCTCGTAGGTGGCTCTTTCCTTGCGATGGGTGTACTGTTAACTACGGCCTCGAAAGACTCTACGGTGAGGTCACCAGCTCTCACGGTCTGCTGAGCAGGATCGTTGCTGAGAATTGCCGGGGGAACTCTGGTTCTCTTAGTTGGTTCCAAGTCTACACACGATGCTGATGACTTCAGCTTGGACGTGTTTGTATACTGGAAGACGTACAACGACCAACAGGTACTGGCAGTGGTCACCCATATTATCCAGACATACAGAAGGCGCTTGTGTCTGGTCTAGGCCTGCTTGGTGGCACCGTCCAGGGAACGGTGAAAAGAAAAAAATTAAAAGTGGCCTTCGCCATTGCGTCACGACCTCGCAGAAGAAAAATAAAGCGAGATCGCTCACTGTACCAGAAACCAGTTGGACTTTTGGATCCTCCTGCGAATTCCTTTTTCCATGGTTGCTCGTGGACTGATATCTATCAAGCAAAAAATTTATGGGTTTTACAATTAGCTGGTGAAATTAATTTAAGGCATCCTTGACGACTTTTTTAATAATTACCATGGAATATTTTCTTTTCCCAGTCGTGAAACACTAATTGGGTTTTTTTCGTAGGTATCCTCATTACTACACCATGTTGCAGAAACGATGCTAATCGTAGAACAGGACTTCTCAATCAAAGACATAGAACTGCCGTTGCTCTTAGCCAGTACCAAGTTCTATTTGACTTCCCTTGACGTGCCAGGCCACTCCCTATTTACCGTTAATCACAACCCTTACCGACCGCACCCCAAAGGTGCCTACGGTTATTTTTCCTTTGTCAATTCTCTGTATTCTCCGTCCGCCGTAGATTTTCACGTGGCTTCACCAAGCTGGGACGAAAGACGGATCTATGAGTTTGTCCAGTGTGAATGTCTCCGATGGACACAACGATTTTTTAGCAGAGTGAAATTTTCACGGCGATTACGACAATTCGTTGCGGTTTTTCATGTCGACACGATGATCCTTAGAAACGGACAGTGGGATCACGTTCTCATTGAATCCTAGACCAGACAGACTCTTTCCGGTCTGCTACGGGTGAAACAGCCAGTAGGTACGCATACCACACTAGTTTAATATATAATGACTCGTCAAGAAGTAGTTGGCATTAATGAAAGAAAAAAGGAAGGAAAAAAAAGCTGCGAATAAATCTCAAATATACCGTAAAAGCGACAGAGAAATTCCGCCACGCTGCATAGAAAGTCGCCTTTAAATATTCCAATAGCTTGGTCAACAAATATTTATTTAAGCCGTACACGTTCTAAATGTCCGATCGCTCTGCAGAGGATTAATCAACAATCCTGCCGGACTCATAAAATTTCTACAACGGCGCTGCCGCTCGCACGAAGGATGAAACTTGCCAGGATTCTACGTTAATAGAAACGACGAGTCCGTAGAATCAATTTTGGTCCTGACACCCGTAGTCGACCGTAGCAAAACGTGTTTATCCAGCAGACAAGGACCTGCAGGACAGTACAAATTTATTCGACTACGATTCTATATTCGGACACCATATACCTATACGTAGCTAGACTGAGAACCGTAACAGTCTCGTTAATGTTTTTCACCGAGCATCGACTTCCTCAGATATACATACGTGCTATTGGTGGCCACCATTATTTTTTTCCCCGTCATCCTCTTTAACGCTGGTTAACTAGAAGCCCGCGTCGAGACGCCATTAAATTGAATCACGAGACAATAGACCATATACATCTGAGAGAAAGTGCCACGCGTTGAATTCACAGGAAATCAATATATATATATATATATATATGTGTGTGTAAAAAAAAACTTTCTTAGCACTAAGTGAATTCGTCGAGGGTAACGAGAATCGCATGACTTCTGCGTCTACGCTGACTTGGTCTCTTTCTGTGCGGAAAGTGCGACTGCTGACTGGCCGTTGCATCAGCAGTGCACTTTTAGACTCGCGTCCGCTTTTACCGTATTGTTAACGATATGAAAGTTAACAGTCCGGAGGAGGCATCCTTTAAGATTGAACTTTCTCGTTGTCGGAATAATTTATAAGTAAGTCAATAAAAATTCGCCGCGACGCTCACCGTCTATTCACGCATCCTTACAGATCCAAGCGTCGATACACCCCGACGCCGACTTCTAATCCGGTCACTGAGTAGGCACCGGGCACGCGGATAATTTAGTCTTGTGCACGCTATTCTATAGACAATTACTTTCGTGTAACGTCAGCAGTGACTCCTGGTGAAATTAATACTCAGGTCTTCAAGTATCGTTCGACCGCACGCATTCGCACCTGATGATTCCGCTTATGACAGAGCTGAAGTCCTGTGTTCTGATACAAAAATATATTTCGCTAGGGTGCCTCAAGCGGAAATACGTCATGGATTTCTTGTGACTGTATATAGTACTTTGGAAAAATTCCCAGGAGCAATTTCGTCACGCCAAGTATGTACCGATGCATTGGAATTCGTTACACAATAACCTGGCGGAGTATCCTCGACGATTGGAGTGACTTTAGCTTTCAGAATAGTCCGTTCAGATATCCTGGCAGGTGTACATACAGTATCGTTGGTCTAATATGTATCTACAGTGGTACTGCGTATATATTCTTGACATGACTGTACTTTGGCCTTGACGTTAATACCAAAAGCAACTGGGATTTCATTGGATTTAAATGAATTCTCTTCCTCGTGGTAGCACGGTAACACCTATCTTAAACAAAGTGTAGAATTATGTATCTTATCACGAGACTAGCGACTTGAATCGATATCAATTAATTAATAGCATGCTTTCTTATCGCTCTAATCGAAAGCATATTTTTTCGTACGACCTGGTATCGACTAATGATCTCAACTGAATCCTTGCGTTCACGTGTGGACGCGACTTAACGACCTGTCGGCTCTCCATGAGAAAGGCTGATAACAATCTCGAAGAATTCCCTCGTTAGGCCTCTTTTTAATTTCCTGATGGCGGAACTGTTTGCGCCTAACAGCACAGTGGGTGCTTCTATACTCTTGGGCTCTAAAAAGTAGAAACTCAGAGCAACGTGCAAAACATCAACGTGAAACGAGTCGATTCATCTCCATTGAATTTATAAGAAGAACCTTTGAAGTCATCGGTTACTTATTCTTTACTGAGTATTACGTTGTATCTGTAGAGATACAAGTGGTGCCAGGAACAACGTTGGATTCTCACCTTTGTTACATGACTGGTGCAGCACTGTTAGATAGTTAAATTAGATAGAGGATTAATATGGATTGGTATATGATAGTTGAGGAATAATCGCCTTGAATATAGAGGAGGAAACTGCAATGGCGTTTGACGTGTTTCCGGTTCTTAAACGGTCGCAAAGAATTTCCTACGTACCTTGACTTCGTGATATCTTTCCTCAAGGTAATAGGCTATTCCACGTGCCTCTTCGTATCTTGCTGCTAGAGCGACGTATTTGTCGTAATGCCTCTTGAACAGGACGAATCTGTGTACAGAACAAGAGGGATTCATTGGTTATGCAATTCGCTGTAGAATAAACGAAGCGGGTCAACAAAAACCGGAAGACATTGTAAAGCGTATGGAGGGCGTCATACAATTATGTATCCAATGAGTAGAACCAGTCATGGCTTAACAAGTATGAAGGAAATGTATTAAATTATAGTCAGAACAGATTCAGAAAGTCATTTAACGTTTGCCGGCGCAAACTTGTTTCTCGAATGAATCAATGTTAAACGACGTTAAAAAAAAAAAGGAGGTGCGTTATTTGAACTGACTTATTGGATTTGGCGTATTACGAAACAATTCTCCTAGGGAACTTTGTTTTTCGGCTAAGCCAAACAGAGAATTCATCAATTGACTATCTAGGAATGACTTAATGTCGGATAAGACAATCTTATCGTTCCATATCTTCATATACGACGAGAATTAATTTCGTTCTTTATGGATAATAATTTAACAAAATACTACGAACCTGTAAAGATCATTTTCGGTTACGATATCTCTGATCGAATCCCCAGGATCAATGTGATCTGCTAAAGCTCCAGGTGATCCAGCCGACCTGGATGGCAAAGGACACGGAGGACATGGACTGCACGGACTGCAATCACGAAGTGCAGTTGCAGCCACCAGGTCATCCTCGGATGCAGTTGTTAATAATGGACTCGGCGTCCTTGTAGTTGTTCCCAGGAGATCCTCGCTCCTCGAATGTCTCATCTCTGAATTCCTATAAATTCCAGCCGATCCAGTCGGCGGATTCCTGAAGACGACATTCCCGTTAGCAACGGTGGGACCCGGGCCCGGGAACCCGTTGCCGGCTATCCCGATCAATAGATCCGTCATTGCCGTTTATTCAGCCTACTTCTTCTTCGCGTAACACAGTAACACACTTATAAACTCACTACACAACAGATTCACGTAATCCCAAGGGAAAGTCGTTAATAAAATTTATAAAACGACGCACGACGATCGTCCTTTATTGACAGCATCGTCCACTTACAGTGTCCACTTTTTTTTTTATCTCCCTTCTGATACAAAATTGGACCTCCAATCGCCGGGATACGGACCACTGCTCTGTCCTTTAAGACCCTTGCGCCTCCTACTATCGATAAAAAACACAATTTGTCGTAACAACCCGTGAGAATATCCTATAACGCCACTAGGTGCGTTCTAAATTCTCTTTTACGTCGTATAATTTCTGATCGTCACAATGATCATTGGTATACATAAAGAATCACTGATATAAATCTAAATGCATTGAGCAACACGCACTCTATCTCTCCCATGTACCTAGCGTACTCAGGTACTGTGAACGACTGAGAGGTCCTCTTCTATCGTCCTACTATTTCACAGGCTTCCCTACGTGGATAAGCTTCCGCCGGGATCAGGTATCCTCACGGGAACCCTTTAGCGCGGAACACGTAATTCGATGCCGATTAGGAGAAAAAGGGATTGCAAAAGAAATACTTCACGCTACTTCTCTTAAAACTCCGGAAGCACCTGCACGTTCCGCGTTTACCTGCGAACTGTTACGAACTGTCGTAAACGGCTGCATGATTTCCAGTCTAGAATAATCCTGTGAGAGGTCGTTGGGACATAATGTAGGGATATTCTACTTTTTTTTTTTTCCCTGTAGAAACTAATGTAACCAGCTGATGGTAAAGAAGAGTGACATCCATATCTACTTTTGAGGTTACATATCTACGTATTTTTAACGAAGAGTAGCAGAAGGAATTTTTGATGATTTTATACTCAGTTTGAAAATGGCAACTCGATTATTACGAATATTTTCGAGTGATTTAATTGTCTTAAAAGGGCAGCAAGTTCGATATGGACACAGAATGCGTGGTGTTCCACCTACAAAGGCTAGGACTCTGCAACAACGTCTTGATGGTGCGATTATCGCGGTTTATTCACTATTTTACAGGTTAGGTTGTCCGATTTATACTTATAACAATACTGTTTTCCTTTAGAATTAAATTACAAGGACCCAGAATTGGCATTACAAGTAAATATTGGCTTGCCTCTACCGAAACGCTCACGAGCTGAAATAACATCGAAATGGTTATCCGAGTTGAAACAACACAGATCAGATTCTGAGTATGAGAGGAAAGCAAGGCATAGAGAATGTATGTAATTATTGAGATTTTTTGAAGATATATATATATTTTTTGAAGATATATATAGTCATGCTATATATTTTTTACAGTAATTATAGACATGGAGGCAGAGAAGAAAGATTGGCTGCAAACCTCTGCGCCTTTGCAATGTAAAACAATTGCGAAGCATTATGAAATTTTTGAACATTTATATGGCGATGCCTACTTTTATCCTATAGTACCACTTGACATTGATTATGATTTTGGAAGTGAAGATAGTCTTGCTAGGGTATATAGAGGAAATATAATTAAGTCTGATGAAGCAAAACAAGCACCAAGTATAACATACAAAGCAGAATCAGACACTCTCTGGACTCTTCTTTTTACTACCCCAGATGGTGTTTTGACCGATGCCAATGAATACTGTCACTGGTTCATGTAAGTCTTTCAATAATGTGATAAACGTAGTGTCATTATATAAGAATTATATCAAATAATAATTTATCAGTGGAAATATACCGGGCAATGAGGTGAGCAAAGGAGAACAGTTAATGGACTATCTCAGGCCTATTCCACCACGTGGTGTTGGTTATTGCAGATACATATTTGTATTGTATAAGCAAGACAAGAAGATTGATTACTCAGAGTACAAAACGGAACAACCATGGTAACTATAACTTCCATAAAAGAAAAAACAAAACTTGTATGTACACTTTCATCTTTCTGGTTGATTTTCTTTCAGTTTGGCCTTAGAGAAGCGCAGCTTTAACACAAGAAATTTTTATCAAAAACATCAGGACTATATAACTCCTGCTGGATTAGCATTTTACCAAGCTACCTGGGATTCTAGTCTGACAGACGTCTATCACAATACATTGAGTAAGTTACATCTTGAAACTATTACACTAACGTAGACCTATTGATTCTATTAATTTTTTTGTTGTTTTTTGTTTATAGAAATGGAAGAACCAGCATTTGAGTATGACTTTCCACAGCCATACATTAAACCTCAGACATGGTTCCCATTAAAACAGCCCTTCAATCTTTACTTGGACAAGTATCGTGACCCGAAGGATGTGAACAAGGATTATCTACTAAAGAAATTGAAGAAGGTCCACCCATTCAAAGCACCTGAACCACCGTTAAAATTCCCCAATGCTCATAGATTACCAGATGACATGCCTTCATGGTTAAAGCTGGAAGTAAAAAAGAATCGAATGGGTTTAGGTCGCATTAATGAGATAGAATAATTGAATTTACACAATAAATAAACTGTTAATATAAACAAAACTATTTGCTAAAATGGATAATAATACTTTTCACATAAATGAAAAACGAATATTTTCCATGTGGTGTAAATATTCGTTTTAACATCAAAATAAAATTTTCTTTGAAAACAAATAGTTTCAGCTAAATAAAAATATTTATTAAAACTCATAAAAAAGTCATCCTCACACGTTTCGCTGCATTTGTTATGAGGTGTTTAAAATGATGTCAATCATTTATTTATTACTTACTCACTCAGGTTTCAAATGAGCTTCAACGAGTTGTCTACTGCGCAACTTTATATCGGCACGCGTCAAGACATTTGAGTCAATAACTTCATGCTCGACGTATAAACCTAAATTTATATAAACATTACGTATAATATAACAAATATAAAATGGCCATAATTTTCCTTGTGATTACCTGTCGGTTCCGGTTCTCCTACGCCGTATTTCAATTTCGATCTGTAATCTGAGATGTAAGTCTGATACAAATCCTTAGCCCTCACTTCTCTTTCCTCATCAAGTTGAAAGCCACTCATACTGAAAAGCATTCCAACTTTTCGAGTAACTTGCGTCAATAAAGTCAAGCCTGCAACAAACGAAAGAAAAAGGGAAAACTCATTAGTCGTCAAATATATTCTTGGATTTCTCAATTTTTTCTTTAATTAGTCTCCAGTACCATCCTCGTCTATTTTTTCAAATTGTGGCTCTTCCTCTCCAGATATTTTATCTTCGAATTCCTCATCTTCTTTTTCCTCTATTACGGGACTTTTTTTTGATTTCTTTTCATTTTCCTTAGGAATCTTCTTCACAGATTTACCACGCTTAATGTAAACTAGCATGGATACCATATTCTGCATGGCGGCCCTTATGTTCATAAGTAACTCGCCCCGAATTTTTCTCATATTCTTGAAATCAGCTTCACGCTTCTTTTGAGTCTCAATTTGGTCTAACATTATCTTCTTATCAGCTTTATATCTGTAATGTCGTGGATTAAGCAGTTGTACGACTCGATTATAAATTCGGAAACTACTGATGGGAAAACTAACGACATCAAACCTCATAAAACTTGGCACTAAAGAAGAAAACGAGATGTATTGAAATTTATTAATGGCTCATGGAATATCTCCTGAGAGAAATTAAGTTATAATAAGTACTTGGGAATCGAACTATAAACAGAAATAGACTGAACGACAAATACTATAATTTATCGATTATCCAAGCATATGAAACTCGAAATGTAGACGAAAAAAATAAAATTAAAATATTGAAAGATATTCTGTACTTCGTGTAAACGGCAGAAGGTCGGTATAGTAAATTTTCAAACGTACTGTCCAGTTGTCCCAATCATACTGTGTTCCAAACTAGCCAATATCAGTAGAGCATGATGTTTCTTGTTAAGGATGGAATCGCGTTCAATTAAATTATGATTAAATTGGACCAAAAGCCGTGCCTTTTGTCTCATCTGTTCTTCAAGTCTAAAGTAAATAAATGAAAAACATAATAAATAAACAATATTAACTAAAGTAAACCAAATCGAAAGTTACCTCGGAAAAACTTCATCGTAAGAACGCACCAGCATGGATTCCTTTGTTTTGTCAAAAATATCTTCCAAATGTCGAATTTGTGACTGCAGCCATTCCTCGCTTTTTGTAACAATTATCTTTTTCTCAGTAAAATCAGTATCGCTCTGGAATTAACAACATACTAAATTAGAATAACAATTCCCCCAGACAGTAATATTATCCATTATCGATGCGCACCGAGTCCACGTAATTCCATTTGTTTCTACTAGATGGCGGTAAGAGTAGCAGCCATTCGTGAATTCATGATTAGTTACGTATCTCTAATGCTATCGGTAATTAATAAATAATTTAATTAACAAACCTCAACACGAACAAGTGATTGCGCATACGCCCAAAGGTCATCCACCTGACTGCGTACATTCTTCAAAGTGCGTTCACGCTCTCTCATATTAACCCATACGTCTTGTGCCATCTGCTTATACTTCTGTCTGGTATCATCTAAATTTTCAGCAGCCAATTGTCCCATGACGGTTGCTTTAATGAGAATTTGACATTGGACCTTTTGATCGACTTTTAGAGCGTCAAGTACAGCGTCAAAGTATACAGCATCCTATATAGAAATTGAACATAGGAACTTGGAAGAACGTTTCTCAACAAGTGAGTCTTCAGAGCATTCAGTTGTCGCCCTTTCACATTTAAGGTAAACAAAGGGAGCCACCTTCGATTTTACGCCAGACTGCACCAGAATAAGGCTCCCCCTTCGCTCACCTTCTTCAGAATATTCGACATGCAGATGTACGTCTCGCGGATGGCTGCTGCGGCATTCATCTTGGCGATAAATCGCTGGTAATTAGTAATGAGGGTTTGCTGAAGATAATTTGGCTTGTACTCCTGTTCCTGTTCATATTTATCCGCCAACAATGCACACTCAAGCTACATCGAGTAGAGAAGGAAAACGGTGAAAAAAATTAACGCATGACTGACACCAAAAAAAGAAATGGCAATACCTGCAAATCAAAAAATTCCTTCATCTTCTTCTTCTTCGTGTAGTAAAGCTTGTTCAGAAGTTTTCGCTTGAGGGCGCTGTCCTGGAAGATGGCAGCGTAGGTCTCCTAAATAAATTTATTTGCGGGGTTGATGAGAATCGAAATTCAATATAAAAAGCAATAAGGATTTGAAGATACGCTAGGTTTGAGATGATCGTAAGCCAATTGGAAATCACGATGATGCTGAAGCAACATATGCATTCGCCGCTGATCCCCATTCATGATGTCAGTCATTATCCCACGATATTCCTTGACGTCAGAGGTTAGGTCTTTCAAATCTCTCGATACTTTTTTCTTCAGCTTATTAACGCTAATCACTTGCAGTTTCCTATCCCGTGCTACAATAAAACGCATTTTATACAGATCAATAACTCCCTCTCGGATCATAATGAATCACTTATTAAATAATCAAGCATTAACCATGCAGCTTGAGAATTCCACGATACTGAATCAATTTATCTTTTGTCGTCCATCTCTCATCCTTCATCCCATGAAGCTTAACGTTCTTGGCCGACAGCATCTTTCTCTTGATATACAATTAAACTAGAAAAAAGATTATACAACTTAGAAATATTACAGATGCATAGGAAGAACCTCAACAGCTGTAACGAGATACTCTGAATACAGGTCAATTCACCAGTTGCAATTGTTTCTGGTATCGATGAAAATGAAATTTCTCTTACTGTTGCATTATGCAAGTACACTATACATTATAACTAGAATACAAAACTATGTATACCGGTGCACCAGTTCATCTTCAGTTTACTTACTTACCGAGAAGAAAAGTCTCTTTTATTGCCAATAGAAAAGTATAATTTCCTCTAGTCATTTAACATGTCCGGTACAGTAATTTTCTTTCTAGAGATTTTACCGAGCTTTAAGTCCCGTTCATAGGACACGTATGTAGCTATGGTTATACATACACATATATTATATATGCACAAACGTACATAGAACGATGGCGTCGTCGGCTAGGACCTCGTTACCATAAATCAGCATAAAAGCAGCGTCAATGTCGACTACTTAGAAAGCTTAATGAGTTGAGACAATAACCAGCATAAATCTTCCTGGGGTTGACGTCCCTCTGGCTTTTAGGTTAGAACGTAGAACAGGGACAAAGTATGCATCGCCTTGGCACACGAGAATGTAACGTTAACAGTGCCAACTAGATATCTACCAATCTTGTTATTCAAACTTTGATTAAAGACTCGCTATCGTCCTGTGAGATTAATAATGAAGTTATTACACAGGAAGATTTTGTCAGGGTGTGAGGCTTTCTCTTGAGCAAGGGACTGATTGAGGTCTCCCTTTAAGTACGTACCTACCTTCGTTCTACATCTCGTCAGTTCCGTTTTCATCCTCGTACAGGAATAAGAGTGACTTAATTTTGTGCAGGAAAAGAATACTGGATGAGGAGGGACAGAGTGCAAGGCAGTGAAAGGATGGAGGAAGTTTGAGAGAGAAATAAAATAAGACTGAAAGCCTGTGCCAAAGGAATATCGCCGCGGGCGACGGTGCGTTTTCATCGAAGCGACGCCGTGCTGTGCTGCCCTCGGGTTTTCATGAAATTGATTGGCGCGGACTACGGGAATAAAAGCCCTGGGGGCGAAACGAATGAAATGTCCCGTTAGCTCAACAGAGATATAAATTAATAAAAGAGGACCGGAAGTATTGGGGGTCTCTTGATTTCTTTCGGTACCGCGTCATTTCCGGTCTTCTATAACCTAACGAGATCCTTTGATATTGGATATAGGGGACAGCTGATATGGTGTCAGTGAGCATACACAGTTGTCTATATGTGATCAGGTCACCTCTCAGGTATCTCGCAATTTAATGATTAACCTCCTCTTGAATCTCTGACACGAGAATGGATATCCTTGGAAGCAGTAAAGACACCGGAAGCGACCTGGACGTTTTGTTTTTTGCGTCTAGACTCATTTACTATGGGATTTACGTATTTTTCAAATTAATCCACGGATTTAATGAAATACGCAAGAGCCAGAGGTTCTTCTGAACGGCGCAAAGTCGTACCGAGGACCAAAAGAAAGTACTGGGGTTGGAGTGGTCCGGGTGAACGAGGACGGAAGTGGTGGTTGGGTACGTGGAGAGAGTAAGCGTAGGAAGCATTAGTTCTCTACTGAACTTAGCCTCGAGTTAATTGGACTTTTTGGGTTGGAGTTTGCCGAATGGTACAGCTGGGTACATTAAATGACTCTTATTGCTACGGTTAGAAAGGAATAGGATACGGTGCTGCCATCTGCCTCTGTTTCTAGACTCGACCAACACCTCGCCAACCCTCTGCGACATTCCTGACTCAGCAGCCACCATGATAACACCGTTCAACCAGAATTCATTACTAGGGAATGTGATATGAACGTTGACTGTTTCACACCAATACTCTGGACGGCCCTTTTGATACGTTACTGCTTCATGGACTTGTTTAGCTATATGATACACAGAGCTATTTAGCTTTGAAGTATACAAATCAGCCATGACAGTTTGTCATATTTTAATATTATATGAAATGTCATTGAACAAAATTATACGAGGCAACTGAACAGTTTTTGATGTCAGTTAACGAGCTACTTGAATTTCTTAATTAATTCGCCCAAGTACTGCCTCGATAATAAACAGCCCTGTTTAATATATCAGTCCTTGTAACCTTTTAGCATAAACCCTTTACGCCGCAGTGATCCTGACCCAACGAAACTCAATGATCTTCCCCAGGATGTCTCTCAGGGACTCATCTCATCTCTGGAGGATGAACTAGGTATGTATTTTTTAGCGAGTGTTCCTGACGAACTGTATCTCGAGAAATACTCCTCCGCACTGGTACCGCCCTGGGTAAACGAGACAATTCGAGTGGCCAGTAGTAGCATGTAAAGACAACAGGGTAAAACTGCAGACGGTCGTTATGCCAGAGTGAACATCCAGTATTTATTTTGGAATCGGTCGAGGGTTTCTATCTGGAAACCTTTAGGTTTTCCTCGTCGCAAAAAAAAATCTAAAAAGATCAGCAACATTTGTTCAGAACATCGTTATGTATTACATGGTACTAAATATATGCATAAGGTACAGCGATGTTATCCGAAAATCATTTTTACGAGATCACGTACCCTCTCTTTTACGTATGCACGTTGCGTATGCGCCAGCGAGCCGGTTCCTGTTGCAATTGGGCAAAACCATAAAATCCGGTAATTATTAAAATCCTCTCGAGAGCCGAACGTGAGGTGCACGTGAAATTCTGAAATGAAAGAGAAATGGTATTAAAAAATAGTAAAAAAATCAATAATTATATATTAGAGGTAGAACCAGTTAAACGAACTGTAGAAAATTATACATATTTCGTTAATCGAGTGCACATAACCTACAATTATGAAGCGGAACATTTAGTTGCAAATTTAATTGGCACGTTTCGTCGTTAATTTTCATTTAATGGCGCAATCAGAGCCGTCAGTAAAGTTATTGAGTCTATATATATATATATATATTACGTATATTTAATATGTACGGTCTATGCAAGGTTAGGTAAATGGTACAAAAAAGAAAAAGACGTATTCTCATTGATCGTATAAGAAACTGGACTATATCGCACGCAAGAAACTCCCTAGAAAATAAATGTAAAATTGTAGCGACCCGACGACCTCGCGTCACTGCACTATGGAAATGCTGCCTTCGCTCGTCCCTTTATCGCGTTATCAACAATGAAAAGTGGCCTCTAACAAGCTATAACGTTCCATAAAAGCAGCCCTAATGGGCAACAGACTTGCGTATTCGCGTTCTGTTCAATTAAGGTCGAACGGCAAGTCGTTTGTTCTTTGTGCATTTACGTCGAGAACTGTGCGCACGCGAATAACGCGTTTTCCTCACAGCTATGAGATTACTGAACCCTGAAACTTTACAATTCGGTTTATTCACCGAGATCGTCATTATAGTGTAGAAAGATGGTAGGCCTACAGAGAAATTTGAAAAAATTATTTTCAAAGGAACTACACGTCTTTTAAGTACAGACTAGCGATCATCTTTGAAATAGAGGTTAGATACCTTTATTTCTTTCTTTTGTGCATTTTACAACAGTATTTAGAATAGCGCATCTTTATTGCCCGTAAATCGGTAGCTATCTATTTTCATGAGGCGATTCTCGTCCGTGCGATATTCGATGAAAGTTTTTTATGCGCCTTGGAAAATTATTCGAGGAGCCATGAAATGGAAGGAGAGTAAGAAGAGGAAGAATCCAAGAAATTTGCATGAGTCTCGTGAAACGTCGATGGTCGATCCGAAGCGCAACGCCCACTACATTTAGTCGTAATCAGTCTGAAAGCATTGGCTTGACAGGTCTTCTCCAATCGAATTTACGTGACATTCTTTTTATCCAAAGCTCGGGTACACTCACCCTGATCGTAAATGTTGCTTAAGGTTTGTAAGCTGGGAGTACCAGTAGGGATTGCGAAAAAGTAGATAAGAGAGATAAAGATAAGAAAATAGAAAGTATGAGAAATTCGGTTGGAAGAAGGGTGTCAGAGAAAGCGAAGAGAACAGCATCAGCACCCTTATTCCCAGCAATAGATTTATTGCCAGGCATTTCAGGCCGAATATCCAATGTGGCCCTAAAAAAAATACGCGGAAACCATTTTAGATGATTGAATAAATTGATAAGGAATTCAGGCCGATATCCTTTGAACCCAGTCAGGACCGTCGAGCACAATCGAATACTCACTTTCTCATCTTCTGCAGCTCTTTCACTATGGCGCATAGGATGTGCTGCCATCGTTAGACGTGCCACGATGCCAGAGAGAATTTTTCAAAGCACAATGTTTGTTCTCAGCCACGTTCTCTACACGTAACACGAACTCCGGCCAGATAAGCTTCGGTAGCTCCCATAACTTTTTATTTCTCTCATTTTTCTTTCTCTCTTTCTTTTTTTTTACCTTTCTCTCGCTTTGACCTTATCCATACGGCTCGTACCAATGTATCCATCTTGCTCTAGCTTCTCTTTAGGATGATATGCAAATTCCCACGATATCCGTGGATGTTGATAAATTATATTTCAATGCTTCATCGTTTCCATATATATAATATCCTTCCGACCGATCGCTGCCAGAACAAGCAGAAGCAAGGAAACAACTTGGATAATGAAAATAACTTCAAATTTTCCTATCCAAAGAATCCTCAACTGTTTCTTGTTAGTATTTATACTCTGGTACGTTTAACATCGTGGAATAACTTTTGTGAATTTATGATATTTACTTAAAAAAAAATTATACTCACCTTATATTCACTGTCGTTTATATATATTGTTACTTTATATAATACGTATAGTCAATTCTTTTAATATTATCTCTTTCACAGTCTCCAGCTTAATACAAATGTCAAGTTGCTCGACTCTTCAAGTTTATCGCGATCGTATTCCAAGCTGTATGTATTTGGCATACGTTTTTCCAGTAGCTGTTCTATATAGGTATAGGAAATACGTGTATTCTCGTTTCACATTGGAAGACAGTATGCATTTTTACAAGATTTGTACTGTAGCAGAGTGTAGAGAAAGAGGACACGCTCGTGTTGCTGTATTGTACTATATACCATATACTTATCCAAGGTAAAGTACATCGACTCAAGGTGGATGGACACTTGTAGAGTACGTAAGACCTAGAACTGACCCAGACGCCATTGAAAGAGGAATCTCTGTGGGTAAAGTGGATTTGCCCAGACTCTATTCGAATTCGAAACGAAAAGTGAAACTGGCTGTAGATATGAAGTAAAGAAAGTTTTCTCCTCATGTCCGATATTTTTCTTCCACCCATCCGTACGAAGAAGATAAAAGATTACTGGAAGTAAAAAAGAAGAAGAAATGAGGAGAATATCGAAAAAATTTGTCAAAGGTAAATAGAAATAATCGATGCCACCATCTGGAAACTGAGGAAACAACTCTGCCAATACTTATGGACAATGTATCGAGCCAGTTAATCCATCTTGTTTGATGGTTCGAGGCTTACCTGGAATATCGATGGTGCTGATATCACTTGTGTACACACTACTCTGAGGATTTGTATTCCGGACACCAAGAGAAACAGGGAATGCCGAATTTACGCGTAATGTCATAAAGATCATGGGGTGGCGCAGCGAATCAGTCGCCATCTAGTGGGAAGTGCGACAAACTGAAGGGATCTCAGCTGTCGCTTTGGGACGATCATACGCGAAAGTATATTATGCATATACGTATGTACAGATCGTATCAGAAATGACGTGAAATGGATCTACGAATAAACGTCAAGGAAATATGTTAGAGGAACGACAATGCTGTTGGTATGAGAACATTCTATGTATTCTCCTCTCTCCTCTTTTGCCTTTGGTTTCGCTTTTGCTTTACGTCATAGGGATGCTTTAGTACGCTCTCGATACGGCGTATATTTACATAAGGAATATCCGAGATGCGTATTAATAGAAGATCCTACTTTAAATTCAGCAAGCTACCCTGATGTAAGTTGTTTATCTCTTTCTCTTTGGAATTCGCAATGCTATTGACTGATACATAAAAATGGCGACCAACGCTAATCGTTGTACGAGTCGCGATTTTCGATACGATATTTAGAAGTTACGTGACGGAATGTAATTAAAGTGGTCGTATTGTTACGTTTTAAGAGTGCGAGTGATAAAAATAATAATGTGGCTTTGCAACAAGGTGGATGATTACATTATGCATCTGGTACGTGCATCTCCATGGAGACGGATGAAGCTTTACAAAAATGCAGACGTGTCTGATGATCCGTCTGTGTACTTACTGTACAGGTTAGTTGGAAATTAATTAAACATTTTTCAATGCTACCCCTTGCAGTCAATGGCATTGCGATGGAGCTGTATATGTCTGACTACTCGTCGTCTGGAAGAGTCGTCTCCCTCGTTACCGCAATGTTGGTAGGGCTGCTGGAGTAGGGACAACGAGATCGTACCCTCGTAAAACATCTCATCATTAAATGAAAATACATTTATGTAGAGTGCTGGGGTGTTACATCCCTTACGACGAGGGAGCCTTGCGCTGAGAGCAGCTGCTACTGCCTATTGTCAAGGGTTGACAGTCTCTTCTCTGTACTCATCCCCTTAGCATCACTGCGAAAGCGCGTCTATGCATATCTCCATGTTTCCTCTTGGATAAATAAAATCTCGTCACGATCGTATATAATGTCGTCTGCGCTGTTGCCGTCGCCGTTATCATCATCGTCATCCTCATATTTTCTCTCTCTTATTTCTGTGCACGCTCCTGAGCATTGAATTGGACGTTGTTGATTTCTTACGCTTCCGTACACTCTGGTGCTACCGTTGCCACCCTGTACAATCATTCTAAAAATTTTTCGAGAGTTTCTGCCTTTTTAGCTTTGTATGTTATGTGTATATACTTTTTGGATTTTTTAAAAATAGATTCAAAAATTCTCTATCTGGTACTATGGGGTTTGCTACTGTCTTAGATTGTCAAATTTTGAGGTTATATAGAAATTGATTATTGTTAATATTTAGGTATGATATTTAGCTGGGGATTGTCATTTTTTGTGACTGTATCACGGGTTTTCAAAAAAATAAAAAATGCAGATTCTCGAAGGCCGTGTATTCTTGTGCGTTTTTTCTCCCATTCTGTTTTTTCTTGTCTCAAGATCACTGAAAGTTTTGCATTTTCAGAAAACGTCGCGAAAACAATTTAATTTTTATATCTGATACTTCTTTTCGTCTTCATGTCAGTGATATGCTATTGATATTCCTCCTTTGCTTTTTTTCAGCCAGGGGCTGTTGCAATTTTGGTTATCGACCCAGCTGGCGGAAAATTGCGAAAGGTGCTGAAATGAAATTCCAATTGACGGAGATTGGTTACGAGAAATTTTCCAACGAGAAAATTCCTTTCTGTTCCTCGGGCAATACCGTTTCCGTACCCCGAGGGTCGAGGGTGTAAATGCAGAAATTTTCAGTCGCCCCAAAGAAATAAAAGCTTCGCTACGCCCGTTGGCCGTCTGTGACTGCGCATAAAACTCGAAAATCTCATGAGATTTGAAAACTTCAAGGATTAGCCAGTATTCTAATCTGCGTTAAAGTACCTCGAGGCTTCAGCACCCTCTATTTTTCCATGGTAAAAACTTCGTGGCATTCAACCCCCTTCTTCCCATCAGCACTTCTCCATACCGAATTGTAATTAACGACATGAGAAAGCAGCACTCAAGAAATAATGGATCGCGTCGATGGAGAAATTTAATGGTAGGAAAAATTGCTTACCCAAGTAAACTCACAATCGCTCCTGATAATTGCACCTATATCACAGGCGTCCTAAAGGGAGTCCTATTAGACAAGCTGCCATTACCACTCTGATAAATTTTTTATTTTAAATTTCTCAAACCACGTCAACTCTGCTTTCAGAATATTATCAACTTTTGAATGAACCTGTACACCTATAGGAGACAACCTTACTGCTAATATTCTCAAGTGAATATCCACCCTGATGTACAAGTAATTATGCGGTTCCTTGTCGATGCAATAGCCAACCACCTGATACGCATCCATGTAGCAGCATCCATGGAGCTATGAAATTTCTGTACAGTCAAGCACATGCACATTATACATCCTCATGTATAAAATACAGTAAGCTGTCTTATCAAGAGAAAAAAAATACTTATGAACGATATTTAAGAGAATTTCAACATTTCTCAATCGAGGTAAAATCTGCATGTTATCGTATGTTAAAAATCGTATTTGGTTTCCGTTTCAGGTTAGAGCCGTAGGCGACAATCTACCCTTACGTATCGTGATGCTTACCTATTAGGATACATTACATTCTGCGTGGTAAGGGCGAAAAAAGAGAGGGAAGAATAGAACAGAAAAAAAGAAGAACAGCGATAAGGTCATCTATCGCAAATCGAATCTCAGTGACTCCTATCGCACCACTCTCCCTCAAGAAGAGAAAAAACGATTGTTGATATCGACTACGTCTGTTTATTGGAAGATTTTATGTTTCTCATGGGGCTCGAAAGGGAAAATACAAGATGTCTTTTGACTTTTATTTACCTGTGTGGTATTAAATAACGTTTATCATCTCCCATGAGCATGACGTTCGTCAAGGGGTGAAAAGATTGCGTGCCTGACGCCATATATCAATTTGTCAGTTTAATAGGGGCGTATCCTGGTCACCCTAATGTAACCTGACGTGTAACCATGGCTTTACGAAATTGTCCGTCAACCCTACAACACCCTATGCATTCTCCTTAGTTTCTAATCACGCGACTATCCGCCACCCTAGACTATCTATCTCTGGTTTCTACAATTACCTAACGTTGATTCTAGTAATTCCCAAGGGCTGAGTAACGGACTAGGGTGGAGAACCGTGAAGTGGATAATTGCCGAAACAGTTTTGCTTGCAAGAACTCAGCCACTTTGCTTGGACAGTTTTTTTGTTTGTTTGCGAATTAGTGGCTTTTTAGCAGCTTGTGACAAATGTTGACATTATTTGGGTACAAGCATGCCTATAGATATATTTAAAATCCCCTGCCTATTCACGTGATGTTTTTGTCATTATCAAATGGCTCACCCTTACTGCCAACCCTACTAACGTCATTCCCTCTGTTATGTAATGCTTGATAAATTCATTGGATCCCTTTTTTTTTACAGGACAGTTGGAATAATATACGACTGCTACAGCGAAGATATTTGAATATCCTGGATGGAATTATATTTAAGGGATGCTTGCACCAGGTTCATTTGCGAATATGATTTATTGGTACAAAAGCTAACCATACCTAACCTAACCTCGCTACCAGTGGTGGCTGCTTCTATGGCTTGGCTGGTTATCCTCTTGGGGTGAGTATGTATTGTACGGCCTGTATATAGCCATAGAAGGGTCGGTTATACATATGTATATATATGTATGCATATGGCAGGTTCATACCTCATACCTATGGATCTACCCTTTGCAAGAGATTCTATATTAGAATCATTTTTTCACGTGGAAACAGAATAACACGTTTTATGGGGTTGGCACGCATCGAGTTTAATGGGTACGCGTAATGCCCGGCAGGTTTTGGTTGGTGAAGGGATGATTTACGTGGATAAAAGAAATGCGTGAGAGGGCGTGTTCGCGAACACGTGCCAGACAAGTTCAGCTCTCTTTAAGATTGGGAGATGACGTGGCTCATGGCTATTTCCCATAATCCGTTTGTAGCTCTGGAGTCTCTAAGGGAAGGAGAGGGATGGAAAGGAGGTGATTTTCGACGGCCTTGGACACCTTAATTATACAGGGTGGCACGGTAAGTGTCTCCAAATGAAGATTGGTCTTACCGAGGCTCTTATAAACGTTACTTTCAAAATTATACAAATTTGTAACAGCATCTTGGGTTTTTAGGTGTCAGTGATATTACTTGAGATCGCACCAGCCCTTCCGAGTCCCTGCTCAAGTCAAAGGGTCAGTATTTCATAGAGATGAGACATGTCAGGATCTCTCCTCTCGTTTCTTTAAAACATTCACCTTCGCTCATGGGAACGTGATAATATTCTTATGGAGCCGTATAAATTTTACAGTTTGATTCCCTGTCACGCTCCTCTCATATACGCAGCAATAAAAAGGAGGCCGATAAAACTTTACGAGGTCGTTACCTTATTATAACTCAGCAAGCCCTGTAATTATTATCGCAGCCTAGGCAAGAGGTCGCCGCAGTCGCTGTTACGGATACGAGAAGAATAAAATTACCGAGTCTTCCTTGGAACGTGTGCTGCGAAATCATCCCCGTAGGCTCGGCTCTGAGGCGAGCTTAGAATGAATATTTGAATGGCCTCTCGTCGTGGGAATTACAACCTCAACACTTGACACCCGGGCCAATCAACGAGCTAAATGAGAGCTGCGAGACCTCTCTTAAGTATCGAGCTACTTAACCTACGCTCAAGTCTGTCTCGATCTAAAATTCATAAAGTTGGCAGCCCTCGTGCGAAAATGCACTTTTCTGCCTCGCCGAAAATTACTTTCGTCGCTCTGGGCGAAACGAGGGTTGGCGCCCTTATATTTAGTTCCGCGAAGTTCGCTCTCGAGCACTGTAAAAATCTTCAAAGTTCTCGTGTCGTGTCTCGTAGACGTTACCCATCCTCCACTTTGGGTCACCCTGTAGAGCAAAAGTTGAAGGGCACGAAAATTCTAACACTTCAAATTCTCCCGCTATGCCCACGACCCTCTGGCCTCTAGCGATCTCAATACTTACAACGGAGATATTCTTCTATCTTGCATTTTGGGGTTAATCTTAATCCCGTCTTGGGAATTCAAAATGAAATCGATGCCTCGAGCACGTACCAACCGTTTTACCGATAGCAGTTATCCAAACTGCATTTCCGAGATTCTCACAGTGGGTAGTCATACGGAATGCATTTGCCTGAGAACATTTTCTCAGCTATATATACATATATACGGCTGTAAAGTCCCATAGAAAAATTTCTTCCTCCGATAAACGCCGTAGTACTCCTAAGTAAAGTAAATAACTTACCTGTTATGAATTTATGAAAAATATTTTCAAATCGTTATCGCACCTTCAATCGAATGTTACCGATATTCTTGTGAATGATCAAAACGATTCATGAGTCGATCCACCCTCGTTACTGGACGAATTACCGAAAAGGTCTCTTTTGTTTTAGCTGAGGGTTCCTGGGGAAAATGTATACGGCCCTGGTCTGTATTCACGATACAATTATTACAAGGGCAAGAGACAACACAGTGTATACCGTCGCTACCGAAATAGACGAGGAAATAAAGTGCAGCCGTGTGACCCAATATTCCTTCTGATTCCCTTGGCAATTCCTCGCTTATGGGGATATGAGGTGGATATGGAAAAACTTGACCGCTGCTACAAACAAGGAGACTGAACGATCCCAGAGTCAGCATCTTTCTTGGAAGCACGATTGAATTCGTATACATAGACAGTATGCTGCTATGTACTAAGGTACGTTGATATACAGGAAATGATGCCATTTAACCAGGAGAGTAACCTGGCGGATGGTGGGGTTGAAAAAGTATAATTTTATCAGAAATTGATCTTGTAGATAGTTTTCTAAAAAAAATTATTGTTTTCAGCTCCTGTTACCGTGTACAGGTATAATCGATGTCAGCAGGAAACGTCTGGCGCTTCCCCTAAATTTGTACAAGGGTATGAAAGGTGGTTCCACGTGTGATGAAACGCTTAAGTTCAGTTATATAGCAAATAGGAAGATCAAAGAGGGTGTGTGTGAGGTCGTTCCTGGGATGATTGTCAGGGTCGACCTAAAGGAAGAAGAGGGTAACACGGTATGGGTATTGGTAGTGGCGGAAGGTGCTGCTCTGTGCAAGGGATAGAGAAGGTAATCAACCTCGTAGATCTCGTGCCGGGACTGCTGAACCTCCCACGGGAGCAATATGTTCCGTATTCGGGAAAGATATGTCGGGATTCAGGACTCTGCGTAGGCAGCGTCCATGAGTGCGAGTAGCCCCAAGGGTTCGACTGGCTTCCGCTTGAGGGCCTGATGGTATAGAAAGACAGAGATCTTCCTGCAACCTTAAAACCTTACGAATCAATGAGTGCTTGCCGATACTTACTCCTTGTCTTCCCTCAGGACTCACGAAGTTAAACCTCTAACAACTCAAGGACATTACGGATGCTCCAAAAGTGCCTGAAGGACTTTGCTAAAATATTGGAGTGCCTTTACTACTAGGAAGGAAGGAATGAAAGTTCACTCGTGGAAATGGCATGGATGAGCGATGAACTCTTTGATCTACAGGAATCCGATTTCCGTTTTGTCAAAGAGAAGGAAGAGGTGAAAGAGGATGAGGAGGATCCCCTTTACTATCTTCCCCACTGATCCAACCTTCTTTTGGACCGAGTCCTGGAGCTCAAGCTGTGGATCATTATTTTGTTAATTCCAGAGGTTTGCTAGCGGGTGGAATAGAAGAATTATTCAATAATTTGGTTTCAATTAACAAATACGACTCTTTATTATTTAATAAGGGAATTTGTTTGTCTAGAGAATAAGTTATGACAATTTTTTCACTAAAAATCACCGACTGCTGAATTTTATTTCAGAACATTCTTACGCACACATCCTGACTTCGTCGCGTGGTAAAAGCAAAGAGAAATTCTCTGTACGAGAAGCAATTAATTGAATCTCCATGCAAACGAAGAAGACGAAAGTGCACGGTGATGTAGAATATAGGATGAATTCTCCAGAGAGTGCATTTGATGCAAGCTAACTGGATGACCGGATGCTGGCAGTTTGCTTTCCTGAAATATTCGAAGAACTTGCCTTAATTTCCACAGAATTATTAAGTTGCTACCGTGCTCGGAAATTATTTATTGAAAAGCCGTAACTGGAAAACTTTCTTATAACCATCGGATTACTCGGTACGGCAGCTTCGAGTTTGTTACCAAACAAGGATTATCTAACGAGACACACGCCACAGGTTAGCTGGAACTTCCGTCTCGATCCTTTCGTCATTTCATACACCAAACTAATCATTCATCTTTCATTCCTCTGGTTACCTCCACATTATCTGCAGCTGTGTTATCAAGTTTTAATAAGATTAATGGAATTATTAACTTGATTCGCTAAAAGTTTATTGTCACTTGAAACCAGATGGCACACAAATCGTTTTTCTTTTTTCAAAGGAAGTCTTAAAACGATCAATATCTATAACCTACAGGTAGTGTAATTTATAGAGGCACATTCTGTTTCTAAGAATATATCCCTCTATGTATTCTTTATATGAAAATCGATTCTGGCAACCTTAAAGAAAATGTTTCTCAACGTCGTGTCTCTACGGCTTTGGAACTAAGGGCAATATAATCCAGGCTTTTCCGGAGGCGGCTTTATTTTTTCCACATGTTTACTGGAAAAAGCCGTATCTGATAGGTCCTGGTATTAAAAGGACATAGATAGATATGCACTAAGGTATACGGCTCAGCTTCATTCCCGATTTACAATGTTTACTTTTGTCTAGATAAAATTTATTTTACAGCTCGATGGAAATAACACGTAATCATCCCCGATAACTATGGATGAGTCAAGAAACGAGGCCACCTCGTTAAATCTACTGGATTAAAGAGTCTCGTTAAAACGGGTTTCCACAGCACGAGTGCGAAACCTTCCAAACCTTCTTCTGCAAGTTTTTATTTTTATGAAGACCCTCAAAGAAACTAATGCTCACCTAATATTCGAAGAGAATTTAAAAAAAAAGCTTTGCTGGCAAGTAAAGAACCAACCCAAGGATCAGAAAGGGTTACTTTAAAAGGATACATGAGAATGCCTGAGGTAAGGTTGGATTGGCGTAGCCATAAAAGACAACGCTTCAAAGTTTTCACCTAATCGTATCCAAAGTCTTCACAGGTTCTTTAAAAGATTAGCTATAATAATGTCCATTGTCTGTTGTGTTCTGCAGGAAACTTTACCCCCAAATAAATAGTTAAGTGGCAGCAGCTTACACCAACTGGCTAATACTGACCTACTTGAATCGTTAAACCTCCTTAGACTGGATTCGAATGGGAACCGGAAACTTAACTGCTTGGCAACTCTCGGCAACTTTCCTACAACTTCAGGTTCCAATAGGAAAAGCAAGTTCTTGTGTGCGTCGTTGACGACACGAGACGCCCGTTAGGCATTAGGCGACGCTTCACCCTCTCCTTGTGTAGAAAGACCTGGATGGAGCTTATCAAAGGGCTTTCATGGACGTCGCTACTGTAAACGACTACACAGCAAGCGACCTAGGTATTGTACGCAAATTTGTTTTTGTACTGGCTCGGCAACGTCCATACTCTGCATTCACGCAACGCTTCAACCGCTACGCCATTAATCTTCTGGCTGAATTCTAGCGCGTGTTGGTTAGCCGGGCTGGTTCGGCAGAGACAATTTTCAATGGGAATTAATTTGAACGTTCCTGCTCTATGGGAGTATTCAACTATACAGATGTTTTCTACTTCATTTTCTTTTGTTAAATGATACTTCTTTTTTCAGATCTCCACAAAAAGGGATGTAGCCATACAAATATAGAGGGAGCCTGTCTGTATTTTATCTGGAAAAAGCTACCGTTAGGATTCTTTTACTTTATACAATATATAGTCATCTAATGAATTGACGTTAAAACTTCCTAAAGACCCGTAATGGATATTCGAATCCGTCTCTTTATGGGGTTCTCTATGGTATTAGGGTGGATCTTCATGTAGTAAAGGAAAGTTAGTTCTTGGAGAGCTACTTCAATGTGATGCAATCCCAGAGTAAGTGGCCTGGCGCCCAAAAGCTTCGCTAATAATTATCTTATGTTTATAGGTATTGAGGTCTGGCTGGAATTTTTTTGTCGAAGACGGAAGTTGATATTCTAATAGAGTTTTCCTTCGTCTCCCTTATAACAGCTGACGAGAATTTCCGTCATATTTCTACGACCCACGAAAGGTATCGTTAACAATAATACTTTTCAAGCCGAAGAGTACAGGCCGGTCTAGACCACTGCCTTTAATATTCCATATTCCATATAACGTTGCTTCTTGCGTTCATGGGATCAAGGGATTTTTACCAGGAGCAAGATAAATTAGAAAAATATTCAAAACAACATCCCTTCGGCCAGACAGTCTCCTCCTCAATCTCTACCTTCGCGATTCACTAGATTTTTTATTCTTATAGGCCCTTACGACATTTATAAGCAAAATTTTAACAATGGAATCCAAACGGATATTCGGTTTCATACAGGATCTTCAATTTTAATCTTCATCCCCTAAAAGATTCAATGTCTATAAGATTTTCTGTCATAAGGGTCACCATCGTGAACCTTATTAACTTTTTTCTGTATACCTAACCTAAATTGAATCAAGGCTCGACCTGCCATATAACCAACATACAGAATATCCAAATTTCTTTCTGAGCGCTATATGTGATAAACCACAAAAAACAATAACGAAATTTTACCGTCGTCATTTCTTTCTTGTTACTTTGTTCCTGTACTTTTGTTCTGTTTCAGAAATACCTTTTACATCCTGAATCAACTCTATAGCATCAATCTGTACGGAGGTCGCGTTAACAAGATCGATAAACATAAAATTCAACATGGCCTTGAAAGACAAGGTATGTATGAAAAATTTACGAGGAGCCTTTCATCGTGAGCAGAAAAAACAATTATCTGGCAAGATTCATCGGTGGAAGTTTTACAGGAACTAATCAATCCCGACTCCCACCTCTATTTCCAATAGGAAAAGAGAGCAGAAACGACGATGAAAAAAAGTGCGGAAAAACAAAAGCCGATTGCACTAGGGTTCGAATCCTTAATGGGAGGAATCATTAAAATACTACAATTATATGGCTTTCATTATATCGACTAGTTTCCAATGGAACGATTACTACGTTAACGATGTCATCTACAGCCCATAGATACAGGATGTGACGTACTAAGCTAGTATAACGTGAATTCGAGCTCCTTTTGTCTTCCTTGACACAATGCTTACCTCCTTCCTTATCGACTCTACTACCCTTCATCAACCTCTTCAAACTTCGTTTCCTTTCATGTCGGCCGATGATGAAATCTCGCTCGAAACCTGACCACTCCCCTATTCTCTGAAAAATCATTCCCTGTATGTGACCTCGTAAATTCTACATACGAGTACAGCGCAATTTTGGAAAAAGCTTGAGAAACTGGTTTACCGTAACTTTCGAATATATACAGGAAAGTTAGGAAACTACATAAAAATGAAATAGACCCATGAATTCTTCCGAAAAAAACAATTTTAATTTACTATAATCCAACGTGGTTACATTTTATATATAAATTCTAGATATAATCTGCGATAGCCTTAAGTTATAATCAAATGTTTTTCCTTTGTAAAAGGACCTGAGACTTTTTACCAGAGAGACTATAATTACCAGCTTATTTAGCATATCAATTTACTACACTATTTTGGTCTGTTACTACAAGTATTTGAATGCCTAGAATTGTATTGGCTTATTAGCCACACACTGTTGGCACGGGTAGTTCAGTAAATCCAATTAAACCTGATTCTCATATTACATTGAAAGATGTTACTATTGGAACACGAGGGATGAATCTAGCTTTGATACAGGGTTTCTCTTTATCGTTCGTTAGGAGAATGCGGAATACACAGTGGGGTAGCAATTAAGAGGAGAAAGAAGTGGATCGTCATTAGGGACTAGGGAGCAATATAATCTCCAATAGAGTTTACGGACTGCACCCTATTATTATCAAATTATTATCGATCGCTCGTGTCTGATTTGTAATTGACATTCGAACCTTGTAATTAACAGGGTACGGTGTATCGTTCATACCATACACAGCACATACAATGCAAAACAGACATGATTGATAATCACGCATACACCAAATCACGCAAAGGATCCCAATCCCCCTAAAATCCATGATTAATGGTAGAATCAATTGCGTCATTATATTTAAAATAAAGGAAGTTTGCCAATACTAAAAATACACAATGTTTAACGCTCAATGTAAACTCACCAAACGCGCCTCCGGAAGTATTTCTCATTATCAAAAACCCACTCCTCGTTTCTGTTTTAATTAAACCTTCGGACTGGCTGCCTACGTTGGACAATTTCACGTGAATTAAAACTTCCCCTTCCAGCCCTCTTCCACACGTAACACATCCAACTCAGCCATGCCACGCGTATTCTCACGTTCCCACGAGGTCGCGATTTTCGTTTCCATCAACGGCGATCTCGAGCAACGCCAGCAGCCACAGGAATCAGGAACTTCCGTTTCTACGCTCTTTTTTAAAATTTCAGACGTACCAACAGTCGATCAAGAATAAGCAGTCCAGTTCCACGCATTCCCTGCGTCTTTGCTTTGAAAGTTTTCCACCGCGTTCCGTGCTTCCAAATGTCCTGCTACTGGAAGACCACAGTGACAGGTATGAGAATAAAAGCCAGAGAAACATACCGACATGCAAAAGGCTATTTCGCAAATTGGGTCAACGATATATTTCACGTTTGGCGGTAAATAAACCTGGGGAGAATGTACGAGCTACACACATTGTACCCTGGTAAATCGCTCGACGCCGGGTTTGGCTTTACCAAACGAATTGTGTTTTTGGTTATGTTATGGCGATTCACGCATGTTGCTTATTTATGTTATATATATAATGTGTATATGTATAGCACATATAGCGTTACAGATATGCATATACCATATATCCAACTACGTTCACGCCTACGAGCGAAAGGTATACAAATTGGTGACACTGACAAATGGGGATTGACAAAAAAATTTCGTCGGCGTAGGTACTAATGGACCATAAATACGGAACAGTGTGTAGTACAATAAAAGGACTGAAATTTAAAAAAAAAGTTCATAGCCTGTAGCAATCCATTGATTTGCGATGGCTTCTATGCATGGATAAAAGGAAATGCACTCGTTTCAGGATGCAAAATCTGATTAAACTGCTCGACAGTATGATGGAAGAATTAACGTTGACTTTGGCTAGCATGTATGCCGACCACTTTGGTCTCTCTGGCATTTAGTGGGGTACATTCAATTGGCGGGAATTTTAAACTGTAATACTTAAATAATTCATTTTCATCAGTGTGTATAATTGATCACCCTTGTAATCCTTTTTTTGTTATCAGGTATATATGATATTTACTGCGAGGATGGAAATTTTTTACTTATCTTACTGTACCATGGGGATGAAAAATTATAGCGATCTTTAGTTGATGGTATCTCCGGGGGAGCTCTTGATCCGGTCCAGAAAAAAAATACACAACCCCTCTAAGGCGAAGGACACAATCGCAGCAATGCATACAAAGCACTAGATTATCCTCCCTTAAGTCTTTCAAAGCTGTGGTATGGATACCATCCACCAAGTGCATACAGAGGGGTCGCCCTTGACTAAGGGTTGGATGAATTCTGGATTTCTTGGGACACCGTGGGATAGACCTGTAGAAGATAGGGCCGTTCAGATACACGTGAAATTTAATGGCTTCATTAAGATAGCCAAGGGTAGTATCCAGGCGATCTCTAGTTTCTCATTTAATCGATATTATATTTATACACATAAAATCTATGTTCGTATATTTACAGGGGTCCGAAATTTAGGTCTCATAAAATACTGAAGATACCTCAACCCTAACTTATCTGTTTTAGAGGTTAGAACGGTCTAGGTGAACGTGCATTAAACCTAACGACCCGATTCAGGTGGATGATCTGCTGAGGAGTTCCAAAGGCAATTCGCAATGTGTGACCGAGCACCCACCGTTTGCTGGACGCAGTATAATTTTTATGCCATTTCATTAGGCCCGTAGGCGAGACGTTTACGACATTGGCAAACAGGTACCGCCTTGTTAAGTTCATAATAAAAAAAAAACAGTGCCGGAGCTTTTACGAGAAAGCACAGTCGTAAATTAGCTTTTTCTTTCCAGTGTCAAGAAAAGCTTCATTGTACTTTTTGTTACTTGCGCCACGAAATACTAGGGGAAATGGATGGGCCGAAAAGGAAGTTAGAAGAGGTGTTAAAACGGAGCCTTGTCAATGCCAGCATATGGAAGTTCGTGATGGAAAAAATTCAAACTGGAAACTGAATACATATAGAAAGTGTATAAGCGATTAGGTATAATTATGGAACTTTTAATTAGAACAGCCATGGAGCATAATCCGGATATTATCAGAAGCACGAATAAGTAATCTCTCATTAGTGAAAAAAATGTGGGTCAAGCTGAAAATTAATGGTCACCCTCTTCTTTACAGTGAGATTTATATCTGGATATTTTGGATGTATGTGCACTTTGGTTAAAATCGCATGAATTTATATTCCGAAATTTACTGTCTACGTCAATTATTTCACTCGAGCAGTATCGAAACCCTCTGTATGGTTCTCGTGCGTCGTTTTTTCTTCTTCAAATTTTTCCATTAAATTGTCACGACGTATATATCTATATTCTTATAACTTTTTTACGACTGTCTGATCTCGTCTGTCTGAATCTTCTACGCGAAGTTAATTACCTGTCTTTATTAGTCACATCCACCGTGCGAAATGGTAAGAAATACTTATTATCAAACATTTATTTTAAGATACGTATACGTCGTGTTTTTCTTCTTAGTAATTAGTTAGCGCAAGGTGTTTCGTTTGGGCGAATATCCAGAGTAACAGCGTAGCTAATGTTTTTTTTTCTTTTGAAAACTCATTGGCCGCAACGGAGAAATAAAAATGTTTCTGCGGCTCAGGCAGCTCTCGACCCGAAAAACTTTGAATGCCTAGTAGGTAGAATTCTTTTATTCTTCATTTTTTGGTACCACTTCGCTCTAGGCTCGACTTCCGGTTCCACGTTTCGTCTATGCCCTCTGTTGATCTCTATATAGCACATACATGCTTCTAGTTTTCTTTCTTTTTGTCTTTACTTCTCCTTCTCTCTCTCTTCAGTCTTTCCGTCTATCTCATACCAACCATCAGACTTTTTCAAACGCATTCACAGTACAAGTGGCTCCTATCTTTAGGTCTCCATATTTCCCTGAGTGTACAGATGTTAATTTTACTTTTGAAAGTGCTCTCACTGCCTACGAAGAACAAGGATCGCTGTCTCTGAGTACAGCCGTTGCAGGTGCAGCTGCGAATGTATAAACGGTGCAACATGCCGCGTTGCATATGCATAAAAGGACCTTCGGAATCTATTTTCCCGACTCCTGTTATGTCTCTTTGAAAATTTTCAAGCTGTCGCTTTAATTTGCGAAATTCTTCCGCGCCCAGAGTTTCCGTTTCTGTCGATTGGACTATCACGATTCCCTGAAGGATCCAAAGAATAAATAAATAAGGACAGTACACGGTGTTGATTTATATTTATTTTACACATACTCAGTCCTTAGGGCCCGTCCTCACGAGCGGGAATCACACGTGGAGGATATTTACGGGAACTGAAAAGTGGTAGTCAAAGAGTATCTTTCCAAGTTTGCGATACGAACGGACTCGTTGGTTCGAATATAAAAAGTTTCCTTGCTTATAAACTTCGGATTACGGTTCGCCGCTGTAAAAGATGCGATTCCTACCGTCTGTACTGGAAGATTATCCCATCCAACTACGTATGCAAGCTGGACTGTCGTTTAGATACAAGTAGGTGCATCGTTCAATAGAAATCGACATTGCGTGAGTAATGTTTGCAGGCGAGTCGATTCAGCGTTAAAGCAGTACGTAGCAGGAGAGCTATTGAAAAAAATAACTGAAAAGGACAAAAAAAGGGTAGTTTCATTTTAGAAAAAGCTCTTGTATAATGGAGCAAAGCCAGGGAAAGAAAACTGGGCCGTTGGTCGACGGCCACAATTTCCAATTAGTTCGAGCAGCTCACGCCAGTCGCCGCTGCATACTGCACTTTGATATTTTGTGGTTACATTCTATCCCTTGCAGCGTTCGGTAAACAGTGTTTATCGCTTGTACATAGTGCACCGTGTCAAAGCACCTATAACTGGTAGTACTCGTGTTTTATCGTAAGCCACGAGTGGCTACTACTTTCAACGGTAGTAGTTTTCTCCGGTATTTTCAAATTCAACATGGCTACTCGTCAAAATCTTATCCTTACGTTGCAGACAATTAAATTAGGACCCTGGGGACCTTCCCGCATATTTATAAAGGTTAGTCCCGACTCGTGAGCCATATGAAAATCAAATAAAGGAACGAATAAGTTTGGGAATACGGGTCCCGGTCGTACCTAACCTAAAAAAAGCCTATGGTCTTTTCTCAGGAGCATGATCGCGTAATAACGTGTCCAAGAAAAAGTCTGAGTAAACATCCGTGACTGCAGATCAAATATTATGGCATTCTTATGTGGATTCTGATTAATAATACCTTTCGTGGCTTGTGCATTAATTATCTTTTTTTTTTCCTTCGGTCTAAGTATTCTAAACTCTCAACGGCACTTTGTTTGTTACAGAATACGTTGGAGCAATATTCAGCATCTTCCTGTTATACGGTCGGTGCCTAATATATCCTCAGCGACCAAGAGGAAAAAATGTGCGGTCTTTCCTCAGCACGCGTAGCCGCTGCTGTGAAATTGTAAGAATTTACGAGGTGCACGTGGACCGTGGAATGAATTTAGACTTTTACTATTTTTCCACGTAGCGTAAGACGCAGAGGGAGCGAGAAGGAGGATAAGATCCTTGGAGATACACATAAGGAATGTATAGTGCGAGCGAGATAAAATAAAGGGTGGATGAATTTCCTTTGTGCAGAGGATATATCCACTTTATAGAAGACAAGGTACTTTAAGCTAGACTAGATCCTACCGAGCACCCTGACACTTTTATGCTCTTTACGTTGATCCACGTGGAAATTGATTGGGTCAATGTACACATAAAACGTATATCAGCTAGAAATCTTAACCTATTTTGAGATAAGGATTTATTATGTAACGTACGACCTTGTGCTAGTACCTGATGTAGTCTGGACGGTTATTCAAGATTATTGGACTACCTGAAAATGGTTCTGTCCATTTTATTTCTATTAACTCCCAACATAGAACCAAATTCAGGTGGTTCGATACTCCTGAACAACCGTGTATATAAATCTACATAATTTTAATGAATTGATTAAAAAAAAAATAAATTCTAATCACGTAAAATATTGATATACAGTATATGCAAAGAAGCGGTAATATTGTAAACAGTACTTTTCTTGGCGTTAATAGGTACTGTATATAGGAATATACATAAATATGTAACCTCTCAAGGGTAAAGTGCATATGGCAATATATAAGAATAACTTCAGATACTAAAAGTATTATGCATATAACCATCACATAAGGTCCTTGCACTTTATGGGCTCTCTTATAAATTTTAAATTTCCCGCCATGGCTGTAGAGAGTGTCTCATTTGAAATCCTCTCCGTTTTTATCCTCTCAGTCCTCGTAATTTTTTTCCCCATGGAGTCTTATTGACTCTCTTAGTAAAGGCAGTGTCAAGGAAAATCCGATTAGGTGATCACGTCGAATTCGTCTGAAAGGAGTTATTGATTTGATTAGCACCCTCTGTATATAAGTAACCAGCAGGTATATACCGTGCCATAAGAATTAACTTTAAAACACAATCCTCCTGGTTCCGTTTTGCGCCATTAGAATAACCTCCATGGGATTCCCGTGCGTCTGTCTTCTTGACAACTTCTTGATTCCTCCTGGGAAAGATTCACCAAGTAGGTACAGGCTAATTAATTCGTGACTTCTCCAAACCTTTATAGGTTAGGGTAGCTGCCATTAACGCGTAGGGACTGTAAAGACGATTCAGGATTAGATTCAGATTCGTGAAAGATTTTAAAAATCGCTTGGAATAGTTTTTCATGTTCCTTTTTATATTTTCTTCTGACTTTTCTTTTCTTACCCTTTTTTTTCTTAGGGGTTGCACACGTTAGCAGAAATAATGGGATCGTCGCTAATGTCTTGGGATGGGCTTGAGAGCGTGGGTTTTCATGGGACAGTAAAACCATTTTCCGAGGGCTTTCCATTTCCGGTCCTCCAGGTCCTCGGCTCCTCTCTGCATGAGGTCGTGAATGTCTGCTCGACAAGGGTCCCTTGATTCCTCTCGAGGATCCTTGGTATATACGACTAATTAATTCGCAGCGTGTGCCAATTGGTGAATGGGTTACCACGGTGTTGCTTCCCTCGGCTTTAACTTCCTCCTAGGGCTGAATCTGCACCAGCTTTGGCTCATCCGGTACTAACTCGATAGGTATACGTACTACCTTTGCTCCGGTGCACAGCGCCTCCTGGAAACTTCAGATTATGCTTTCATTACCGTCTCAGCCACTTTAACAATTGAAATTTACTACCGTGGTTGATAGGTACCATTTCATGAAATGGATGAAACTCGAGGATCATTCGTAAAACTGAGAAACGCGAAGCTAAAAGATATCCTCAACTTGGCACTTTTCTTGAAATAGATAACAAAGGACATGGACTTAGTACCTAGACGGGATACAATACGACTTTGGATGTCTTTAAATCCTTCAAACGACCTCGGCCGTGAACGATTCAACCAAGCGCAACTAATGACTTAATTTTCCTGTTTCGGTAAGCGTAAAACCGTTTGAAAAATCGAAAAAGTCGAGCTCAGCTAAAAGGCTAACTCACCCACCCTAAAGACTGCCGGTAATTAATGTGAGCGAGACTTACCGGCATTTTTCATTGTAGGATCGAATTTCCGCGAATTCGGCTTGATCTCGTATTAACTCCAGAAGACTCCGGAACGTTATCAACCCAAGTAAAATTATTGGGTTATCCATCAAAGTCGACCAACTTCAATATCCTTTAAGGCTCACCCTCTGCGTGTATCGCATTTGACGAATTTTCGCCTTAACCTCCCTATCAAGTTACACGCCCTTGGTACCTTGAGCCATCAACTAGGAAGCTGCTAGAGACATTTTTTTCTATAAAATACCCTCTGACAAGGAAGCTTTTTTTATTACTCAAAATTTTACAGTTTTTAATATAGTGGTCTATTGTGTGTTGCGGATGCGCCAAATCGGCACTCCGTAAACGATAAATATTTATTTCGTATAATCACCTTTACAAACTGACAAATTCACTCTGACATAGATCCTATGCTAAAGAAGATCCTCAGTGGCGCCACCTGGCACCAGTCAGAATTACAACACGGACCCATGTCATGATTTTCATGGGGCGTCACAGTCGCCTTCGACTTGTCAGAAGAAATAGAAGCAAGGAAACCATTTTAGAACCAGAGTCGAGCCTTGTACAACATCGAGAAAAGTACGTGGAAACCACACAGCACGACTTGGGAATCGAAGTAAAAGGAAACAGTGGAAGTTGGCTTTCCTCTTTGGGTAAACAAAAGGCCAACGGGCAATTTACTGTCGATTACGCGTTTTCACAGAAAATTGAATCGTACCACTCCACCGATGGACCAAGCTTTCTCCCATTGCTCGTTTCTACCTTTCAAAAGCGTAACGAGCTTTTCTCACGTGGGAACAATAACAGCTGCAAATAAAAATATCAATTTTACTTCGATACAGTTACCTCATTTTCTATTGTGACTCAAGAGTGACGTACGTACTGCTTTTTCTTATCACTCTGTATATATGTCTTGTATATACCGCATACATAGCATAAATATTTATAATTTATACCTCTCAATGTTAAATTACTCAAATCATATATATACTAAGCTGTAAAAAAAGGTATGCTCTGATTCCACTTGAAATCTGACTACGCGAATGGTAATTTTCATCAGTTAAACAAATCCCACGTGTAAATATTGAAATTTAGCTTGCGGCTTAACCGTCAAATATTTGCAATTTAGTAACACGCAACGTAGCAGTGAGACTAAAATACCTGCGAGCTGATAATGGAACCTGACATGCCGTAGGGAAACAAGAATGGCGCTGGGAGACTTATTGTCAACTCACCCGTGATATTATCTGGGACCTTCAAGGTTTCCTCCCTCTTCTTACCCTAGACATATTTTAGGTCGATTACGACCACTACCGGATATCTGCCAACTTTATTGCTTGCGAATCTAATCCCTGAAATTATCCATGTAGACGGGCGACCTGAACGCCCTCTACAAGGCGGGAAATATAATTTACAATTTTCACGGACGATATAAAAATTCCCTAGAATTCATCTAGCTACTTTCCCTCTGCTTCTCTCGTCTTCATTGGACTCTCATACTACTTGGGGACTTCTATCGATCCCTTCGTCAAGCATCGACCTAGATAATTTTTCGCGACATTCCACGCTCCAGGAATTATTCATTTTTTTTGCAATCCTCAGGTTGACTCTTAGGACGAGGCATTGATCCCACAGGAATTAGATACTCAATATTATCTTTCTCCAAGACGACTCTTCTATCTTACTCATACCTTTTACTTGCTTTTCTTACTCTCACTTTTTTTTTTCTTTCACAGTCCTTCCTTCGTCGTTCTCCAGGGGTAGATAAGTAATCGAGGGAGAAAGAACACCAACCCCACGTCAAACACTCTTCTCGCCGTGGCTGGTAACCTTGGGATCACTTATGTAATTCCGGATATCGACGTCATATCAGGTTTACGATAGTACCTTGGTACATGTTCAGTTTTATCTTTGGTTCAAGATCCTCCATAAATTCTGTATATTTTCCTAGGTATGTCGGATCAACTTTTCTCAGTTTTACCGGATATGCCAGTTTTTCCACTTAAAGGCTCCAGAGACAAGATGTAAGCTTCCTCGTTGGTTTCTGGAGTCTGAATATTTTATCGTTTCCAGGGTAAACGGGCACTTAACACCATACTTTTCCAAGTTCCTCTCGACATCATATAGAATCTCCTAGACCTCAGCATCCTTAGAAAGATAAGTTGATTTTTTTCTACATGTTTTACCAATGAAAATAATAAATTTTGACTTATGCATATTTTCCATTATAGACACAGCAGACAAATGAATTGTAGAAAACGAATCCATTATGCATAAAAATGTAGGCACACGATACAAACCTACTGTAGCAAATTCTGCTATCATCCATCCAAACTATACGTTAGTATACTGTATCATGCAAACCGTTTCTCCGTTACTGAAGTAAAAGTAGCTGGGATCCCGTGAACAACGCCAACAACAATGTGTCACGTCGCTATTTCCGCAACACTTGAAAACTTGGCGCATCAACGTAAATCAGCCGTAATACCAAAAGCAAGTTGGCGCTCGTGATTTTCAAGATTATCTAAAAACAATATTAATTAATGAATAAACGATTAGAAGCGTTTTTTATAATTCGCAGGTAACTAAGAACTAGGTCTGAGTTAACTCTGAGTGTAGGTTTAAGGCTAATTCAATTTTAACCTAAAAGTAACACGTGAAGTTTCCAGGGAATGTAAACCTGGTATATCCATATAGGCACGTACGTGTACATACTCCCATGTGTTAGGTGTGTAAATTTCTCTACAAGGGCTAAGCCACCCTCTCCCTGTCTTGTTTAATGGTCAGGGCCAGGATGGTTTTCCTGAAAAAGATATTGAAAACATAAATTCACAGTTCGTATCCACCCTCGTCCT